GCGGCTTACCTGTTCACGCGTATTGATCCCAAGAAGGCGGATGAGTGGCGTGAGATGTTTGGTGGGTCACAGGCGGACCGGAAGAAGAAGGAGGATGAGGCTGCCAAGCAGGCTGCGAAGAAGGCTGCTGCTAAGGCTAAGAAGAAGGAGAAGAAGGAGAAGGGCCGTGCTGGTGCTCCTGGTGTTGAGGGGTCTGCTAAGGGTGGCGCGGAGAAGGTCTCCGTTACGACCGAGGGCAAGAATGACGAGGCTGTTGAGAAGATTGCTGATGGGGTGGCGCAGGTTACTCTGCCTACCTCGTAGATTGTCGGGTCTTCAACAACAGGGTGATCTAGATAAGAAAATACTTGCAAGGCGCGTTGTGGGGGCTTTCTTTTTATGATTCTCTATGAGAGATGTGCATGGGTCATGAACGGGGATCATCTTCTGGGCATATTAAACTGGCTTGGGGAATTCTTCCTTTTTATACGTATCATACGCATGGTTGCAATGGAGGTGTTTTGTTTTTGATGGTTTGATAGAAGAGTACGTCTTGATCCTGGATGTACCGTCTACTTGTCCCTGCTGAGCTCTACAATCTATATCTACAGTGAACTGTCACAATCCTGGAACTATATCTCCGAGGTCCTAGCAGTAGCAGACCCTTCCAAGAAAGAAAATAGCTAGGCTAGCCAAAAAAAAATCCCATTTGCACTTAATCAAAACACGCCGATATGGTAAAAATTTCATTACATGCTCGTTGTAGCGATGGGACACAAAAGCGATTGGCGAAAAAATCCCCCCATCCCACGCAAAAAAGAAGACAAAAAGTTCAGGCCCAAATCAACGCTTGCGCGTGCTCGGTCTGGGCTTTGTCTCATCAGGTCCGATCGGGTGGAGCATGACCTTGTTGGTAGTCTGCTGGGTATTGGCGGAGTAACCTTTGCTCCAGTCGTAGCTGACAGAGTAAGCGAAGATATTTCCGGTACGGTTGAAAGCGGTGGTAGTGATGGGGCCTCCGACAGCGGGGTAACCCTTGAGACGGTGCTTCGCATCCTTATCCCAGAAGTGGAAAGTACCGTCGGCACCTGCAGTGCTGAATGTACCATGAATGGGGTGGAAGGAGATAGCGTTAACGGAGTAGATATTGCAGATATCGCGGTTTGCAGGCGGGGTTTCACGATGGCACTTGAAGGAGAAGTTCGAGGCGGAATCCTTCTCCTCGACGTACTGAATAGCACAGCGACCCTCAACCGAGCCGACAGCGAAGCCCGAGGCATCTGAAAAGCAGCTGACTACCCGCGTCTGCCACTTGAGGGGTGATTGCATGGTCTTGTAGAACTTTGTTGGCTGGTCGAGGTTGATGATATTGATGTAGCGGTCTGCGGTGCCGACGACGAGCAGTTTGTTCTTGACGTCCATGGTGTAGACACGCTCCTGGCACTCGACGGAGGCGATTGCGGTCGACTGGCGCAGATCCCAGTATTTGACTGTCTTGTCCCACGAGCCGGTGATCAGGAGTGGGGATCCGCCCACGGAGGGATTGGGGATCATATGGCAGCTTCGAATGGGGGCGTCGTGAGCGGCAACTTGGGTTGTGGTGCCTGAGCCAAGATCGAGCATGCGGGCAGCCTTGTCGGCACCGGCCCCGACGACCTTGGTTCCATCCTATAAGAGAAAAAAAAGATGATGTTAGTTTCTGTGCATGGGACTTGGATTGTGGGGGGAAATATGTGGGGGTGGTGAGAAGGGGTGTGAGCTTACTGGAGACCAGCAGCAGTTCAGAACTGGAGCTTCGTGCTCGAAGAGTGCCTTTCCTTCACTTTGTCCCTGGTCGTTGATTTCGTAGATGCGGACTTTCTTATCCCACGAGGCCACGGCTAGGTGTTCGCTGGTAGGCGAGAAGCGGAGATCCGAGATACCATCCTCGGGGGGAGTGTTGAGGGCGACGTCCTTGGAAATGTCGCCGGTGGTGTTTGTCTGGCCCGCCGAGGCCGACGACGCGCCGGCGCCGAAAAGTGACATTTGAAAGGGCGCGAGAGGTGTGATATGGCAAAGGGTATTGAGCGGGGGATGAAAGGATGTGAACAGAAAACAAAGACGAAGCTGGATTCACAGCTGAGGAGTCATGCAGAAGAGAAAGAAAGTCGAGCTCAATGGAGAAAGGAAGAGACAGAGAAGTCGATGATAATTGTAGCTCGAGAGAAAGCGATGCGCTGATGCCGGCAGAAAATATATCTCACCGCCTTTGGGTCTGTGGATTTTATACTTCAGTCAAGTGTTCCTCTTTTTATTATCTTACAACCTTTGTATTTGAATTTAAATCACTTGGGTATGCTTGATCTTTATATATATGGTCATATTATTGACAGAACTATAGCAATGTAGCTGTTTATGGATGCCATGAGTCACGACTATCAAGGCAGCATTGCCGGACTGCAGTTATCCGTTTGGAAATAATTTTGATAGATGATCTTACTGGATAAGGCTTCAATGAATGGTCAGAGAGAGTTGATGACTTAGAAAAAAATACTTGATTCGACCTCACCATGCCAGTTTATACAGATGTCTGCAAAAAACTTAATACCGAGTTATAAGTGGGCCGCAGACCCAACATCTTCATATCATCTTAAGATGTTTTAAATAGTTATGAATATGTATTCGAGGTGATAACCAATGTTGAATTATGTCTTTACATCTTTCTAGTGCAAGAGATTTTTGAGCTTGGATGATGAGTGCATATTCAATATACCGAAGAATCCTACATTAAACTAGGTATCCAATTCGGATATTTCGAGCCAGGTAGGTTGCAAATATACATGGTATTTTATAGGACATTCATTGCTAAGATACAATTAAGTCCACGGGTATCAGTGCGATGAGGTAATAGTGGCTACATAATTAATAACCCCATAAAGGAATAAACCTTAATTAAGAGCAAGAACACTTGGTAACATTTGAAAGCATTGAGTTTGCCGGGTATTGGGCGTCATTATATTATATTGCAATACGAAATGGACTTGCAGTATGCAGTGAGTAATGGTCTAAAGTGGTCAGTTGCATACCTACATATGTATATTAGGTATGTAGCTATGCAGGATGAGGTATATGATGTAGAAAAGTGGTATGATCACGTATGATCAGGTATAATCAGGTGATATACGGAGTAGTCATATGATTAATAGTAATATACCTACATATGTAGGTAGTATTATAGCATAATATAAGTACTAATATAAGTACTAATAATATAGTAACAGCTAATATAAGAGTGATCTGCCCTAAATAAAGTGGAGCCCAAATGCGGGGTGCAGCGCTAAGATTGGCTAAGATTGACGATGTTGATGTCAGTTGGATCCGGGGGAGGCCGGTTATATTATATTATATTTGACGTGAAGATGGTGATAGTATAGTGAAACGGTATAATATATTGAATGTAGTAGATGTAGTAGAGTAATGGGTTATAGTAGAATAAATAGGGTACATAGTAGATGTGGTAGAATAATGGTGGAACCAAGATACAGAGGTACTTCCTTGTTATAGACAAACACCATATAAACGGAAGTAACACATCCATGACACCCCCTCTCACAACCCGTGGACCTTGGTCACCTGCCCTACTTCCCCTCTCTTCGCTCCTTCTCCATCTCCTGATCTTTCATCTCCTGATTCATCTGAGACTTATCTTCCTCATCCCATCTTCACCTTTCCATCCCTAACTTGAGACTCTGCAACCATGACTGTTCCTTTAACCAAAGTCGATTCGGCCATCGCTGGCTTGTCTATATCTGACGAGAAACCTGAGACCATTGAGAAGGAGGTCAAGGGCAAGACCCACAAGCGAACCTCCTCAACGGCAGAAGGTATCTGGAATATCAAGGACCTTGGTAAGTACTCATCAATCTCAGCGAGGGAACCTATACTGATAGCACTTCAGAAGAGAAAAAGCTAGACATTACCCTACCAATTGAAACACAGAAGACTGGGTGGTCAGTATCTCATCTCAGTTCCCCACACACAGATCAGTCTCATTGACCTCTGTGCAGGAAACTCAACACCTCCCCCTCAACCATTGAGGATAAAGATGTCCTCAAAATGTTCCTCGTCACTCCACCCGTCAAGAAGATTGACCTCCACTTCCCCCTGGGCCTAGAGGTCACCGCTCGGAACCTCAAGGGCGTCACAATCAAGGACGCATTAGATGCCATCTACAAGCAGTTCAAAAAAAAGGTCAGTGGTTCTACGATAGAAATCACAGAGAGGTCCATGATGACTGACGTGACCCCGCTAGGCGGATGACGAACTTGACAAACCCTACCTCGCTGGCTTCGAGTGGGACAAGGAAGAGTGCTGGACCCGGTTGATCGTGCACCAGAAGAAGGAGGGTGCACCACAGCCAAGCAAAAAGAGCAAGAAGAAGTCCAAGGACGAGGCATAGATTGGCATTGTCCCATCAACCCAGGTGTTTCATGACATGAGCATGAACACAGACTTGTGTCCCCGGATGCCCTTCCCAATTTCTTCTGCCCTTTATCCCTTCACTTACCAATAATGGTAATGGATGTTCTTACCGGGGACTATTGACTCCCCTCAATCTGCAATACGCGATTTGACCTTTTTATGTTTTGCTTTTCCACAGTCCCGTTCGGCTGCTCTGTGTTCACTGCGTTTCCAATGTAGAAACAAGAATTAGGAGGGCGCGAGGGAGCTTTCGTATTTTGATTTCATCTTGTCTATCTTATTTCTCTTCATCAGTCGTTTCTGTCTGGCCCGGCTTATGTATCTACCCTGGGTGGACCGGTATGTGCCGTTCACTCCTTCTGACGCCTAGTGGAGATCGAATCAAGTAATTCCCGGCTGTCTTTGTCCAATGTAGATGTTGTATGGGAGATATTATGTAGAAATAACACCAGACACTAGACAACAGACCACGCTATACATACTGCCCAACTTCATATTGTACATGGGCATATACTATAGATCCATGAGAACGGGAAAGATATATGTCCCCTACACAGATTCTAATCCCAAAGTGAACCCCAGGACTTCCGCCCCCTCAAAAAAGCCTCATCCGAGTACTTCGGCTTCATCCCCAGCCTAGTATACGCCGCCTTAACATTCTTCACCACATCACATTCTAGACTTGACGCATAACCACCCCGACCTCTAGATGCCTCTCCCAGACGAGTATAGAACACCAAGTCCAGATCCTGGACACCAAAGAGCCCCAGGTCCCCGCGAACCCGTTTAGGAAGGTATTCCTGTCCCCAGACCATCTCCGTTGCGGAGTATTCATCCTGATCCCACCTGTCACCGAAGACGAGTGCTTCAAAGACGATATCCATCCGCAGGCCACCGGCTGGTTCTTTTTGATCGTCCTTGGGGGATTACGATGTCAGCTATGGTTCTTTGCAGGAGGGAAATGATATATGATTGTATGTAGACAAATAGAAAGATCATTATGTAGATATAGGTAACTATATGTATATATTATGTAAATAAGCAGAGCTGGATACTCACCAACGCCTCATAAATATACAAATACTGCCCGCCATGCCCGACATTACTTCTTAACAGCGACAGCGTATACACGGGCGGCTGCTGGACCAACATACGGCGCCAGCTGGCTTGTGGTCTGATGTATGCATCCCATTTGTGCGGGTTCTTGACCATGTCGAATGTGGTGAATGTGAGATTGGAGGTGGTTTTTTCATTTGTAGTGTCGGTGTCGGGGTCGTCCTTTTTATTGGTATTTCCCCCATTGCTAGACCCATAGTGATGGAAGATTGATGGGAATGTCTCTGCTAGCAGTGGGTTCTGGGTATTTGGTTTATTCAATGCATTGTCGAGGGGTCGGAAGAATAGGGCCCATTGGATGGGCGGGGAGGTATTGATGAAATGGGACCAGGCGTGGCAGATTCGGGTTGCTTTTGTGAGGAGGGTGCGGGTGTCCAGGTTGAGGAGGATTAGTACGAAGATTTCGGGGATGGAGAGGGCGTGGGATTGGGCTGGGGCTGGGGGAAGGGCCATTGGGGTTAAGGAGAAGAAGAAGATGAAGATGAGCTGTTGAAACTCAGCCTGGGAGGTTTTAGGGAACTCTCTGTTGGCAGGTTGGGCACAATTGAGCCTCATCACATGCACACGTGATGGCCATTTTATCTTGGCGGGATTATTTGGATTTTGGATGTGTTAGATGGGTGGACACATTTGGAATTATGTAGAGATGAATGTAATCGAGTATATACAGTGGTTGTAATGAGGAAGAATAACGATTTCTCATCTAGAACGACCCGAACTCCCAAAGAGAACCAAGACAATCTCGTCAAGAATAGTAAAAACAAGATGGGTATTAAGATGCTGGTTATTGAGCGTAGCAAAGATGCGACGGGCAGCAGCCTGCGCATTAGCTCTGCCGACGACATTACCTGCCAGATCCGGGATGAGGGTAGCCAAGACCACAGTGGCCTCGGCACGACTATTCAGACGGTCTGCGGCTGAACGAGGAGGGGCTTTGCGGAGCACGCCGCCGGGCCAGAGGGTATCGCGAGCGAGAGCAAGGTACTTAAGAAGCGAGTCATCCTGTACCAGGCCGCGCGCTCCGTCGCGGACCTTGCGCTCTATTGTCCCGCCGAGGAGCTGGTGCAGGACAACGACGACAGCACGGCCCCGCAGCCAGTTGTTGCCGCGGTTCAGCTCGAAGGCTTCGAGGAAGAGATCGCAGATGGGCTTGATGAATGGCTCGAGCTCGCGGTCTTCAAAGGCATTTAGTTCCGCTTCGGCTTCGGCGGCTGTGACAGTATCTTCGGTTGCGAGGCTGGAGTCTGGGACTGTCATGCTGCTGGCTTGCTGGGTGGCGGCTGAGATGAGGTTCTGGCCGGCGGTAGATAGTTGGTCTAGGACACCGAAGTTGCCGAGAAAGTCATCCATGCCATCTGCGACGGAGTTGTAGATGCGTGTGACAAGGTCTTTAGTTTCTCCTTCGTTGTCGCGGGCATTTTCCTTACGGGGCAGGATGGCACGTTGGGAAAGGAATGCACGTAGATCGCGGCTGCGGCAGACCTCTGGTAGGAGGAGGAGTTTCTGCAGATAGGCTTCGAGAGCAAGTCGCCGTTTGTGAAGGAACTCTTTCTGTAGCTTCATAACGACACGCCTTCGAGGGAATTCCAAGTGCCGGACGGACGGGTAGCGTTGGCGCAGCTTCTGATGCAGATCATGGAACTCGCTGTATCGTCGTGCAACGACCCACGATGCAGCGGGCATTTGCTCGCCGGCATTCCTTTGAACCTCCACGACGTCTAAAGTAACTAGTTAGCCTGGAACAAACGGTACATTAAAAGGTTCTCTCTTACACATAGCGAATTCACGGCCATCATCCTCCTCCTTGCCCACGACGGTAGACTTGAGGCTAACAGTCGACCTCCCAAACAAGCTGTTATCGCTTTCCTGGAGAATGTACTGTTGCCGCTGCATTTCCTTGCGGTGCATTTCGCGCTGGATGCTGGCCTTGGACTTGCGCAGGATTCTCAGTTCCGCGGTGTTGTTTGTCAGTTCTGCTTTGCGTGTCAATGCTTGGACCACGGCGTCCTGCGCGGCAAGCTTGTCGATATCCACTGAAAGCGCCTCAATCGCTTCCGTTAGACCCAAGTCACCCGGTGCAGCTTCGTGCACTTCATCTGCTGAGTCTTTTTCATCCACGCCATCTGGTTCTTCGTATTCATCTTCGATGAATTTCTGTTGATCCGGAAATAAGTCGTCATCAAATACACCAAGTCGCGACGCATGATCCACCAGACCAAGCGATGCGATGCTTTTCTTGGTTCTTTCATTCCGGTTGTCAACCTGGGGAATTTCAGACGAGCTGCGTGACGAAAGAACAGGACGCTCCGGCCCGAACAGACCGGCAGCATCTCCTTTGAGGTCTTCGATTCTTCCATTTTTCGGCTCATTTGTAATGATATCATTAAGCGCTGCCTCCATCGTCTCGAGGACTTGGCTTTGGCTCTGGCTAGCATCATTCTCGCCATTCTGGGAATCTTTACCCAAACTATGGGTGGACGTAGCGAGATTGTCGGTGTCGTAGTCGTCATCAAAAAGAGGAGCAGATCGTTCTGAATCTATTGATCGTCGTGGTGAATCGTCATCATCAAATAATTTCCCCATGCCCCGCACATCGCCAGACGAGACAGCGGCTCGTCGAAGGTCTTTGGATGGTCTCAATCCCGGATGGGAGCTGGTCCGTGACAACAAAGGGGGGAGGGGTCGCCTTTCGGGGGTCTCAAAAGTGACTGCTATGGGAGAGGATTGACGAACTGGCGGCTGGGCAGCAGATGCTTCATCGGACGCAAGATACTTCCAGTATAGATCAGACTCCTTGAACTTCGGATAATAAGTATCTTGGAGATGCTCTAGAATGGTAGACTGGGTTGTTAAAACCACCATTCGCGCTTTTCGGTATTGTTCGGGGGTGGCACGCTTTCCTGCACTCAGGAATGTCTTGACTGCTCGGCGAGACTCTTCAGAGACCTTCAATTCTGGCTTCGACAGGTAGGTTTCGCTGATGAGAGCTAGGTCGTTTCTGTCTGCTGGCTTCCATGCCAATGAAGTGGGCACTGCCTCATCTCCAAAGTCATCTTCAAGTGGGTTGCGGAATCCATCTACAACAACCCAGAATTGAACAAGCGACATCAGCTTTTGGCGGTCCATAAACTCCATGAAATAAGAAAGCCCGGATGCGTTGTGCATCACGTCAACCAGTGACGACTCATGCGTTCTAGATGGGATCTCAGGTCGAAGGTCTAGTGCTGGAGGTACCTGGGAGTTCTCGCCAGGTTTCGCAAGATTCGCCACTTTCTGATCAAGAACACGTTTGCCGGTTTCCAGACGCTTCAGATAGACCTGATCCTGGCCCTCGACCACACTCTCTTGTTTTAATTGACTGGAAACGAGGGCACGGAACCGACGGGCATCGGAGAGGTTATTACATTTCCTAATTGCCCTCACAAAGCGCTCAAAGGCTCGCTCTGAATCGGTTGCTGACAGTCGTGGGAATGGTTGCCCACGCTTGGACTTGGGTGTGGGTGACGCATGCTGGTCCAAAGCGGCGCGCAGTTTGCGCACAGTCTTCCGATCTTGCAAAGTTGTACGGCCATATGCTTCCATCAATTGGTTCCATGTGTCTGGATCTGATAATGCAGTGACTATCGGAATAAGCACGGCGCATGAGATGATTTCGCGAATCAGAACGGACACAATTCGACTGTTTAGCACGCTTTCGGGGAATAGCTGGGGTAAAAGGCCAACCGCTAGCTTGCGCAGGTATTCCTGTTGAACAGTTTTTTGATCGGACACAGAGGTTGCAACAGCAGGATGTAAGCGACCTTCACGGTATTTGTTTGCAATGGCCAGATCAAGCTCGCCAGACTCGGTCACATTTCGACTAAGATTGCGCCCCCGAACAGAACGCTCGGCAATGTCAAATTCCTTGAGGTGCGATGTCACGATAGGAAAGATGCGCGATACGATCAGCGAGATCATGTCCTCCGCAACCAACCTATCCCGGAGGTTTTCGAGGGCGACGCGAATCGTTCGATCAACCTCATTGGTAAATATGGGGTTCGGACTAATACTGTGGTACCACGAGGAAACAAAGTCTCGGGTGATGAAAGATAGAAGTTCGTCAATCCCTTCCGATACGACAAAGGACTGAGGATAGAGTGGCCGGGGCCGGTATCGCGTGCTCCGGCGGACATTCAGCACTTCCTTTCGCCATTGGTCGGGTTTTATGAAAGCCACTGAAACGTTCTTCGCGTTGACTTTGTAATTCTGGTGCCGGATTGTCAATGTGACAAGCCCTAAAAGACCCACAGAAGATAGGACGGCGCCCAGCGTCACGGCATATCCTATATACCGGAGGATCGGCAGCCAGCGAACCACAAGACCCCAAGCGATGAACACGCCGACGCCCGCCAGAACTAGGTCGCGGCGACTAAGGGCCATTCTCCCCACACTCTTGTCAGAGCTCCACGGCTCATAACGATCACTCCCGGGAATTTGGGAGCGAACAGCTCGGCATAGTATTATGGTCTCGGTCAACTGGGCCTGGTTGGCGAGGAAGCTCTCGTTTGTATCGAGCGTCCTGGAATGAAATCAGTATCCGGTGTTGCAAAGTCCCTAAGAGATAGAGAAGATAAAGACGTGGATCTCAGCTGTAAAGGCAGTATCAAAAAGAAAAGCCAAGCAAAGAGTCGAGAAAGACAACGATCCCGTGACCGTGCGGGAGGAACCCGTGGACGTCATTTTTGTTTACTTAAGCTGCTAATCCGGGGCCAACCCCAGCGGTCAACTTCATATTTCCCCTCTTCTTCTTCCTCTTCCTATTTTCTTCTCTTCACTCTTCCTGGTTTACCGGTTTCTGCGCCATGGCCTCTCTTACGGATTTTATCGATTTTTCCTCTAAGCCTTTACTATGTGAGTTGATCTCTCTACAGGATCTCAACAATTTGCATGTGATTGACCCCAACAGGGTCCGCCGCGACTATTGCTTTTAACCCAATTTTCTGGAAGTGAGTGTCCATCGTGGTCGATAAAACTACAATGGCAATGTTTCTGTCCATGAGCAATAGCTAACCTAACCCGTCTAGCATTGTTGCCCGCGCAGGTTGGCCGACCCCACCCGAGGACTGTTGCATTCGACCTTGGCTAACCGGTGAACAGAGTACCGCAACCACTTCTTGACCCGCCTCTTTGGAGGCGCGTACAATGGCTGCTACTTCCTTGCATTCACTATCTTCTCCCTCGGAATTCTCCGTGACCATGTCTACCAACTCGCTCTAGCTGACCAGCCCTTCTACGCTCCTGTCCACCAACCGATCGTTGGAGGTGTCTTGTTTACTATCGGTTCGGTCCTGGTTCTCTCCAGTATGTGGGCTCTTGGTGTGACCGGTACCTACCTTGGCGACTACTTCGGTATTCTCATGGACGCTCCCGTCACCGGGTTCCCTTTCAACGTGACCGGCTCGCCGATGTACTGGGGTAGCACTTTGAACTTCCTCGGTGTTGCACTGTACCACGGCAAGGTTGCTGGTATTCTTTTGACGGCCCAGGTCTTTGTCCTGTACTGGTTCGCTCTTGGCTGGGAAGAGTAAGTAGTCATTCTTGAAGCATTCCTAGAAATAAACTGACTGTCTCTAGCCCCTTCACTGCTGAGATTTACGCCAAGCGTGAGCGTGAGCGTGCCAAGAAGCAGGGCGGCAAGAAGCAATAAGCGCCATGAATGTATACCAGGATTGGCCGGGACATTCAACATCCACAATCCGCACACCAAAAGAGAGGCCGAGAGAGAGAGGTCAGGTTGCTCAAACAACGTGATACCCAAAAGTCTGGGGCTGCCCACGACAAGTTTCCAGCACACGGACGCTTCCGAATCTTCAACGATGCTGGACCTGTAGACAATAGATCTTTGCCTTGTCCTTGATACTGGGGATGAGTAGAACAGGACAAGGCCCCACTGTGATTTCCCTTACGCGACTACAAAAGATATAATTCAATCAACCCATCGCGCCAAAACTGCAGTACAACTGTGAATCAGTAGACCTTTGTTGCCGACTTGTGATTGCTGAGGATGTACAAGGGGCTTTGGAAGTGTTTGTCTGTTTTAGGGCAATGGGAGAGAGATATCTACAGCAGACAAAAGAAAGCTCCAGACGATTAAATAAAAAGGCTTTGAATCTCTAACATGCTACAATTATGTTTTCTCTGCCTCTTCCCATACACTATGCTTCTACGGTGGAGAAGAGCAGAGCGGCAAGGCAATGGCCACTGAATAACAATTCAAGCAATTAAAACAGATACAGCATGATCATGAAGACCTGTTGAGACCGATATTCTGCCTGGTGCCTGGTTTGGTATGCTCCCTAGGATTTAGCTGGCTTCTTTTTGTTTGTAGATAATAAATCCTTCTTCTCTCTTCTTTGCTCTAGTCATGGGCTCAGTTGTCAGAGTGTTATACTACAGCCCAGTGTCTTAGTGATTTCGGTCTATACTCAATCCCCCAATGTGACTACACAATGCCCTAGCTAATATAAGACCTGTTTGACTAGAGACCAGGTTTCTACCAATCTTTCAAGCCATATATTTAGGTATGCTGGACTTTCCTCTTCACCTCTCGGGTCACCAACCCGAGTCAATCCCTTGAAATCCCCAGATATCAAGCTTCAGCAAAACCCAAGCAAAAAGCCAGTGCAACTGCCAAGTTTTTTTTGCCAACATTAGTCCCCTGAGCTCACTACCATTGCATATGTACCATTTGATGCATGGTCAGCTCAGCCTTGCACTGGCACCTGCTGCTCTCAGGTGATGCGTAAGTGAGAAACAAATGAGAGCTCCCTTGAGGAGATATCATAAAAGGACCAAGCTAATATATACAGACCTTGAGAAAAGAACCATATATGAGGCTTGAACTCCAGCGAAAACAATACAGTCGACTGTGGCGAAGCAAACCATGGCCACAGTTATCAATTTGCACAGGTCATCTAAGAACCCGAAGTTTGGCGAGCAAAGAAGACAACAAGGACCAATTGAAGTCAAACCCGAGTTCCAACGCCTCAAATGCGCTAGGCATCACCTTCGGCTCTTTGGGGTGGACTAAACCAAAAAACTACCCGTGGACCGCACCTCGTCCTATGACAAAGACTTGAGTGACAAGGCTCGTCAGGAACTACCGATACTCTTTGCTGGCCTTCCTCACTCTTAAGGTGGGAGGAAGGTCTTCACGGCGAGGATCATGCCTGGTGGTTTGCGATGTGCTTTGAATTCGCCTGTGATGATTCCAACACGACGTCGGCTACAACTCCACAGGCTCAGGGACCTCGCCTGCTTGCTAGAGAAGACTCAGTGTTTTTCGTGCTGAGCATTATCATCACCCTTCTCTTTTCTCAAAAGTGCGAGGATTACGTTGGGTGGGTTTGCCCTGCGCTGTGGATTCGTCTGTGATGACCCCAAATCGACGTCGGCTATGATGAACCAGGAGTACGGGATAAAAAGAAGAGCCAGCATATTGGAACTAGCGTTACTTTTTTATTTCCGCTGAGGATTTGTCCGTCATTGCCAGATATCCTGGGAACTGGCTAGGATGAATCAGCCTAGGAACCACTGGTGATAATCATGACGAACTCGCCTTGTTGAGCAAGATAGCAGGGCCACCCTGAAAGAACACACAGATGGATTTGGATCAGAAACAGGAATGGTGGAAACATGGAAGCACGCAATCAGGGAGCACTGAGAAACCACTTCCAAGGTCCAGCGTGAACTCTTTTAAAAGACGTGCACTTTGGCTCAATCAAACGAGGCTGGGGTGTTTCATCTTGCTGTGTCCCCCGAGAAGGAAGAAGAATGGGCAGATTAAGCAGGCAGAACAACAGGAAGAGAAGAAGAAATCAGACAAAACCCTGTGGAGCAGAAGAGAGTGAAGTTGCGACTGGGGAGATGAAGATACTTACAGAAGAAGAAGCGCATCCAAGACTCGAATACAGACCATTTACCATGTTCAACATCTACTGCCCCTAGTAGATGAATCAAAAAGATCGTCGAATGTAAAAGCACTTGCCAGGCTCATGGTGTCACCCGTATACCTAGGTATCTAGGCATGCCGAGAATACTTGACCTGGACAAAGACCGTGCCGACATCCCCAGGAACCAGTAAGCCACCGATACCACTGTGGAAGGCGCAGATCCAAGCCGAAGACATGGAACAAATGGACTCCTTCGGGTAAGGCTATGATAGCCACGACTTACCATACTCAGACATGACATTGACAACCTAGGCACCGAGTCTGTATGGAAGCCCTGGAAGATGAAAAACAGAGTTGCCGAAAGACAGAGAGTCGGAATTTGACCGTCAATTTTACCGTCAATTTGACCCTCAATCTGACAGCTTGAACCGAACCCCTTCCCCCCATAGAGGACATTATTCGACTATGCCAGAAGAAGAACAGATACCTGCCGAATTGTGGCAGTGAGTATCGATGCCGCATAGCTGCTCAGATACCAAATTGTCTGCAGCTGTAAAGACGTGGCTAGCACGCAGGACGAGGCTCAGACCAAAAGGAGCAAACCTACGATGCTAATTCCGAGATCGAAGGGCAAGGACGAGAACAATACCAATGACGAGGGCGAAGAAAGGCAAAAGCAAGATATTGGCACGTGGACAGTCTCACCATGCGCGCATTGTCTCCTCCCCAAGTGGACTTGCGTGCCCTACTGGGATGGCCCATGGACATTCCAGTTGTTATTTTTTACGTGGATTAATGAAAGATTTCCTGTTAAACCAGAAAAAAAAGTAACCAAAAATCATGTTTATTATAGAAATGAGGGTATATACCGACGCCACATGAATCAAAGAGCCCAAAGAGACAGAGACAGGGTAGTATGTAGGGTTCATATCACCAGGAATAGACCAGGACATGACAACCAGGAAGCCCAAGATCAAGGAGAAGAAGCAAAGAAGCAAAGAAGAACAGCATTGTCAACAGCCCATTCCTCACTGCCGCCTTCCCCTCCCTCTCTTCCCCTGCGTCCGACTCTCATCAACAGTTTCAACTTCATCTTCATCGGTTCCCTTCTTCAAGTCCTCCCCCTCGGCAAGCCCCCACTGCTCACGGTCATACCAGTCCTCACCATCACTCATCTCCCCAACGTGTCCCTCAGCCTTGCACCACTCCAGAACATCAGCTTTCATGCGGCAAGATCTATTCAGCGAATCGAGCATGTGCTCGACCCCGCGCACTGTCTCTTCCTGCTTCTGGATATATGACCAGAGCAAGCGGCGGGTTTCCTCGGCTTCGGCGGCGGGAAGGCCAAAGTTAGGATCGGGGCGGATGTTTTCCGGGACGAGGAAGAGGGGGTGCGGGGTTGGGAGTGGGAATGCTGTGTCGGAGAGTGGGGAGCCGTTTTCGTTTTCGTTTGGGTTGACTGCGTTGGCTTGTGCGCGCGTTGTCATTCGCCGTGGTGGTTCTGGTGAGGAGCCGTCGTGCATTTCGAGGTCTTGTTCTGTGTCGTCGTTGAGTTCGGTTGTGTCGACGGGATCGGCATCTTTCATTGTGTCCATGTCTTGTTTCCCATTGGGGGGTGGATTTGTGCTCGCCCCGGCTGCATCGTTGTTGTTGCTGCTCTCCTGGGCGGGAGTCGAGGTGTTAGGGTGAGGTGGGAGGTCTTTGACGGTGGCATCGGTCTCTTCTGATTTAAGCTGCAGGCCATTCTTGATGGGTTCGCCCTCTGCTGGGACGTCGGCCATTTCCACGTCATTCTGCGTTGAACTCGTCTGGGCTTTTGTCCCGTTCTGTGCCAGCTGGGGGTCCTGGGCGGCTGTTGGTACAGGTACCTTTTGTACCGCGTCCTGCGGGCCATTGAGGTCTTTAGTGGTGGACGGAGTACCAGTCCCACTTGCACTTTGCTGACCGGCATATACGCTCGGGTCATTACTAGCAAGCCTGGGGTCGAAGATCAAGTGATCATTAGGCGTCTCGAGCGCACCGCACGGCATCCAACCGCTATCGCCGAGAAATTGCCTATGCAAGCTCCTGGCGCGCCAGAGCAAAGCGCGTTCCTGGCGGAGCTTGTGTTCGACCGCCAATGCCATTTTCTCCAGGGCTTGCGACGTGTATGCTTGGGACATAGAAGGATGGGTGGGGAGTTCGGAAGGATGCTTCAGGGGGCACAGAAGAGCTAGAAAAAAAAAGAAACAGGTCAGTCATAAAGTCACGGATAGTAGTCAAAAATGGAAGGGAAAAACCTACTCTCAAGCGCAATCCCAGAGAACGGGTTCTCTTCAGCAGCCGCAGCATCAGCCTCGGAATCTTCATCATCCTCATCAAGCTCGTCTCCCTCTGAATCATAGCGAACTGGGTTGGGCTGAAGAATGTAGCGTGTATAACCAGCATGATCGACTTTCTAATCACCAGTCAAAAGTCAGTTTCCATAAAATCCTAGTCCCATCTTATCGCCAGCGCCCAAGTCCCGAGATCGGCGAACCACGCACCTGCTTGTAGTAATCCTCGGCGTTGATGTAGCCCAGTGCACCCTCGCTCACATACTTAGCATTAGCATGCATTTTGTTCCCCCGGTTCGTCGGCGCCATGATCGGGTCATCCGGGCCATTGTCTGGTGAAGAAAGATGTCAGAAAACAATTCTGCTTGAAGAAGCAGACTTCTTGGTCGCTAACTTACCGTCACGCTCTCTGCGCAAGGCCCGCTTCATGCCAGTGATGGTATCGGCGATCAACGCCGCTTGCGCCGCCATAGTTACGGTGTTGGCAACGAGACTGTCGGGTTAGACAAGTCGGTTTGCGCGTTGGAGGGGGTTTCTCGGGCAAATGGGGGCGTGGGAACGGATTCCCGAGGAGAGAAAAAGTAAGAGGCCGGGTAGTTCGATGCCGAGGCCTCAATTATAGGTGTAGATACTGCGGGGATCAAGGGAAGTGAGCTGTAATGTCTTTGAGTGACGGTGATGAAGCTCTCTGACGGCAAGACATGCGGAAGACCGATCGCCGCTAGCCGATTTAGGAAATCCGGTTTATGTTGATAAGGGTTGGACACGTGACATACCCTCATCTAACTAACTATACAGAGCAACTTGTGTATGAAGTCGGGGATGTTTATTCTATATACAATATTTGCTCATATGAGACAATCCAATTCCTCTACAGCATGTATCTCGGATTACAGTTATATCTTTCAATCTTCGGCATCAACCCATACCAGAACCCCCTTCTTGTCCGACCTCATATCCCCCGTTGGAAGGACGCGGAGCGTTTTGTTGAAGTAGGTATCAATAACCACCAGCTGTGGCTGAATCCATAAGCCGCGCTTCGCCGCAAACAGATTGAAGTTCACCGTATGGCGACTCAGAGGCACGAGCTGCACAACGGTGGTCTTAGGCCCGCTAAAGGCAAAGTGCTCGCTAGCTTCCATGACCAGGTTGAAGGTAAGGAAGTGGGTGGAGGAGTTCTCCAGTACATAATCCATATGAATCAACCCTGCCATATTGCTGGACGGGGTAGCCGATGCAAGGATTCGAGGCTCACCCATCGGGACGACAAATCGGGGAATATCGAGGACGGTGGTTGTGACCGAGTTCTCTGCGTCGGAGGAACCTGCATATTCAGATGACTGCCGACGCCAATTGACCTCCAATGCGCAGGTGAGCGCAGTTGGTCGACGGTCTCCGAGAAGAAGCTTCTGGATATCGAGGCAGAAGTTGGATTCTCGCAGTTCTTCTGGTGCGAGATGGGGCGTTTCTGGACTGACAAGCTCTTCCGAGTGAACCTCGCAGATGGCTCCCCCGTTGGCTTCGAGGAGAATTAGGGACATCTTGTCAATTACCAGTGGCTCCAGTGCAAAGGAAACTACCTTGGAATTGAGGCACCACTTCTGGAAAAGGCCTCCCGGGCTTGGCGCAGAGTCATCCTCGAGTAAGTTATCGCTAACTGCGAAGAAATTGGACCATGGCTGAGGGTGAATTGCCGGCAAGAATTCATAGTTTGCTTCAAAAGGCCGAATAAATGATAGATCCACGGTGATGTTCTTCATAATTGGGGTCTGGATATCAGACACCAAATGGTACACAGCCGAAACTTCCAACGTGAAATCCGTAGCCTCTTGGGTATCGGCCAGCACAATTGTAAGAGTTTTGTTGGAAGAGCGCTCCAGAACACCCACAGCTCGTTTCAAATAATGAGACGGCCCCTCAGTCGGGGTGCTGGCGCCTGATTCGAGGGGTTCAGGGTTGCTATCGCCGTCGAGCCACTGTATTTGAGCAGTGGACTCGGTACCGAAGAGTCTGATTTCAGCAGATACATCGGCAGCTTCGTCTTCTTCGTTGTGTATACTAATCTGGAGCATCACCCGTTCATTGGTATAATAGGTCTCCTTCAGGTTGGGAGTTGTAAGGCGGATCTTGGGAGGCTTAGGCATAACCTTGCACCTGCCAGTATCCCGATCCTTGCCCACTCTTCTGCGGGTCACGCCCTTTTGCGTCTGCTGCCACCAGAAGGATTCACGCTGATTTGGCTCGGTGATTGCATAACCCAAATCGAATTGTTCTTCTTCGATCAGCATGGTGATTGAAGCAACCCTGGCTTCACCAGCTTCGCGAGGAATACAGGTGAGGTTGAAGATCTTGGTCTGGGAGGACCCCAGAGTCAGATCTGCTATACCTACCAATGCGGTCAGTCCACCGGCTGGAGATTGGACCGTGGTATCAGGATTGCTCGGCTCGCGGAGTGGAAGAGTTGCGATGCAACATGGGGTTGTCGTGTCAGCATCTTGATTCTGGTCAGATTGAACCTTTACTGGGCGAAGACATCCTTCAAAAACCAGTTTGACCTCTGAAAGCCGGATAGGGGCCGAGGATGTATGAGCATAGGATGTGATGGCAAGTTGAGCCTGTAGAGGTTCCCCAACGTTGCCATCGGATTTCTCAAACACCAACGATGCGGTCACTTTGAAGACAGTGGTCAGTGCAATCTTTGCATTTTGGGCTTGTCAACTTACGACTCGTTATAACATCCTCTGCACGAAGGATAAGAGAAGGTTTGGGCTTCTCTGAAGGCAGACTTTCAAGACTCCTGTGGATGTCATAATGCCATGCAGGTCTTGGTTTGAAAGCTATCAAAATGAATATTAACACTGAAGACAATACGCACAAGATAAATGGAATTAACTCACTCTTATTCAGCAGCTCCCAGTCCACTCGCAAGACTGTCTCGCTGTCCTGCACCCTGAGAGCACATTCTCTGAGTGCCCATCCGAAATTGACCATCAGATGCCACCACCCTGAGCGGCGCCAGCTAAGAGTAGACCACAGCGGTCGAAGAAGGCTATGCGCTTCGGACCATGAGCCAATGCGCATATACTCCTCGGCCGCCTCAAGACTCAAGCTCTCAACTTTCCTTGTTTGGTGGCGTTTTGCGAATTCCCCGATAGCAGCCTTCAGCGTGTTCAATATTAAACCAGAGTGGTCGAAGCCAGTTCGTCCTTCTTGGGGTGCTTCGGCATGAGCGTCGGGAACAAGATACGTGTCGTACAAGTAGGATTTGTTTGCGAGTTGTGTGGCGGGTGATTGCCCAGGGAGCTTGCGATCTTCCATGGGAATTTCATGGGCAAGCGCACGTCGGATTATTGTATGCTTCGCTGAACGGTGGAGCCAGTAACCCTCGTGGTGGAGATTTTCCCAGGGCCTAACTCTTTCCCCGGTTGGAATCGATTTCTCTGGTAAAGTATAGAGCTCTCCAGGATGTTCAGAGGATATTTCGCTGGAGATAGACGGAATTTCCGCTCGGCGGATAAGCTGTGCCATTACCATGGACCAACGCGCCTCCCAGGCCTCCCATCCGTAGTGTTTACTGCCCTTTCCTCTGCGATTGACGATATCCTTTACACGAATTCTATGGTCAACCCAAAGCCGAGCTGCGGCGGTCGTCTGACCCGTCCATAACAGGCAGCGTATAATTCGAATGGCAAGGGCGTCGGCCAAGAGGCGCGCATCGTTAAATCGAGGATTCCAGCCCGCAATATTTTCAAAAACTTCATGGCCAAATAGAGTGTCATACGCACTCTCATAGTTCCGACAGGCTGCATCCATTTCTTGGCGAAACTCGGCAAAAATTCCGAGCTTGAATTCATACCGTACGTTCCAGCCTTGAGATGATAGGGTCTGAGAAGTTCCGGTCGTTGGTGGTGCAGTCGGAGGAGGGATACTGCCCCGGTTTCGTTTGCGTCTGGCATGCTTGGACAGATCCCGATAGTATTCAACAACCGACGGTTGCAGTAGAGAGAAGATTGATGTCACAAAGTCTTGCAGTTCCGACGAAGTTGCGTCTGGTGGGATCACAAATATCGACCTGGGGTCAAGGTTTGTTGCCCGCCGAATCCCCGCAATGCGGTCATCAATCTCGCCCTCATAGCCGCCTTCTTCCCCGTCTTCTGATATTAGAACGACCACAAATCGCGTCTTGTACCCGGAGGTTTGCCATTCTTTTTTCAAGCTGTTGATCTCGATTTTGAGTTGATTATCTCGTAGCGAGTTCATGTTCGGGTCCAACGAGAATGGGAAGAAATTTATCACTGCTGCTGGAACCAGGTCTTGGTGTTTAGTTACCCATAGAGGAGTAAGCAAGCCATCTGGGAAAGTTGGGGAGCCGGGTGACAATGGCGATATCGGCGAGTGGAGGACATAGCGTGTGCTAGGTTCCGAGTGTTCATTGTCCTGATCATCGCTGGGAGTAGTTGGTGGTGACGGGATAGGGGGGTCGGCTTTCCGTGGGGGTAGTCTGCATGACTGTGTTGATGTTAGCAAGCAGTCCGCAGTACGGTGTTGTGAAACCAAAGGGATTGGAATCATAGAGTATCAACGTACGCGGCCAGAACTTTTGATGCGGTAACCAATATTTGCAGTTGTAGTATTCCCGCTTGCAGTAACTCTGGACTTCCATGGCGTCTGAGTGCTATCTTCCTCTAGAAGCAGGCTCCGGAGCTCCTCCGCAACAGCCCCGCTCAGAGGTGGGAAGTCTGAGAAGATATGGGTCCCCTTCTCTGATAGCAGAGGATAGCTCGAGGAAGTTTCAGAGCCATTTTCAGGATCTGCCTCCAGTCCTGAGAGCAGGACTAAAGGCAGATTGTGATTGACGTAGTCTTCGGGGTAGGCGTCCATTGCGGGCAATGGCTGTTTCGCAGCGCGGTCACCACATGTCTAGAGGATATAGAAGACCTGTGGATTTAAAGAGCAAGATATAAAAATCCTGCTAACGAGAGTAAAGCCCAAATATGCTTCGGAGTTTCAATGATGTTTTGGGTAAGATAGGCAATGGCTGGGGGGATACTGCCATGTTGCCATGGTGGGCGGTCAACTATGTTTTACTCCAGAGATCAGCTGGCTACAGATGTAGGAGTTGAGCATTGTACTTATTATTGTGACATATGTAGATCTCTAGGTGTATAAAATAGATTCGACATGCAAATAAACGTACTCCGTATATAGTGTGGCAAATATAAGACGTTTAATCGGTGTTTAGTTTATGATTGGAAATTATATGTCCTAGTATATAGATCCGCTATATATATTTGTTTACTATTTTACTATTTTACGATTTCGCCTTTAATCGGTTTAAATGGTTTAGAGTCAAATTTATAGAATCTGGAGCATAGACTTTGAACTGGATAGCGATGTTTATTTACCTACATATGTACAACATAGTATTCTATAATACTAGCCTGAGTTGATCAGTATGATTCTCGTATCGCCTGTGAAGCCTATTAAGCCTATTAAGGGGGCCCGGGGGTCTCCCAGAAGGAGTAATTTGGAAAACCACGTGGAATCTCAAATACTTTTGGACATAGCGAGGAATCTAATATACTAATAGTATACTGTAGACCTCTTCATATAGTTAGATATTGATTTAGTCTATATTGTGTACTCCCTACTCCCTATATACCTAGTGTAATCGGCAAATTAAGATCCTCTGTGGAGAAAAAGGCGTCAACGCTAAGAGATCTCAAAAAAAATAAGAGAACTCCCTTTTCTTTCCCTTGACCATTTGCGCTTAATATCTTCTTTTCTCTCTTTTCATACTGGTATAACCGGGATCCCTTCTTTTTAATCTTCTTACGCTCGCTCACCAATTTTTCTATTATCTCAAATACTGTAAGGGGGGCAGAAACCCTTATCAAACATCTTTCGCATGCAGTAGATCATGCGTGTACCCATTTATCCTGCATCCGATCCTTGAAGTTTGTCTGTTTTAAGGGTTGCACCCTTAGACTATTGAACTATGTCGAACGAGAACCCCGTGAAAGCAGAGTCAGCTCTGCTTAGTCGTCGCCGTCGTCGTAAATCGCTGCCTTCGCGCAATGGAACTGATCCAACCTCGCCTGAAGTCATTTCCTCCCTTATTTCCTCCCTTTCCACCATCTCCGTGCCTCTAAACTCGCACTTTGACACCGTCCCGAAGATCGACAACGAATCAGACCCAGGATTGCCAGAAGTACCGCACACCGCGCCAGTTTACTCCCTTCCTCCGTCCGAGCAACATGGGTTTGGAATGAGTTACGGTGCCTACAAGCCAGCGGTCGAGCCACCCGCCCTACCGGAAAACCCATTTTTGCACCCCGACGATGCGGCCTCGTCTCCTGTCATTCGCATGGCCAGGGCACCCCCGTCACCAAAGTCGCCCCGATCGCCGAGATTCAAGCCCTTCAGAACGACCGACTCATCGTCCACTCGCCCAGTTTCGAGGGAATCCTATACATCTGTGATAGCCGCCCCAGAGCCTTCCTCATTCGGAACGATCAGCACGGAGCCTGGCCCCCGTCTGTCAACCCCGAGCATTGCTTCGAATAGTTCTGCAGGTCGGACAAAAAGCCTAAAGGGTCAATTCAGTCTATTGAAGAGGTCATCACGAGAATTCCTGGGCGAAAAAGATCCACAAGTCGAGCGCCTGCGAAAGACTACCAGCTACAACGACAGTCTACGACACAACATCCCGCGCAGCCGAGCAAGCTTGCGCTCATTGCATTCCATGGCGGAGGTTACAGAGGAGGTTCGTCCTGCGGACGTCAAGGAAGAACCATACGAAGAGAAAGTCGCCAGCACTCCACCAACCAAAGATTACCAATCGTTCCACGGTACCCCAGATGCTAGCAATCCCGGCGGAATTGGAAGCGGTAGAATCATTCCAACTCGCGACTCATCTCTGCGACATCGACATAGCCAGTCGTCGAGCTCGAAAAAGCACCGCTCTGCTCGTCATAGTCGATACTCTTCCACGGCCAGCAAAGAGTTCAACACAGACAATGGATCACCGGGAACGAGCAATGACGCAGAACAGGTGACCCGCCGGATCCAAGAGTTGAAAGACCAGCAACAGAAGATCAAGACCGAGTTGGAATTGGAAAACAGCCCTGAACACTCGACTAAGACGAGCCCAGTGAAGCAGGCAAAGGCTTCAAAGGTATCGCGCGTTCTAGGATATGATGTCAACCAGGCCACCATGCAGAATGGACCAGGCCGCGATCATCCATCTTTCAACGACAGTGCTCCTTCTCCAAATGTGATGACAGGGAAAAGTCGCACTGGGAGCAGGCCAGGAGCACCACTTGCATCGAAGTCTACCCACCTACCACCGCAGTTGCCCAAGTCATCTGCGGAGAACCTGGATTCTGAGAGAGCTAGATACAGACAGTCCCTCGAGCCAATCACACCAATCACCCATCGCCGCACCCCATCCGGTCATCTGTCCCATCTGTCAAATGGGCGTCCCTCGTACAGTACCGAACGACCATCTAGTGCGGATTCAATTGATCTCGCTGTTGACGACTACATCTTTTCGCCGAAGCTGACCCAGAGAGTGATCCACCCAACAACTGGCCGCTCCATTGCCTTCTCTGAAGTTGGCAATCCTAAGGGCCATGTCGTGCTTTGCTGTGTCGGCATGGGTCTCACTCGATATCTGATGGCATTTTATGATGAGTTGGCTCGGACGCTCAATCTACGACTGGTCACATTGGATCGCCCTGGCGTTGGCGAGAGCGGTCCACACCAGGGAGACGAGCCGAGCACCCCTCTCAGCTGGCCCGGTAAGCAAGACTGCGGAGAGATTCCAATACTGCGCTAATTAGTAATAGATGATGTTGCAATCGTTTGCAACCACCTCCGAGTGACCAAATTTTCCATCCTTGCCCATTCTGCCGGCGCAATCTACGCTCTTGCAACGGCTCTCCGAATTCCGCAGCATATCCGTGGCCGCATTCATCTCTTAGCCCCATGGATTCCCCCATCTCAGTTGTCTAACATCGGCTCTAAGAAGGATCCCGCGCCTACCAACGCCGTCCCTTACTCCCAAAAGATCCTTCGTGCGCTTCCCACGTCCCTTCTCAAAGTGGCCAATTCAAGCTTTATGAGTGCCACTAGTGCCAGCATCACCACCAGTCTACCCAAGTCGCCGCGACGGGCCAAGCGCAAGGTTGCTGCCAAAGAAGCTTCCAATGCGAATGCCATCCGTCCTGTACCGCTTATACCTGCTGTTGAAAACAACCCGCAGACCCAGCGAGTGGACATTGTACCCAATATAAAACCGTCCGCTTCGACTACCGCTTCGTACAGAAAGAGTGACACGACTCTCGGATCTCGCGCAAAGTCTCCAGAAGACGAGGTCGAGCGGCAGCGTGACTATGATACTCGTCTCACCTACAAGATCTGGGAGCTGGCCACCACCAACGCCAACCCGGCGGTTGATTTGCTGATCTGCCTCGAGCGTCGCCAAACAATTGGGTTCCGCTACGTGGACATCACGCGATCAGTGGTGATGCACCATGGCAGCAAAGACCCCCGCGTTCCAGTGGAGAATGTCCAGTGGCTTGGCAAGACGATGCGCCGCTGCGAGGTCCGGATCCTCGAAGGCGAAGGCCACGGCCTCATGGCATCTGCTGGTGTCATGGGCAATGTCTTGACCGAGATTGCCAAGGAGTGGGAGGATTGGACGATCCTTGTCCAAGGCAAACGCCGAGCCACTGCCATCCATGCTACACGGCCTGGACTCTCGATTCAAACTTGATCTCCCCGGTCTGCCATGTTTTCCCCTTTATCCGATTGTTTTTGACATAACACTTCACTTTCAGCCCTGGTGGCTCATCTTCCCCTAATTTTTACCATCGCACTCGTTTTGACAGGCTAGGCCGCAGCTGGTCTGCGGTTCCCACTGCTCTGACATACACCTTTCAAGTTCTATATCCTATCATTTATCCTTACCCCTTTCTTACCCATCTACATACACCTACTGGTGCGAGGTTCATGCCCTCTCTATGATTTACTGTTGACATGGGTTTTGCCTTTGAACAAAAGAGCCCGTCTGATTTAGCACAATACCCAGTCATGCCATATACTAATCAATATTGATAATTCACCTTGACTTACTATGTATATCGTAAAAATAAAAGTAAGACATAAAACAAGCATAAATTATTTACATCATAGCTCCGCCAAGCATCAGCGCTCAGACGGGCAAACCCGCAAATCAGGAATGACATGCCCTTGGCCCCTTGACCCCACTTCTCCTGACCTGTCTGGAGTTTTTGATCTTTTTATTGTTAATTTTTGGAAGATTCAGGATCAAATGCGCAAGTGTCGAATGTTCCCAATACCCTAAACTGTTAGCTCTGCCGGGAACCGAGGAATTCTTGGCTGGAACACGTCACGTTGTCTCCAAGTCACCTCGGACACGACTTGGAGCATTTTGGATTCAGCTCTTTTTGAAACAAGTCACAAGCCACACGGCTATAAGCGCAATTCTCCATGCCTTCTTCCCAACGGCGGCTTCGACTGATCGTCGTTGCGGCCATCGCGCTTCTTTTCATGGTCTTTTACTACACTGTACGTTCCCAGATCCCCCTCTTTCGCACTGTCGCTTCAGGCATCTAATACAATGCATTCAAATCCACAGGGCGATGCAAGCAAAATCCAAAATCAAAAGTTCTATCGGTCAACCCTCGACGCAATGAAAGCGAAAGAGCAAGCTAAGCAGGCCAAGGGCCAAGAGAAGATCCAGAATCTCGTGCATGCGCCCGGACAGAATGGTGCTGCCGGTGCGGGTGCGGGTGACAAGGTGCCCGTCGCCGAGGTCGAGAAAGCTGCTGTTCCTCCTGCTACAGGGAATGAAGATACGGAGGATATCCCGATTGCGGGGCGGACGAAGATGACCGTTCCCAAGAAGGTGAATCAGGATGTGCCGGCAGAGGTTCAGTCGGAGATTAAGAGCGAGGAGGAGAAGGAGCGCGAGGAAAAAGCGAAGAGAGAGCGCGAGGAGAAAGAGAGAAAAGAGGCCGAGGCGACAACGGAGCTTAATGCGATTCTTAAGCGGGCTCCAGGTATGTTTCCTTCCCCCGTTTTCCATTTCTTGCCCGTATCCAAGTCTAACAGCATCCAGTCATCGTATTCTCCAAATCCTACTGCCCCTACAGCAAGAAAGCCAAGTTGATCTTGCTGGAGCACTACTCTATCGAGCCAAAACCGTTCGTGGTCGAATTGGACCAGCACCCGCTTGGGCCGTATCTGCAGGCCCTGCTCGCAAAGAGCACGGGGCGTCGCACTGTGCCAAATGTCCTCGTGAGCGGGAAGAGCATAGGTGGCGGAGACGATATTGCGGAATTGGATCAGAGCGACGAGCTGGCTTCGACGCTGCGACAAATGGGTGGGAAATGGATCGTGGATGTATCGCACCACGAGGTTGAGAAATCACTGTGAGATTAGTATTGTAAAACAAGTTTCAAGTCTTAATATCCGTAGCCCATAGCCATGGCAGAAAATTGGGAGGCATATGGTTGTTGCAGCTCATTGCATTGTACATAGTAACGAACTTACTCAGGAACTCCAGGCTCCAGCTTAATATTTACCACATGTACCTCTACCTGCCAATCACTCAAGTAATACCGGTAGAGCAAGTACTGGTACAAGCTGCGATAAGACGATAAGCTGATAAGGAACCCTAATTGCGCTAGACCCAAAATGTTCCTAAGCGACGCACAATCCCGTGACATCCAATTTCGCTCCACCACCAAGTCCATTCGAATTTTGAACCTCCCCGACATCGACAATCTACACCCCCGGCAACCACCAAAAGTCACGTCAAGATGCGGTACATTCACTCCGAGGAACGGCTGCCCATTCTGGACAATGGTGAGCGAATTTCTTTTTTATTGGAGGATCGAGGAAGCCGGTCGCACACAATACAACTTCTCTTTTGAGGGCACGAAATTCAACCCAGCCTAGCACGACACACGATCAACATTCAGCACCAATACAGCAGAAGCAGGAGGAAATATTGTGTGGGATCGGCGACTCGCACACCTACCAGACAATTCTTGATTTTGATTCAAAATATTGAATTTCACAAAAAGAAATGCCGTCAACTAACCCGAATCTTTTTTTGCTCTATAGTGAAGGTCCAGATTAAGTCCCGCGTCGTGACTGTCGAGGGTCCCCGCGGCAAGCTCGTCAAGGATCTCTCCCACATTGCCGTCACCTTCGGCCGCCCCGAGCAGAACGTTATCTCCATCGAGCTGCACCACGGTGCCCGCAAGGGTGTTGCTACCCTCCGTACCGTCCGTACCATCATTAACAACCTGATGATCGGCGTTACCCGTGGCTTCAAGTACAAGATGCGTTACGTCTACGCCCATTTCCCCATCAACGTCAACATCGAGCCCAACACCGAGACTGGCCGCTCTATTGTGGAGATCCGGTATGGAACCCTGGAACCTGCGGTTTTTCCGCTATGATTTCGAAATCATACCGTGAAAGTCAATTGTGGTGGAACTAGAGCTAACGTCTTGTTACCAGCAACTTCCTCGGTGAGAAGTACGTCCGCCGCATCACTGCCCAGCCCGATGTCGACATCGCTCCCTCCGCCAACGTCAAGGATGAGCTCATCCTCACCGGTAACTCCCTCGAGGGTGTGTCCCAGTCCGCCGCCGACATCCAGCAGATCTGCCGTGTCCGAAACAAGGATATCCGTAAGGTGAGTTATACGAACACAATTACTGCCGGGAGGACCCAAGTTTCTGAATCTATACTGACCATCCCTAGTTCTTGGACGGTCTTTACGTGTCGGAGAAGGGCAACATCATTGAAGAGTAAATGTGCCGCTTGGGAATGTATGGGGTGTCCGGGAGAGGTTTCTTTAATTTCGCCTACTTGCATATAGGGAAGCAAAGCGAAATGTCAAAAACAAAACGACCCTTTTGAAATTCACTGATTCCCTTACGCGAAAAACGTCTTTGTATGTGGCATGTAGAAATGTGCGCCCGTGGCAATTCCATTATTTCATTACTTTAATACTATAAGTATTGAGTAGAGAGAGAATCATGTCTCGTGGGGTTGTAGTTGGGAAGATGAAGATCCGGGGGAATCTGGATCGATCTGGTTCCAACTCTTCAACCTCCAACCTCCAAACACAATTGCTTCAGACCAAAATCGAGTCCAATTCATCTCCATAACACATGCTCGAATATCACACTGAATCACTCAATCTACTATCAATTCAATACCACTACCTCGATCTCAATCTCCAATCCCGTAGCACAACGCGCGTGACGTTCTAGCATGTGAAAGCCAATACCGGGGCCCGCATGTGCACCTCTCCCTCTACCAGCCACAACACAAACACATCCCTCGAATGAAAACATGGGGTCCTGGTGGCTAGGACTGTGGAGGATTGCTGGTGCGATCTGGAATATGGTGCTTGATGTTGCTCAGTTCTGGAGAGATGTAAGTGTTGTGCTCCAATCCCAGCTCGAGTGTCTTGTATGCGGGGAGAGGTCTGAGCCTGAGATGGCGAAGACAAAAGACACACAAGACTCAACATCGGATGTAGTTTTTGGTTTGATCCTGAGCTAATAAATGTCCCCTAGAAACTATTATCGTGGTGGCATTCCAAATCCCCTCGAGATCGACTCTTCCATACGCTAGCCAACGCGCAGAGCTATGAGGAGTGGGAAGAAGCCGCGTTTGAGCTCGACGAGCTACAAAGTAAAGACCTATGGTATGGAATCAAACCACACCAACTGAACCCAGCTCAAAACCCAATGTATCAAACCACAATCTAACCACCTACGCAGGCGCCAAAACCCCGTCAGCCGACACTACGACTACCGACTAATCCTCGGCCGACTCGAAGCACTGATGAGTGCACGGGAGTCAGAAGACATCCTAACACTAGTAAACCTACTCCGGTCGGGGCTAGTACGCAATCTGGGCAATATAACCAGCACGAAGCTATTCACGCACGCGTACGCAGGGACCAAGCTTCTAATCGATGACTACATTACGCAAGTAGCACTGTCAATTCAGTACGTGACATCTGTACCAGGAGCACCCATGCACCCGAGCGGGTTCAGCTCGCAAGCAAAGCTGGAGCTGCTGCACGATACGCGGCAGGCGTTTGGACGGACGACGCTGCTGCTGCAGGGCGGGTCTGCGTTCGGGCTGTGTCATCTTGGTGTTGTGAAAGCGTTGCATTTACAGGGTCTGTTGCCTCGGATTATTACGGGCACTGCTACCGGGGCGATGATTGCTGCGCTTGTGGGGATTCATTCTGAGGATGAGTTGTTGCCGCTGCTTGATGGGGAGGGTATTGATCTTTCTGCTTTTGAGAGGCGGAAGATGGTTAATGGTGGGGGTGGGGGCAATTCTGATTCCAGTTGGGTTGGGACGTTTTATCGAAGGATGAGGAGGTTGCTGAGGAAGGGGTATTTGTTTGATGTTGGTGTTTTGGAGGAATGTGTTCGGGCTAATGTTGGGGATCTTACGTTTGAAGAGGCATATGCGAGGTCGAAGCGCATTTTGAATATCACCGTTGCGACGACGGGGAAGAATGGGACGCCGAATCTGTTGAATTACTTGACTGCGCCGAATGTGGTATGTATTTCTCCCCTTCTCCTTGTCAGTGCTAGTGGTATCTAACACATTTCCTAGCTCATCTGGTCCGCAGCCGTAGCATCCAACGCCTCTTCCTCAGGCCTCTACTCACCCGTGACGATCTACTGCAAAGATGAAACAGGCACAATAATTCCATGGCCACTCACACAAGATGCAGTCTTCCGGCCCTGGCGACACGTCCAATACAACGAAGGCGAATCACCTCTCTCACGAATCTCGGAACTCTTCAACGTAAACCACTTCATCGTCTCCCAAGCTCGACCATACCTCGTCCCATTCCTCCGGTCAGAACTGAACCTCCTAGACCGACGCCAAACAGGCTGGAACAACCTCTCTCGCTCCGCAATGCGACTAATAATCGTCGAACTGCGACACCGGCTCCGCCAACTCGACTACCTAGGCGTGTTACCCGCCCCACTGAGCAGACTCCTCATCGACGAGACAATCCCCGGGCCGAACCTGACTCTCGTCCCGGACCTATGTTTCTGGGATCTGAGGAAACTGTTCCAGAGTCCAACGAAAGACCGCGTGTCTGAGTGGGCGCTTAAGGGCGAGAGGGGAGTTTGGCCGGCGATTAGTGCACTGAAGGTTCGGGAGGCGGTTGAGATTGAACTTGATAGAGGGTATCAGCTTGTTAGGCGGCGTCGACCGAGTGATGCTTCGGTTTCGGTGCCTGTGCCGAAGCAGACTAATTCTATGAATGAGGGGGTTCCTAGACGTAGGAAGGGTGGGAGTGAGAATGAGGAGGGGATTCTGGCTGATCGGGAGTGATATTGGGGTTATAGAGTTGCTATAACTAATGGACATTGTTTCTATGTCTGCAACTGCATGTAAATGGTGTACTTTGCACTTGAATGTTTTGACTTGGGAAAGATACATGTACCTCATGGACCAATCAAATGTTGGGGTGTCAATTGAGCACACCGACCTTTTAAGAATCTTCTCAGCGAAAGTCCCTTTTATCTCATCTTCTATATTGAAAGACATCATTGTCTGTTCATCCAAGCCTTTTACCTCACAAAGTCTCCATCATTCTGGACAGGTTATCGACAGCACCAACAGCCACCAAGCCATGGCAACTCCACCGTTTGACAACCCACAGCCGGAGATCCTGGAGATAAACGAGGCTTTCGAGACTATCAATGGCAGCTTTGGCTTTGCTGGCACGTTAGTCGTGTATCGAATGAATGGTCAATTATATCACGGAATGCTGAAAGCTCGTTACTATCCTTCCACAGTAGTCAACCCAGAGGACCTCACAAATGTCATCCAAATACCCTCCTCAGCCTACAGTCCTCTATATTCAACAGACTTGACACGAGCACATGACCCATTACCAAAAGACATACATGTGAAACGACCTCGATTGAACAGCTACGACCGGATTTCCCAAAGCCCCCAACCAAACACTATTGCAGAGTCACTCCTCGCTGAAGCAAAAGTGTGCGAACTGTTAATGCAACACCCACATCCTAATATCGCCATCTACCACGGTTGTCAGGTATCCGGCGACCGGATTACAGGTCTTTGCTTTAAGAAGTACTCGCACACGTTGATGAAAGAGGTTAATCCTGGCGCATTAATGAAGAGACAAGCAAGAAGCACACGGCAAACAATAAAAGACTACAGTGGTGTTCTAGAAGGTGTTGAGAGTGGTATTCGACATCTTCATTCTTTGGGGTTGGTTCATAATGATATCAATCCTAGTAACATCATGTTTGATGGTGATAAGCTAGTGATTATTGATTTTGGCTCCTGTCGGCCTATTGGAGAAAGTATGGAGGGGGTTGGCGGGACTTACGAGTGGTATGATGAGACTGTAATGCTGTCTCTTCCTGATAATGACCTCAATGCCTTCGAGGAAATTCGGATTTGGCTTGGGGATGACTCGCGGGCTTTTCAGTTTGGGGTTTAGTACTTCCCTGCTGTCTTGTTGGATTATTATAGGCGTTTGATTGGGCTTGAATAAGATAAAACTAGTTTGACTCAATTTATAGGAGTTATTGTATGATATAGCGCTGCATGGTAACTACTCTGACTGGTATTTGTATAGTGAGTGGCTGTGTGCGCAGAGTATCTGACCAACTTCCAGTTACCTATTTATTCCTAAGACCAGCTGAAATTGTCAAGCAATGATGTATAAATAACCCTCCATACATAAAACAAATCATTTCACCAGCTCTAATCCAAAGAGAAAACTTACTGTTCTATGTCTCTAATCCATTTCGTGCCTTTCCCAGTCTCAAAAACATGGCACCTCCTTTTCTCGCCAGAAACTGCAGTAACAATGAAAGTCAGAATAAACCTGTTGTCTCTAGAATTGAACCTAGATCGGTGGACGGGCTCGTCTCCCCAGAACCTAGTGTTCAAGTTAGAAGACAAGACATCAAATCAAATCAAAGATAGACTTGCGTTAATTCAGCCCTTGCGATTGGTCCGAGTTTCTGCAAACAGTTTATTAGCAAAGCTGGTCTAAGAATCTCTTTTATCCATTGTCTGAAACAGTATCACTGGGATATAAGGAGAATGGGCACTGTTTATACCTGTTCGGCTCCCCCGCCTGGTGCAAAAAACCTGTTGACAGCAACAAACCAACACTCTTCCAGATTGTCTATGTCATAGCCTATGAACTCCACATTGCTCGCTGCTGTTTTGATACACACCTTCTTGGTCCGATCGACAAGAATCCAATCGTCATCCATCGTCCACCGGTACTACCTACCTAAATTCTGCTTCAGTATAGGTAAGCAAGCAAAGATACCTAGGTAACAATGCAGGATGGCTGGTGATCTTCGGCGTTCTGTTCAAGAAGTAAGCTCTCCAGCTAAGGGAAGCTGCTGGCATTTTTTATCGCTGTTCCAGCCGGAGATTTCCCTCCATCGAACACAATGATATTGTATCATCCTGGGACAACACAAAACTGGGAGTAACACATATAACTGACTTCAAGGGGATAAAAATGCTTGTTCACATGTCCTCCCAATGCAAGTTCTCTAACTGTATGGCTTATGCAATGAACCACCCGGGCAATTGGAGAATACACGGGGAATCGGAATCTGGAGACTCAGTAGTCAATCGACGCCAATTGAGTTTTTCTTTGTGACCCGGATAGGGTAGCAAGATGTTACAATGCCATAGTATTTACGCTGTAGCAGAATATTTCAGATGAATCAATATCTGAGAAGCCTGCCAGATAAGTTATAGCCCAAAAAAGACAGAAGCAAAGAAAAGAAGGCGGCAAAGTTCATGGTACAGTTCTGGAAGTCAGACATAGGGCGAGTGATTTTTTGACACAGGTCTTTCAAATGTACTACTCCAGAACCAAAGAGGAAAGAAAGAAGTCATTGAGTACCTATGACACATTTATGCGATCTATACATAGACACGGGAGAGGGTTGAAAGAACCGACAGAGGGGATACGATGAAGTAGCGTACTGGCAAGCATTATACTGCTCCAGTCCTGTCTTTTCTGAAACGTTGTCTCTATTTATACTAGCAAGCCAAGAAATCTTTCATCAAAGCCCATATCTCTAAATAGTTGACCCCCACTGCTTCGTGTCTCAGATGAAAAGATGAAAGAAATGAGACCTGGAGTGCCAGTCGGATTATTAGTCATCAAAGCCCTAACTCCTGGAGGTTCTGAGTTGCCTTTTTCTTGTTAAGCATTTGACATAATAAGGACTGCACATACTGTTCTTTCTCTAAGCCTAGACCTACTGGCAGATCATGGCATCTATTTTGGAATGGCTGAAAATCTTCGGCAAGAAGCTCTTCAATTTGGAATGGCTGAGGAGCCTTACTGCCTACTGAGTACGGTGTTAATGCTTCTGTCTTCACGGTCTAGAGCGTGCTCACCTCGGATACCGAGTCTGGCACGGTGTGGATGAATAGCCAAGACTGTGATTCGCGTATTCCTTTATGATACCATATATTATTCCAAGGTTGGAAATAGATTATCTAATGTCAAGTTACAAAGACCTATGACAATCAGAAACGACATGTCCACCGGCTAACTTCCTATTGAAGATTGTGATTGCCGGAGTCATCAACGGTCATGTTGCAGCAAAATCGCTTTACATCCGCATCTTTGCTGGCACTGACCGGATGCACAAAAGAGACTGGGTCTCTATGGGGTTCCTGGGTCGGTATTGCATTCGGCCTTTGGGTCATCGCGTGGATCATCGCTGAAGCAATCCCAGTCTTCAACAACCTTCTCAGCTTCAATGTAAGTGTTGGCTGTGCCTCTACTTTGAGAATTAATGTCTGACCTATGCTTGAATCAACAGACTGCGCTATTTGGTAGCTGGTTTACCTTTGGATTTACCGGCATGTTTTGGCTACACATGAACAAGGAACTGTGGTTTTCTTCTCCTAAGAAAATCATGCTGACCTTACTCAACACCTTCGCGATTTGTGTTGGTATTACTCTAGTGAGTATCTCTCATAGCTATGAAGAGGTTCACCAACTAATCTTTGACTTAGTGTGTTCTCGGTCTCTATGCTTCCGGGTCGGCCATTCATAACAACCCTGGCAGCTCTAGCTTTTCGTGTGCCTCTAATACTGCGTGAACAGAAGTCTGACTTTATATTCGATCTTGAAACTTCGCACATATATGAGATTTTTGAATCAACACCAAATAGTCTGGATTATATCAAGATAGCACACCTGGGGAAATTTGGCTTTTGCCCAATTCCGTACTTAGTGGGAATGAACTGCGATTCTTAACAAAATTGTATACATATCTGGGTGCTATTCAGGCTTATATATAGTCGAGGTATGATATAGATCACAACCTCTTCAAACCTATCCTCAATCCAGAGCATCCGACTCAGGCGGACCCTTATAATCTGCCAATTGTCAGCATAAAAATCCCCATCCAGCCCAGTCCAAAAAAAAAACTTACATTTCCTCGCATAAAACACATACCAAACCGCCGAAATAGCCATAAACCCGACAAAAACAACCGAAGCATAATTCATCGACACAGCCGTAACCGGTAAAGCAGTCGGCATACTAAAGAGCACCAACTCAAACGCAATCCAAGCCAACGCAACAACATTAACAAACCTCCCAACAATCCCACCACAAGTCCACGGCGCCTTAGCAACCTCCTCACGCCCATGCCACAGACTCAAAAAGATAGGGATAGCATAAGCCGCCGCGAGCGCAATAACACCCACCGAAACAAACGCGGTAAAGGCACTCGAACTCCCGAGGTTAATCAAACCCAGCAACATCTGGATCCCCGTCAACAAAACCAACGCCCAAACCGGCACGCCCCAGCGCTCGTCGACGCGTGCCCACAGTCTCGCCAGCGGAACGGCATCATCACGGGCGACAGCCCAGGTAGCGCGCGAGGCGGCAACTGTTATGCTAATCGAGCAAAAGACTGTTATGACCAGCACGAGGGAGATGAGACCGAGACCGCCGGCGGGGGAACCCATTACGCGAGCCAGGATGTAGGGGAGGGCTTGGCCTGCTGGGGCATCTATGATGTCTTGTAGCGGGGGCAGGGTTGCGCAAATTGGGATGATGAAGAATAGACCAGCTGTTCCGCCGACGGGGACGGAGAGGGCTATTGCGCGGGGCACTTTTATTGCGGGATTTGTGCATTCTTCTGCCATGGAGGAGATCATTCCTATTGCGGAGAAGGTGTATGCAGCTGGGAGGAGGCCGATGAAGAAGGTGAAGTTTCCCCAGCCGGCGAAGGATTTGTCGTAGTGGGATAGGGTGTATGATGGTGAGTGGCGACCCGTGTCTGCTTTGATGGAGATGGCGATTAGGATGATTATTATTGTGAGGAGAGTCCAGGATGCGCAGAGGGTGTCGACTAAGGGAAGGTGGTTATTCGCGAAGATGCAGATTGCTAGGGAGGTGAGGCAGACTGCGTAGAAGATTAGGAGGAGTTGCCAGCTGGATGCTGACCAGGTTGGGTGGTAGATTGAGATTGTTGCTGAGAGCATGGAGGCGAAGCCGAAGTTTACGGAGAGGGTTATGGTCCAGTTGCCGATTAGCCAGATCCAGGCGTTGATGAAGGAGAGGGTTGTTTTGTTGCCGCGCGAGATCTGGAAGGTCCAGTAGTAGGGGCCTGCGGAGGTTGGGTAGCGGGAGGCGAGCTCGGCGAGGGAGAAGGCGATGCATTGGTCGAGGATACAGACGACTATCCAGCCTACGAAGATTGAGAGGGGACCACCGCCGTAGATGGCGGAGAGGAGGGCTGAGCCTTCGCCGTAGGGGATTGCTGCTATGGCGAGGGTTTGAAAGAGGAGGGTTAGGACTGAGCGGTTGCGGCGGAGTTCTTGTTTGTAGCCTAGACGGTCTAGTTCGAGGTTCTCGATTGTGCCTTTTTCATGATCTTTGGGGGAGGGAGGCGAAGGGGTGATTTCCTTCTCAAGAGCCATGGTGACGGTAGCAGGTCGACAGCGAGGACAATCTGCCGTGATAAGGGATGTATGCAGCAGACTTTGTCTGACTGGATAGTGAGATAAATGTACAGGCCCTCCAAGCTATTGGGATAATAGAAAAGAGGAAGGATATACACAGATTATATGGACTGCAGAATCAGGGTGTAACCCAATAATATGCGGAGGTGCAGCGAATGGCATGGATCCCTTGTCATATAAGACGCCACCAAAGGTACACATGTAAACAATGCAGTCCGAAAGGGGAAGTGTCTCGCATTTTGCAATGGCTGATAGGTAAAGATATACGAGGATTCTAGAGTTTCGAGGGTAAAATGGTAAAATCTAGGGCGATAGAGAGCTCACGGGAATATCATTTACCGATTGGCATATACACTAGAAAGATAATCGACAAGAGGAACGTAGCCATTAAAAGTACATGTGTACATAAAAGAAGACAAGATAAGAGAAACCTAGACGCCAGGCCTAACCCTAAAAAGCAACTATATCCATGCGAGGGGAAGTACTCCGCATTTGATCGAGATTTTGATATGGGATATACGGAGTACCTGGATAAGACATGGAAGACATGGAAAATAGAAATGCATTATGATTTGAAATTAAAGGGGGGAAAAAAAGAAAATGAGGTATCAGACAGAAAGTCGTAAAAGGAAAAAAAAGAAAAGAAAACAAACCAATAAAACCTCGAGAACCATCAAACATTACGGTAGCATATGGTATATACAGGAAAACTCTTACATGGAAAGAAAAGACAATTACTGCGCCGTCGATGGTCGACCCTGGGACCTGCGCGAGTACAGACTAAGCCGGCGACCGGTAGACGGGGGGCCCTCGGTAGCCAACAGGGGCGGGATACTGAAACCATATCCCTCGGTAGTAGCGCTACGATTCTGGGGATCGATCTCAACACGGACGGAAATGTCAAGTCCGCCATACATGCCGCTCGCACAGGTGAACCCGTCAGCGGCGCTGTGCGTCGTTCCAGCATCAACTTCGCCCTTGTGCAGTGGTGCGTGGCCATCCTTAGGAAGACGCTCCAGTTTCGCGGAACTGGCTTGGAGGACACCGGGGTTACCGGGACTTGGGGCGACGACCTCGGTGAGGATGGCGTAGTTGCGGGATGGCATGGTGACCTTATTGAAGGCGGCGCTCTTCTCTTGGCCGCCAGGCTGCTTGTCGAAGAAAGGCATGAGGGTCTCGTCGCATTCGCGGTCGAGGTGGTGAATTTTGTTTCTGCGGGCAAGGAGGTTGGCAACGGCCTGGGGCGGGGGCTTATTTGTGATAGCGCTGCTGACAATGTTGACGATGAAGCGGTGGTCGTTTTCGCCTGCGAGGTTCAGTTTCGGGTTCGAGTAGAAACGGCCGATGGCGGCAAGGTGGACGTCGCCGCCGAGGATGGTTACGCGCACGCTGTGGCTGCGGGCGAACTCTTGCAGGCGATGGACCAGCATCTTGCGCTCGCGCTTGTGCTGGCGCGCGGTGTAGTGGTCGTCCAGGTCGTCGAGGAGATCGACTTGGCCGTCGAATTCGTTGAAGAGGCCGCCTGCCAGACCGAAGCGCTTGTTCAGCAGCCGAATCGGCGCGATCAGGGGGATGTGAGGATGTTCTCGAGCCAAGCGAGACGTGGGTATGCGATTGGCACACCTAGCAATACCACTAGGTGCTTGATATCACCGTTGGCGGCGACGATCTCGCGCTGCAACCGGTCGAAGATCAGATTGTAGGTGTCCTCGTAGTTGACCTGGTGGCGGGTGCGCTCTGTGCGCGCATCCAGACCCACAAAGGCAATGCGCTTGCCGAAGCGCATGTAGATACTTCGGCTGCTCTCTTCCACGTACGGACCGGGCCGTTTGCCGATGATCCAGCTGTCGTCCTCGACCTGGTTCTCCAGAACGTAGGTGTTCTCCACTTGACGCGGGTCAACACCGGAAGTTCCATTGACGGCGTGCATAGTCTGCGGGGAATCGGTAGTGAAAGTCGACTTAGGAGGAGCAATGTGGTGCTGGAAGAGACAATAATACTTGAAAGCGACACCGCCGATACCGCGGAAGACAGCACACTTCATGAAGTGATCCGTGTAGGAGCCGAACCCATCAATGATATCATGATCATCCCAGATATTGACCTGGGGGATGCGGCCATTGGCAGTGCGGAATGGCTCAGTGTTGTACCAGCGAACATAGTTGGCATAGTAGTAGTCATCGCAATCAGCACGCATCTGATTATTGAAGTCATGGTTGCGCCTTTTGTGCGGGTTCGAAATCGCAGTCCAAGGCTTGAGCGGGCCATCCACACGAATTCCGTCGTTGTAGATCTGGTCACCGCCGCCAACCATAACGTGGAATGGCTTCTCGCCATGCACGCGCATCACATCGTTCCACAGGTTCGGACCCACCCAGGCGTTCATGTCCGTGCCGACGGAAAAGCCATTGCACGAGTGGAACATGATGCGCATGGACTGCTCTTCTGCAGGAACGACGAATTCCCACGTTGCCTGGATCTGGTCCGCGGACTCATTGTACAGACCGGGGATGTCGTACGCCCAGCGCGCCTCGAATGCCGCCACTGGCACGGTTAGCGAGAATCGCCAGAACGCTTTCAGCGGATCCTCGTAGAGCTTGAGGCCGTCGATTGTTTGGCTTGTCGGGGCCCTGCCGACGTCGTTCTGGGCTCCGTTATCCACGGCGCCTACCTGGCGCAAACGGAGCTGGGGCTGCTCCTGGGTTGGCTTTGTGACAATCAAGACACTGCCGTGCCAGGTAGTCGTAGCTTCGTAGTGCATGTTCTTGAGGTTGATCAGGGGACCGGAGATGAGCTCAAAGCGGTCGTTCGAGCCGCGCGTGATCTGTTGTCCAGGCATCCCTGCGATTGGAAACATGCTTTGGTTAGCTTGCGCAACTTCCAGATCTAAGGCTGGGTTTCCCCGACATACCGTTGACGGGCTGCGCACTGTACTCGGCCATAATAAGGGCAATTGATGCGATCCAGGGATATCACTGGGGTGAGGGAAGAATGAGAACCGTGGACTCGAGTCGCACGGGTTATTAAAAGACAATTGAGCTAAAGAAGGGGGGGGTTGGCAGGGATGAAAGGAAAGAATTAGGCAGACTCGAATGCGATAGGGCTACAGGGCTGAAAGGGAAAACAAGAAACGAAGCGAGATTGGGAGCTGCAGGTCTGTAACTTTGGGCCCGCTGTCTTGGCAATAAAGGAGGTCGCAGCTCGTCTCCGATGAACAGCTCTGACGCTGCCAAGACATTCCGGCGTTGCGCTGACCAATGGGAGAGAAGATGATTTCAGCCCCGACCCGGTTTAGCCACGTAGCGCCACATATGTCGTTTCTTGCTATGCCTGATTGGGTTAGAGAGTGTGGCAGTGCACCACTTTTTTAGCTTCGATCAGGGTGGGTTTCTTTGATTTTCATTTTTATGTCTTGGGCACTTATACATGTACAACATACGATCAAGTAGTTATGTATGTAGGTACAACATAGGTACTTACCGTAAGGTCACCGAATAATCCACAGGCTTTTACATGTACTTATGTATCAGATATCAGATTCCTCACTATGACCCCGCTCAACAAGCCTCGGCCTATCACCACCTTGCTATTTACTGATCTACATGTGGAAACCTACTTAACTAACTACTAGTATTACTACGCAACAACGATCTTTAAAAATTTGTTCATTTGGAAAATTTGAGATAATATCGACGAAGTGGATTAAAACATGCCCACACACAAGACCCGCTCGCGATCAAAGAGAGAACATAAGGAAAGAATCAACATAGCACTCACCAAGACCCGGATCCGCAGCTTTGACCACGACCACCGACGCGAGTGGCCTGGAACAATCTTAACGGGTCGAGACGCCTTATCCTTTGGGGTAGTCTCCTGAGACACGTCTCGCAGCACGAGCATATTCTGACCATGGAACAAACCGGACGCAACAACCTTCTTCAACTGCTTCTGGCGATACTGCTCGATATTGAGTCCATCACGAACAGCAAACCAAGAGTCCCGGGAGCCAACCGCAATTAATTCCCGCAGTTCATCCTGGAAAGGCGCATTAAGCTCACGAAGCTCATCAGGCTCCTCGGACAGGAGCTCAGCAAAATCATCCACAAATTGCAAGAACTGCAAGGTAACAACCATATCCAAACCGGCCTGGAACCCGCGCGTAGTCAGACCGTAGTGGTGCAAGACGCCGATCTCCAGGATCTCAATCTGATGCTGCATAGTATGGCGAATAATTGCCAGGAAACGGTTGACGGGGACGTCAATAACAAGTTGGCCCTCACCTTGGACCCAGGCCTCCCAGAGGTCCTCATAGTTCTCGATCGGGGACTCGGGCTTGAAGTAGTAACCCTGCAAGCGGTCGGATTTTAGGTCGAAGCCGAGCACCAATCTGGCGGTGCTAAATTCGTTCTGCATGTCGGGGACGGGGAGGCTGACGAAGACTACTGTTGGGTTTGTGTAGGCTGGGATGTTGTCGAGGACAGGCTCGTCGTGTAGGGCGACTTGTGCGAAGCCGGTGGTCTCTAGGAGGTAGCATTCTTTCTCACGACGGAGCTTGTCGCGGCCGCTTTCGATGTGTGAGAGGTAGATGTGGTAGTCGATCACGCCCCAGGGATGGCGCATGTAGCGGTTCAAATGAGACGCGAAGGACAATTCCTTGGGTAGTGCAGGCTGGGAGCTCGTGGGATCAGCGTTCTTAGGGTTGGGATCCTTAGGTTGGGAATCCTTGGGGGAGTTAGGGTTAGTAGGCCTAGACTCAGTAGGCTTCATCCATTTACGGGGATGAATGCGGGCCATGTCGTCGGCGATCTGGGAGAACTGGGGGCTCTGCATGGCTGTTAGAAAGTCAAGTGTCAAGTGTCAAGTGTTTTTGGTTGCTAGAGTGGTGTCTCTTCGGTCGTAGGAGTTGACGAAGGACTTGATTCGAGACTCACGATGGTTGGGAGAATCTACAATGATGGTTGTGTTTGGCGCGAGAAACTTTTCACAAAGAACAGAGACAATCTCCTTTATGGAATGATGGATGGCAAAGAGTAGGCGCAGGAGTAGGATAAAACTCTTGAGCTCGAGGCGTGCGGAGAGAATATGGGAGAAGAGCTCGGCGAAGAACTGCGTACTTTCCTCTTCGTAGATGAAGTAATAAAGGATGTCGAATAGGTAGAAAGTTACAGCTGCTTGAACCACTTGCACGATGCAATGCACAATCACATAAGTGATAGAACCAAAGCACAGGACGAAGCCAAAGCACGCGAGAAACAATATCCAGTCGATATGTGTAGAAAAGTCCTGGAGGAATAAGTCAGTAAAAGCCATAGGGAGTGCTCACAACAGACAGGAGAGCTTACAATGTAGAATGATGCTTATGTGCAGCGTGTTGAAGAATGAAGCTGTGTGGCTAAATAGTCAATTGAATTGTGCTGTTAGTTTGCTGTTGAGATGGTTGAGATGGTGGGTATGGAATGTTATCTCAGGAGCGGAGGTTCCCTTTTGTACTTGGGATGGAAAGGCCCTGGACAAGTAATGGCCTCTCGAAAGAAAACAATAGCACAAAGTCATTCTAAAGACGTTCGTCTGGAGCCATCGAAGGGAATCTCCTTCGAGATTTGACAATAGAAGATACAAAGAACACAAAGGCCATTCGCCGACAAAGTTCTTGTCTGAAGGGTTCTTTTTTGTTAGAAGAATTCTATATTATTGGACTCGGCATTCACCCATAATCCCCTTGTTGGTTCTTTATGTCCGAGTAACAAAAGTATCAAAGGGAAATAAAGGAGCCCCAGGGGTTGCCTTCTGATGAAACACGGGTATTAAGCATACAAAGACTCGATTTAATATCGTATAATAGAGATCGAGTAACAAAGAGTCTCCCATATCAGCCAGATCGATGTTTCATCGGTCAATTGTATCAGAACAAAGAACACGAGATGGCTTTGGCTCTTTTGTCGAGTAATCAAGGGTTTCATGTAGATATAGACTCGGTTCGCGGCCGTGTAGACTCGATCAAAGACAAGACAAGGCCATTATGGTAATAAAGGGTCTTTATTTCTACCCAAGACTGGATTGCATTGTACCCGGATGTTCACAATATAAGAGACCTTGTCCCTGGGTCTTGCGTCTCAGACTCGTCACCTAGAAAGCATTTATTCATAGGGAAACCCCAGAGCCTCTATCCAAGGCAGCCTCATAAACAGCGGCCAACCCCCCCCCACCCCCCCCCCAAGTTCCCATTCGATCCACAAGCCATCTCAGCAAACATGGGACAGGACAGTGTATTCATCGTACGCTCCGCGCTCTGAGTATTTAGAGGGATTTGACGATGAAGTCTGGGTCAGCGTAGGCTCTCAGTTCTTCGACGGTCCGGACAACGAGGAAGCTGACTGGGTCACTGTAATGCTTCCTGAAGAAATGGACGATACCCATAGCGACGAAGATATCATGAGGTACGTGCTTCATAACATCCGCATTAGGCGAGCCGTCGTGAGCGAAGTGGCACTGCATAACATGGGAGTGAGTTGTATTTCGATCCCGATCCCGGTTAGCACTGCTGACACTACTGCAATCATGGTGCGCGCCGAGACCGACGGGAACAAGTGGCTCGAACATATTTGTAATGGGATGGTTACTCTTGACCGGGAAGTGATTTTTGGGCGTCGTTTACCCGTGAGCTGTCTAGCCGTAGCACCCTAGAGAGAGATAGGGGGAGAGAGAGGTTGATTAGCTATATTGCCGATGCCAGGGAGATGGCGAAGTTGTGGCTGAGAATTGGGTTGCCTGGTAAAATCTGAGAATTATGTCAAGGTAGAAATATCAAATCTTTTTCAAAGCTGTCCAAGGTGTGTCGAAGTGATTGTAGTTTTTTTGGAGTAATGTATCCCATAACCAGTTCTCAAGTATTGAGGACATGAGCATATGCCCATATGTCCATCCAAGCACCTACATAGTAATACCTCAGTAGCCATAAAACCCATAATTTACACAATTCCCAGTATCAAGTACCAAGGAGCAATGTGTGCCATAGCTTTCAATGGTGATCATGTCCAGATGGAAGTATGTACTTTCGACTCAAGATCTCTAGTCTGTGTGCACTTTGTGGTATGGCATAAGAAAATGAATATCTTATTTTATAGTCTGAGAGATACTAGATATCTGTTAGAGTTAGATCTAGATTAAGCTTTACCAACACATACTAGTATGTAGGTATATAAAATCTGACCAGTCATTCCCAACTTGTAAACAACACGTGATCCTTAATTATCACCCTTTCCCCTTCTTACAATCGATTTATCTTTAGAGATCTTGTTGTTTGGGGAAGAAAAGGGCAATTTATTTCAATCAGAATGCCAGAAAATATTCCCCCTTCCTCTTATCGGCTCGAATTCAAATCATTCCACGACTGGAACGGCGGCCATCCATCACAGACCTTGATATTCCACACCAAGGACTCTTCGTGGTGGATTAAAGTCGTGGTGGATTGGTCTCTGCCGGAGTCAATACTGGTTCTGGGCTACTTCAAACGCCGGTCCATATTGCAAAGATTCATTGAAGCGATTGATTTCGAGCAATTACATCTTTTGGGGGATACTGTGACAAACATTACTTTAAGTATGACTGAGCAGAGCCAGAACTCGATCACAATCCGCGATGGGTATCAAACCTCTGTGAACTTTTACATTGCCGTTGCCCATCAAATGCGCTGCAAGACCGCGGAGGATCCAAAGAGAGTCAGATACCGACCCTAGACCGAAACCAATGTCTACCAACATTTAAGGCTAGTTGTCTGCGGATTGTTGAGGTTATCGCTCCAACTGTCTCCACTGTCTTATTCAAGCAACAAAAGTTTGCTTATAAAATGATCGATCGCCCTATTTATGAGCCCGAAGACACAGAACATATCTTGAATGAGATCGATGCCCTTATCCAACTCCGCGGAGAGCCGAACATCGCGCAGCTAGTTGGCCTAGTTGTATCGGAGAACCCGTAGAAGACCCGCCCTTCAACTGACATGCCAACAGTGATCACTGGATTCCTTCTTGAATACTATTCTGGCGGGTCGCTCGAGGAAATAATTGAAGGGTCTGAGGTCCAACATGGTTTCTTGTTGGTACAGTGGGCCCTACAAATCGGAAGAGCATTAGAATCTTTGCATAAGCGGGGCCGAAGTCATCTTGACGTTAAGCCCTCGAACATCGTTTTCGATGCCAGGAAAAATGCCATCCTCATCGACGTCAGTGGAACCGGCGGTTATGTGTGGGAATGGCTCTCACCGGAGATGCAGATGTTCAAAGAACAAAACATTGAAATACCCCTGCCCAACACTTCATTCGAGGCACGGGTTGCTTCAGACAGTTGGGCTTATGGAAGATTACTCTCCAAAATTGCCGAGAGAAGTGACACTGATGGTGCAAGTGGAAAGCTGCAAGTAGTCGCTGATGATCTGACGAAGGCGGCCCCCGAGGCTCGCATTTCGTTAGGCGACGCTCTTGCAAAGCTACAAGAAAAGGACGATGAATAGTGGCCAGAAACCGAATCTTGTCCTATATGATTGATCTATCGTCAATTGCATTTGATAAACCTTCTTCTTATTTCTCCCCAAGACATTGTGTATGCCTAGTAAGTCTTGTTGGAATATTCATATCTAAATCTTTGGCTAGAACGCTTAATAGTGTTGGTAGAACTATACATAGTACAAAGACTATCTCTCTATCAAAGACCAAAGCCATTGGAAGGACGAAGAAAGCCATTGTAGCAATGAAAGGTCTTTGTTATTTCCTATGCAATACTCCAGATACATCGCACTTTAACTGTCAGTTTATAAATCCTCGGTGCCCTCGCCTCGAGTTCTATCTCATTGGTATTACCCAGAAAAGCGTTCTTCAATCATAACAACAAATTAACACTCCGTCAAGGACACGCCCCCTCACAAGAACAGTGAGTCCCCCAGCCCCGTTCAAGTTCGCTAACCACCATGCCAAGCAAGTTGTTCCAGCCAAGCGTGTACAAGGGCACGAACGGCAAATATTTCGCCGAGCCGGCCGGCAACCGAAGCGACTACTACTGGATCACCGTATATTTCTCTGAAAACATCGATCACCGCGGCATTCCAGATTCAGAAATCATGCTGTATGTAAAGAATATGATTGGAAAGGGCCGCTTCACTGTAGACGATCAGGCAATGCATGGTTTAGGGAAAAAGTGTCTCTCGATCCCTATCAAGCGTGACCCAGATACCCCTCTGCCCAAGTCATATACGCCTGATCCTACGCATCCAGACCTTCTTCTTGCTGAAAATCTCGCGGCGTATTGGAAGGATCAGATCGCGTTCAAGAAGGTTACTCTGGATCAACGGATGATTTTTGTTGACACTCGTCGTAAGATAGTGCGTCTAGAAGATATGTTGGATGTGGGAGTTACTTTGATGGATCCCTGGCGTATTTAGATTGTTTCTTTGTCTGTCGTTTAATGTGTCGAGGTTGAGTTCTTTGTACTCGAATGTTTCAGGGTTATTTGGATGTTAGAACAATCAATGCACTACTTTTTCCCACCCACTTTGTTTAAATGTTCCATTCTTAAGAGTGCCTTCGTATGAGTAGGATATGTGTAATATGCTAGTCACTCGATAGCTGTCAGGAATAAGGAAAGAAAAAGTCGAAATGTATGACATGCAAGATAGATTATTGTCGAAGCTAGAAACCAAGAACCGAGACGATTTTCAAACGATATTACTAGTTACTAGAGGGCTAATAGTTCAACTTGAAACTATACAGAGTGTTCCAGCAATATTGGGTGGCATTGGACTGCATTGGACATGATCCTTGCTAGTCTTCCGGCCCTTCTTCCAATTGAAAGCCATTCTTATGACCAGGATAAAGTCTCATTTGATGGAAGTAAATTCAACACTTGAAGGCCAATAAAACAAAGAGACGTTTTAAACAAGACTAATATAGAATATCAGGCCAAACAAAGAGTATAGAGAGAAATAGTATACTTTCTCAAAGAACAGAGAAAGGTATTATAGTCATGAAAGGGGTTTATTCTCTCATTGTTCCAACTCAATTGCCAAAATAGAAGGTATGTCCCTCAGTATATAAACCCTCGGCATACTCGCCTCGAGTCTATCTCACTACCACCATCATCCCTGAGAAATTCACTCCAACCGCCACAATGCCCTTTTTCCAAGCGAGTATATTCCAGTCGAGCCAGCTCGAGCACGGCCGCCGATTCCATTTCAGAGACCCCCACAACAGCCAGGCAGGTTGGTGCTGGGGCACTGTGGCTCTCCCAGATACCATGGGTACTGGAACCAGTGACCTGGAGATTATATTGCATATATGCGACGCCATCGCAGCGGGCTTGGTTACTTGGGGCGATAGTGCGATGCACGGCCTAGGAAAGTACTGCGTCTCGTTCCCGATCAAGTTGGAAACCCCCGAGCAAGACTTAGAGAGGTTGATGCTTCAGGTTGAGTACGCTGCACTGTGGTGGATGAGCTTGCTCCGTGCGGAGACTGTTTCTATTGACAAGCACATGCTTTTCCGGGCCCGTCAGCCGCCCTCGTATCCCGAGGATCAGTTGTTGGATGCGCCTTTTCACTGGGATAAGCCTAAGTACACGGCTCAAAATCCGTGGTCTGCGGTTACTGTGCTGCGGTAGATCATGGGGATTGGAGTGAGGTCGGATTTGTGAAGATGGTTGGGGTATTTGATTTTTTCCCCCTAGGAGGTTTTGGTAGATTGATATATCAGATACTTTGAATGGAACAATGAGTGAGAAAACATGGTAACCCAAGTAAATGAGTAGTATGAAAGGCTAGAATTTGCCGCAGTAACGCCAGTATGATACAATTGGGAACCACATATAGGTTACCAGGTTTCTATTGATGAGACTTTAGATCCACCTTGACTGTCTCGCTTTTCTCTCGCGCTCTTTCCTCTGCTGCATGAGGGTATATCCACATCCGGCACCAGTCACATACCCACCAAGATGGGCAGCATGGTCCATCTTGGTCAGCCGAGAGAGGGGCCAAGCGCGAAATAAGAACGCGGGAGCTAGCAAGCTGAAGACCTCGGTGCCGACCAGGCAGGTAAGGAAGACCCAGCCGTAGGTCCAGATCTGCTCTTGGAGACCCTGGGGAAGAATCCACATGGTGAGTTTGTCACTAGGGACGGTCAGTATAGGTACCACATAGAATAACAGCCGGAAGGACAGTGGGAGACGAACTTGAAGTGAGACATGCACCACGCAGCGACGATACCGCTGGTTGCGGCACTGGCTCCCAGGGAGGTCATGCCCAGGCGGCCGAGGATGACGCTGCGTGTCAATGAGAAGACAGATCCCATGACACCGGAAGCGAAGTAGATGGCCAAAAAGTTTCCACGGCCGATTTCATCGTGGACTGTAGAGCAGGAAAAAGTTAGAACCCATATTTTCTGGTGCTTCTACTGGCAACAATGCATACCTCTGGTTCCCATAAGTCCCAGGACCATCATATTAGTTCCAAGATGTCTCCAGGTCTGATGACTGAACGTGCTTCCAATCATACCCAGTGAACTGGGATAGAAGGGAACGATCACGAAGTAACGGTTGAGCAGTTTCCACGCGGGAGGTACGTATTTCCACAACAAAGTGACTGCTACATTAGCTGCCACAATGGCGCCCACAGTAGCCACAGCAGGAGGCACATCTGGCATGATGCGGTCCTTTCGTGCAGGGAACTCATATTTCTGAGCGAATGTATAGCAAAGGGCGAGAACCACGATCGAGAACAGAAGAGGAGCGAGCAGACGCTGAGACTTCCAGGTCAAATCTAGTTAGCAACCAAATATTTCCACAGAGTGAACCACCCTTACATTGGTTATATTCATCGACTCAGGACTCTCGTTGGTAGCGGCAATATGATGCTTCTGGACCCAAGCGAGATACGGCCTTTCGATAGGATCCGCACGGGGACGAGCTAAAAATGTCAGCACCAATACCAATGACCCAAACTCGGATCCTAGTATACATACCCTCAGTGAGTGCTGCCTCCTGGTACTGCTGCAGGGAAGTATTCTTCCCGAACTCCCGCTTCAACCGTTCGTGTTCTTCTTTCTCGCCATCGAGCCACTCCTGCCTTTTCCGTTCCTGTTCAGCCAACAAGCGCTTCTCATTCCTCTCGCGAGCCTCTTTCAAAACGCTCTTGCCGTAAGGAGAGCCCTCCTCGCCAAGCTCAGCGTCATAAGAACCGCTCTGCGGCTTATACAAGCCTAGCTTCTCAGCGCGGCGCACGAGCTTCTCTTCCGCCGCGCGCTCCTCACGCTCAATGCGGGCGAAGATAGCAGCATCCTCGTCGACGGGGTACTGATCGCGGAGCCATTCCAAAGCAGCATCAACCTGCTGGTTGGTGACAGCACGGGCAATGTCAACTGGCAAGTCCGCATCGAGCGTGCCGGTCAGACGGTGGCCGTGCAGGACAGCCAGGATGCGGTTTCCCAACTTTGCGTTGAACTTGGCGGGGCCGAAGATGGCTTTGATCTCGGCATCGGAGAAAGGCTTTTGGCGAGGGAGGACCTCCGAGGGATCCGATTTAGGCTTAGGCTTTGGAGATGCGGCGGATGTACGTTTGAAACGGCGGGGGGTGGAGAACGGGTTGAATCGTTGTGGGGATATCGGGTTTGGAGTTGGCCGAGACGGGTGAGTGAATAGCTGGGATAGTAGGTTCGGGATTGGCAACATGGAATGGCGCGATGTGCTGTACTTGCGCCATGGGGTAATGCGGAGATCGCGACTGGCAGGCCGGAATGTTACTGGAAGCACGGAGGTGCGGAGCCCTGGGCATGGAGCCCGCCATACGGCCCAGACCGCATTGCTCATATCCTGTGACTGAAGCGAGGGCTCGGAGAGGACCACGGAATATAGGGTGGTGGTTGATTGTTCGGGGATATTTTTGGTATCAATGGACCCGCGGCTGCAGAGTTGTTCCGAGACCGCGATTGCAGCTACAAAGCAAGAAGATGGAGGAGTGAGAGGAACCATTCAAATCTCGTTCATTCTTTAAATATATGGTTACCTTGAACAATAGTATCAGAATTTCTATCCATCTTTAATTTACACCAATACTCAAACCAATCTTCAACATCTCCCCGCGAGCCCCAAAGCCATCCACATCTGATCTATAAACCCCACGTGATGATAACATGATAACGACAATCCAAACAGCTCTGGAAATCGCCCGCATTGATCCCGACTCTACCTTCCACCCCTCACAAGACAACCCTCAAAATGTCAACTGAATCCCTCCCCATAACCCCAGGAGCCTTCGCTGAGGCAATCAAAGAGCTGCCCCTCGCAGTCCTCTACAGCAAAGTCTCCGAGCTTACAAATTCCATCGCACACCTGCACCGCTCGAATGCCGAGCTCCGCGCATTCTTAACAGAAAGCAACGACTCGGAAGAAGACAAGAAGGAGCTGGAGGGATATGTGGCCGAGAACGAGGGCGTAGCGGTGTCCATGAATGAACGGATCTCGCTGCTGAAGACCGAGGTCGAGAATCGTGGACACCCTTGGATTGAGCTTGATGAGCTTAAGATCAACAAGGAACAGGATGTTATGACAGATGTGCCAGTGACGAATGGAAATGGGACTGAGAATGGGACTGGGGCTGGGCCTGGGGCTGAGGCCGGTGCAGGACAAGAGTCCAATGACCGGGAGGATGGGGATGGGGTCTATCTGTGACCAATTCCGTGGGTCATCTACGCGCAGCCGGCATGTTTAAGCTAGTTTGGACTGCTCAGATCTTCAAAAGCATTGTCACCAGTGCGTCAGTGGCTTTCAGTCACTGTTATTTGCGGGCGCTTTACTGCATTTGGTGTGGTCGAATATCGACCTATGTCAATTGGCTATGTTTCACAGCATCTATACTTCACAGTACGATGTACACGGCTGAATCATAGCGGCTAGGAGACGGTCATCTCAACGAATGACTACTCCCCAAGCCTTAGGGGCTGCTCACTTCTTCTATAGCGCTAGGCACACTCGAGTCACAAGGTCCAGACGAATGGAATGCATCTAGTGGATCATTTACAACCCCAGGTCTCTCTATGGAATTATGATCAGATGAATGTATTGCAATGAATAGATAAAAAAACATGCAATGACCAGCTGATGCTGGATGAAAATATGCAAGATCATCAAGTAGAATAATTCACAGCGCATGCTAAATGCTCAATCAAAGCCCCGGCTCTGTGTCATATCATCGCAAATTCGCCCATTTTTTTTTGTGGAAATGGTAGAAGGAGAAAGCAGAATACTAGCAAAGACATCGCGGTCCAACGCCAGGTTAGCGGACATGTCATGGTCGTCATTGTAAAAACAAAAAGGTGCAACTCCAGACCCGTGGAGCTTAAGTGGCGGCCTGCTGGGCCCAGTGGCCGCCGTTGAGCGCCTCTGGGGGAACCCGTTGCTGCTTGATGAACAGCTCAATTAAGGGCTGCATGGGCTCCATCTCCTTATCGGACACAAGCCCGTAGTACTTGGAGACCGTCACGAAGTGAACGAAGCACATGTTCAGGACATCGTGCTTGTTAATGTGCCAAAAGGGGTTGAGCCAATGAGCGTGGTACAGATGGGCATAGCAGCGGAACATCTGCTTCATGATACCCTGGCAGTCCTTGTAAAAGGTCGGCGGGAAGCCACTGGACTTGCCAATCCAGTCATCCGGGTTGGCGGGGTCGGAAGGAGTTGTTGATGCGCCATTGGCCTCTTTGATGGCAGAAGTCTCAGGAGTGCCGTTGACTTTTTCGGTAGGGAACATAACAGGGTCGTGGATCTTGCTGACGATCCATTTCTCGACGCGGTTGATGAACTTCGGGGCGGAGATTTTGGCGGCGCGGCCGTCAACAAGCCAGGTATAGGTCAGCCTTTGGAATCGTTAGCTCGGTTCATAATTTACCCCGCCATACTCCACATACCGTCCAGCGGACATTGTTGGACAAGTGTTTTCATTGCAAATAGGTAGACCGGTCACACTATTCACCTCCTGGATAACCTGGAGCATGCCGTGGAGTAGACGATATTGTTCAACAACTAAAGCAGAAACACATTAGTCTCCGCGCTCTCAAGATAAGCTTCCACATTGCTTACTCTGGTGAGCCAGCCACTCGCCCAGCTCCACATTCTTCGGGCAAGCACAGAGGGTCAAGAAGTTGCCCCTCACATTCAGCGGGGCATACTTCTCCTGGAAGAAGTATTTGGGTCCCTCGGGGTCGTTCGCTTGAGTCTCCACTGACAGACTGCTGGAAATCGAGGGCGAATTCGACATGGTGGCTTGATGCTGGGGAGTAGAGGTCTGTGCTGGGCTTTTGGGGGGATTGTTGCTCTTGTTGTTTCCTCCCCGGCCAAATCCTTGGCGACTGTATTCAAAGATAGAGTTAGCGGGTGATCGTGGTGAGGTATAGCTGTTTGAGAATGAAGTAGGAATATATAAAAGAAGTAGGGGTAGATGTGAACAACAGGAGGAGGCGCCAGGGAGGATATTAGACTTTGGATAATAGAATGCTCCTTTGTATTTGTGGCGCCGGGGGATTCTTCGTGCAGTATGAGGGGGTAAAGGTAGAAGGGAGATTGAACAGCCGATTGCAACAAGTCCACAATGGCGCAACATAACTTACACGCTCTGGAAGAAGGTCGCCATCTTGAAATTGATCTGCAATGCTTCAAATCAAGAAAATAACGGGGATGAGGGACGAGACGGTGAGATGCCCACACGTTGAGGATCCCCTTTTGGTCTGGGCCATCGACACACTAGTCCTGTTTTGGTCCGGAGTCGGAGAATTTATAGTCCCGCGCGTCAATTGAATTATGGAAGCTCCGTCGTGAATGGCCGATAAGTACAATTGTCAATACACTATCGACGACATATCGCGTCGCTTACTCCCAGTATAATACTAAGGACACCTTCAATCCCCTCTTTATCGTCACTCGCACCTCCACATATCTACGACCTTGCAACGTCCATAAATTCCATACACCATGTCCTCCGATGAGGAGGGCGTCCGACGCCCCAGCAATGGCAATGAGAGCCCTGCGCACAGCAATGCCAATGATTCTGGCGCCGACCAAATGGATGAAGGCGATGATCTCTTCGGATCGGACGGAGAGGGCGGACTCGATGACACCGAGTATGCAAACCAAATTAAAGCGACAAAAGCTAGATACTGATATATTGCTAGACCCCACCGCAATCTGGACGATGAACAGCTTGACTCAGGTGACGATGAAAACCGCTATGACCGGCGCGAAGACCGAATGGATGATGTGGCCGAGGAGCAGCAGGAAGTCAATGTTGCTGACCAGGATCTTGCTCGGGCACCGGTGCCATTGACCAACGATGGAGAGGTAGGACGACCCTCTACCTTGAAACCATTGATGTTGATCTAACTTCTGGTAACAGATCTACACAATGCGTGTGCCGGATTTCCTCTCAATCGAAGGAGAAGAATTCAACCCCGAGACTTACGTCCCACCCCCTTACCAGACAGCTGCTACCTCCCTATGCTGGCGCAAGGATCCTGCAGATGAGTCTCTTTTGCAGTCCAATGCCCGCATGATCAAATGGGAGGATGGTTCCATTACTCTTCAACTCGCCTCTGCCCCCCTTGAGCAATACCGTATCGCATCTAAACCTCTCGCACCTCTCACCAAGTCCGGCGACTATGACCACAAGCTGGACTCCCACGTTTATCTCGCAGCCGGGCTGGAAACAGCCCAAGTTTTCCGGTTGACCTCACATATCACCCAAGGTCTGACTATTCTCCCGACCACGTTGGAGACGGACGATGCCGTTCAGCGACTGCAAGATCAATTAGCTGCTGCTGCTCGTGGCAGCAAGCAAACTGCAGCTGGCACTGCGCCGCGCTATGAACTAACAGAGGATCCCGAGTTGGCTGGAAGACGTGCCGAAATGATGGAGAAGGAAGCTATCAAGGCTGAGCGTCGTCGCCAGCAGCTCGCTGATCGCGAGGCCGACCGCGGTCGCCGCCATGGCGCTACTCGCACTGGTCCTAGCGGTCTTAGTGTCGGTGGTCTTGAAGATGGCGGTTTGCTTACGACTCGTCCGCGTGCCAAGCCTCGCCGCCAAAACCGCCGCGGCGAGATCTACACCGATGACGAAGAGGACTACTCTCGTGGTGCCCGTAACAGAGAAGACGAATACGACGAGGACGATGGATTCTTGGTTGGCAGCGATGAGGAACTTGAGGAAGAAGCCGAAGACGAAGAAGAGGAGCTGGAAGATGAAGACATGGACGCTGAAGGTGAAGATGACGTGGAGGCTGCACCTGCGAAAGCTGCCCGTAGCAAGCCAGAGCCTCAAGCCAGGGCTGGTACACCTCCTGCCCGAAAGAAGAACCGCTACGTGGTGGACGACGAGGACGACGAGTGAGCTTGTATCGTTCTACTTCTCTCACATGTTCTTTTTCTTTTCGCTTTTTCGATGCAGTCTTCTTGTTACATATCCACATGGTCCGGCGTCATCTACATGGACAGGCATTCGAGGAACAATTGGGCTCATTTCACTCTGACTTGATGCTTGTACAACAAAAATTAATGAAATGGTCAATGACATATCAATCTAGCTTCGTACCAGCGAAGCAATGTAGAATTGTATAATATCTGATGCCGAATGGTATATAACAAACTCCACATAGTCTCGGACATATTCGAAGTGTAGAAATCAGACAACGGAACCCAAGGCTTAATAAACTAAGATTTTCAAGCATGATCTGCTCCCGTATGCGCTTTGTTGGTTGTAGTGACCGGCTCAACGCCCTCGGGATATTCTGAAGGATCGAAGTTGAAGTGTTTGATCACTTCTCTGGCACTTCCAACCACACGAAGACATAAAAACTCCTTTTCACCGGGATCATCCTGATCTTGTGACTGAGCCGAGTCCGACATGGACATTGGGTTCCACTGTCCAAGTGGATGTTGCCCAGGTTCATGCCAGCGGCGTTGTCGATTCTCGATTTCCATAATCATGGACAGCAGATCGGGCTGCTCAGAACAAGGAATCATAGCACCTGCCCCAACGGGACCACCAATGACAGCGCGACGAACAACTTGGTGGAGCCATGATTTCCAAACTTGTGCTGGATTAGGGCTTTGGAGCACCTCAGACACGTACTGTGGAGGCGCGGACTGCATCCCCAGTTCGACAGCGTCGGCTTGCGAGACGCGCAGCCACGAGTCCGCGACGACAGTTAATAGAGTCCCTATGAACATAATATTTTGGAGGCCCGTTGCAAAGACCTTGGGACAAACTTGGCAGCGGATCACGTCTCGTGCTGTTCGTGCAGCGATATATAGCGAGCATAGAGTGTGGGAGTTGACGGGGAAGGAGGATATTGATGTCATGTGGCTGAGGGATAGGTAGAGGTATGATAAACACGGACACCCAGACGTTGTGGAGTCGGAGGAAATGGAGGTAGCAGGAGACAGCGGGAGGGAGTGCGGCGTCAAAGGGAAAGTTGGAGGGTTGGGGAATGGCATTGGCATGGCCGTGGCTTCGGAGATAGCCGAGAAATCAGGCCAAGGGGAAGATGATGCAGGAACGGGAAGGTTTGGCTGTTTCAGACGGTCTGGCCTCCAGGTATGGTTGTGGTCTTCATAACCTGACAATAGATCTGCGGGCTGGGACTGTGGCAAATTCGTGGTCATACCAGGCCGCCAGAATAATTGCGGACAAAGATGATCGGCGTCAGGGAAGGTGACTGTGTCTGGACTCATCCCTAGTGAAGATTGTTGCGAGTCCTCTGGGCTGGGCCAAATTTCGGCCCCCGATAGCACTGGAAAGTCGGCCCCCTCATCGTCTGTCCGCGTCCTTTTCTTGGGCGGCCGGCCCATCTGTTTTTGTATGGAATAGTTGCAAGAGAGTGACTGTTTGGTACATCGCGAACAGCCTGCTGGTTCCCCGGAGCATTTGAGCTTCCGCTTTCCTGCCGAACTGGTTAGTGAGGGTTGCGTTACATCAGCCTGTGAGACTTACTACACTCGTCGCATGCTGCATGTCTTTTTGGCTCTGACAAATCATTCGTAAGAGGCAAAGGAATCCCTCCCTCATACTCAGTCAGGAGTGACATTGCTTGACAATGATTCAGAAAATCGACTCTCGATCAAAAGAGCCCTTCAATAGTTAAAAAACATTCCTTGGAACCTTGGAAGTAAAACATTGGCTAAGTCATAGATAACTAGGCCCACCCGATAAGATGGGGGCGGTCATGTGGGCGGTGAGCACGGCGAGAAATTATCCTAAAAAAAAAAACCATGGATCTACCGCAACAAGTCAACACCCGCTGAACGGCATCATGAACCCCAAGGCGGCTTCAAAGAAGCGCAAGGCTGTCACTCGCGATGTCGAGGAGGAAGCTGGTGTCTTTTCCGGTGACGAATTGAGCAAAGGCAACCTCGATGGAGCCTTGTCGGACAACTCCAAGGATCTTTCGGACAGCGAGGACGACGACAGCGACTCGGAAGTCGAGCTAGTCGACGACTTCAGTGACTCGGAAGATGGAGAAGAGGAATTGGACAGCGACGAGATCCCCTCTGATACAGAGGAAATTAAGCCAGCTGCCGGTGAACCCAACTTCCGCATTGTGAAGGACGCCAACGGAAACGATCGCTACCTCTGGGATGAAATTCACCCAGACGACAACTCTGAACTCTCCGAGGTGGATGAAAATGCCAACACCATTGGCGACATCCCCCTGAAGTTCTACGACGAATATCCCCACATTGGTTACGACATCAATGGAAAGAAGATTATGCGTCCTGCCAAGGGCGAGGCCCTGGATGCGTTGTTGGACAGCATTGAAATTCCCAAGGGCTGGACCGGTCTGACTGACCCCAAGACCGGCAAGCCTCTGGAGCTCAGCCAAGAAGAATTGGAGTTGCTCCGCAAGGTGCAGATGAACGAGGTTCCTTCCGAGGGCTACGACCCATATGAGCCTCTGGTGGAATGGTTCAGCAGCCAAAAGGAGATCATGCCACTGAGCGCCGCCCCCGAGCCCAAGCGCCGTTTCGTGCCATCCAAGCACGAGCAGAAGCGTGTGATGAAGCTTGTCAAGGCCATCCGCGAGGGCCGCATTCTTCCTTACAAGGCGCCAGAGGACAGGGAAGACAAGGAGGAGGAACTCATCAACTACGACCTGTGGGCTGATGAAGTTGAGCGACCTGATCACGTCATGCACATCCCGGCGCCCAAACTCCCACCCCCTGGTTACGAGGAGAGTTACCACCCACCTGCTGAGTACCTGCCCGATAACAAGGAACGCAAGGAATGGGAGCAGACAGATCCCGAGGATCGCGAGAAGGATTACCTGCCCAGCGACTTCGGCTCCCTGCGCAGAGTTCCTGGATACGACAACTTCGTCCAGGAGAAGTTCGAGCGTTGCTTGGATCTCTACCTTGCTCCGCGTGTGCGCCGCAGCAAGCTGAACATCGACCCTGAGAGTCTCCTACCCAAGCTTCCCAGCCCTGAGGAGCTCAAGCCTTTCCCCACTGCTTGTGCCACAGTCTTCCGCGGACACAAGGGCCGTGTGCGCTCTGTCAACGTGGATCCAACTGGAATCTGGCTGGCTACTGGTGGCGACGATGGTACCGTCCGTGTCTGGGAACTCCTCACAGGTCGCCAACTGTGGAGCGTGAAGCTCAGCGATGACGAGGCGGTCAACACTGTCCGCTGGCGTCCGGGCAAGGATGCCGTCATCCTCGCTGCCACCGCAGGAGACGATATCTTCCTCGCCGTTCCTCCGATCGTGGACCCCGAAATCGAGAAGGCCAGTCTGGATCTCCTCGACGCAGGCTGGGGTTTCGCCGCCTCTCGACCGGCCCCCAGTGCCTCAGAGGAAGGCAAGAAGAACACGCCCCCAACCTGGATCCGTCCCGAGTCCGCTCTCGTGGATGCCGGTGTGTGCGTCGTCATTCCCCTCCGCTACGTGCCCAAGACGATCTCCTGGCACCGCCGCGGCGACTACTTCGTCACAGTGTGCTCGGGCGCCTCGACACCCGCCTCCGTCGCAATTTCCATCCACACAGTCAGCAAGCACCTGACGCAATTCCCCTTCCGACGCCGCCTAAAGGGCGGTGGTCCCCCCAGACCGCCCACTTCCACCCGTCGAAACCCATCCTGTTCGTTGCCAACCAGCGCTCGATCCGCGCATACGACCTCTCGCGCCAGCTCCTCGTCAAGATCTTGCAGCCTGGTGCACGCTGGATCTCGTCCTTCGACATCCACCCGACTTCTTCGAGCGCGTCCGGCGGCGACAACATCATCATCGGCTCGTACGATCGTCGTCTGCTCTGGCACGATCTCGACCTCTCCCAGCGTCCCTACAAGACCCTCCGCTACCACCGCAAGGCTATCCGCGCCGTCAAGTTCCACCCCAGCGGCCGCTACCCGCTCTTCGCGGATGCCTCCGACGATGGATCCCTGCAGATCTTCCACGGCAGCGTCACTGGAGATATGCTCAGCAATGCTACCATCGTGCCGCTCAAAGTTCTCAAGGGCCACAAGATTACTGGCGAGCTGGGTGTCTTGGATATCGACTGGCACCCGCGCGAGGCGTGGGCTGTCAGTGCTGGTGCCGATGGAACTTGTCGCTTGTGGATGTAATCTTGAGATGCCGTTGCATGATGTCTGACATTTTTCTGGGCGTTTTTCTCTATTTATTTTTTGTGCATAATCTTCCTTTTGTATAGTTATCTTGCAAAAAAGTTGTTTCTTTAACATTTTCTACTTCGTATCATATCAGAATAGATCTTGGGATTCTTGTCTCAGGAGTAGTCGAAGGGATATAGAAATGAATTATTCAATATTCAATCAAATAGTAAATGTTCAAGGTATCTATGTCCATCATCCCAAGCAAGAAAAAATGGGAGAAAAAAAAGGAAAACTCTAGATCTAAATATGTATAGATGTATATCCCAAGAGAAGTACATATACAAACCAACCCCAAAATCAGACCACACCACCACTCCAGTCCCTCCTGAGCTTCTCATACTTCCTCAAGTCCGTAACACTAGGCCGAACAAACGACTTAGCAGCAACAAAGTCAATGAACTTAATACTATCGCGACGCTTGATAGCAGAGTAACCAGCACGACGCAACAGACTGCCCAAATCAGCACCACTGAAGCCCTCACACTCCTCAGCGAGTTTGCGCAGATCCTCACTAAACTCGATAGACAACTTCCGGAGAAGGGTCTGCAAGATATCAACACGCTCGAGCGGCGTAGGCAAGTTCACAAAGAGAAGGGTCTCAAGACGACCAGGACGCAGCATAGCAGGATCAATAATATCAGGCCGATTAGTAGCGGCGATGACATAAATACCCTGGCGACTACTGCCGAGACCATCGAGCTCAGTGAGGAGTGTGTTGACAACACGGGCGGAGGCCTCGGAGAGCGTATCATCACGGCGGGGCACGAGGGCATCGAGCTCATCGAAGAAGATAACACAGGGCACGGAGGAGCGGGCGCGGACAAAGACCTGGCGAACAGCGCGCTCAGACTCACCGACGAATTTGTTGAGCAGTTCGGGACCCTTGACGCTGATGAAGTTTGCGCGGGACTCGTTGGCGACAGCCTTTGCGAGGAGGGTTTTACCGCAACCGGGCGGGCCCCAGAGGAGGACACCCGTCGGCGCGGTAATACCGACGTTGGCGTAGATATCTGGGTTCTTGATTGGTTCGACGATAGCGGTGACGAGCTCGTCGCGGATGCCACCGAGGGCACCAATGTCGGCCCAGGTTGTGTCGGGGATTGTGGCGAAGCCCTCGCGCTTGGAGGAGGGTTGGATCTTGGGGAGGGCTGTGAAGAAGTCTGCGTTGGAGACGAGGACGACTTCTGTTTCATCGCCGATGGGGGTTTCCTTGGCGTGGCTGATGAGACGGCGGAGTTCACGAACTCGCGGGCTGATATCGTCTTCGCCTTCGATTTCCATCTCCATTTCTTCGCCGCTGTTCGACTTGAGGATTTGGAGGTACCGCTTGATGGCGGCTGAGCCAGCGGTCGAGACGAGGTCGTTGAGATCGGCGCCCACGAAGCCGGGGGTTCGTTTAGCTAGTGTCTTGAGGTCGATATCGTCTGCTAGACGCATTTTGCGGGTGAGTGCACGTAGGATCTGTTCTCTGACTGGCTCTGAGGGCACAGTCATGTTGATTTCCTTATCGAAACGGCCACCGCGGCGCAGAGCGGCATCGAGACTGTCTGGGCGGTTGGTTGCGGCGAGTACGATAACAGGTTTTCCGTCTGTCTTTTCAAGGGCAATCTCGTCCATGCATGTCAGAAGCTGGGCGACAATTCGCTTCTCCATCTCCCTCTGGGCGCTCTCGCGCTTTGGCGTAATGGCATCAATCTCGTCAATGAAGATGAGACAGGGAGCAAGACGCTTGGCCTCTTCGAAGTACTCGCGCAGGGCTTTCTCGGATTCACCCGACATTCCTGACACGACCGAAGGCGCAGAGATTGAGATGAAGGGCACACCCAGCTCCGCTGCGAAAGCGTTTGCAATCAAAGTCTTACCGCAGCCCGGGGGACCATGCAGCAATACTCCGCGAGGCGGCTGCACGTTTGATGATAAATAGACCTGCGGCCGGGTCATGGGTAGAATGACCAAGTCTCCAAGTTCCTGAACAACATCATCCAGTCCACCCAAATCGGCGAGACTGACATGTGTTGGTGGCGAACGATCCGCGGGCTCAGCCTTGCGTCGCTTAGAGACAGATTCTCCGCCATGCGTTCTTCTCTTGGAGGAGGTGGGTGCCGGGGTGCTAGCGGTGGATTCGGCGGTCTTTTTGGCCTTCGTTGTTGCCCACGAGCCGACGACACTCTGGTTCATTCCATTGGGTTCCTGATATGGCAATTCCAATTAGAACCTCTGTCCCATATTGAAGCAAAATATGCGCAGTGCATAACGTACCGTAGCGGCAGGCTCCTCGAGTCCCTCAAAGTCCCCCTCCATAGAATCCTCATCATCTTCACCCATATCGGCTTTGACAACCTCCAACACCCGCTCAAGACTGTCCTCAATGAGTCTCTTCGGTTTCCGGTTCAAGCTTGAGTTTGATTTCTTAATTGTGTCATAAATCGCTGGGACCGATAGTCGGATGCGCCCAGTCTCGGGCTGGTCGTCGATAATCTTGCGCACGATCTGGTAGACCTGTTTTTCGGGGTAAGTCAAAGCCAACAAGACTCAATTTTGGATACATACCTCACGGTCCAGACCCTGACTGAGGGTCGGCCTGCCTCCCTTCCTAGCAGGCATGATTTGATATGGTTGTGCAAAAAAAAAAGGCCGCGGGCCCGAAATTTCGGAGATGGGAACATTTGAAAGATCGACTGAAAATTACAGGTAATTACGGGCCCGTTACATAACGTCATTCATGTCTAGGCCCGCATCTACATATGGAGCTGGTTTCTCCCTTCACTTCAACAACATGGGAAACTCGAGTAGTTCGCAGAAGATCTCTGCCCAGGATCGGTGAGTGCAGACTGCTGTATATTGGATACATACAATATCCATAACCCATCCTCAATCCTGTCTGTCAGAGCATACTATTGTTCTCCTCACGAGACCCCCCCCCCCCATCCCCACCCAGCACGCCCATCCAAGGAACGCAATAGTATGTTTCCAGCTAATAACAACCCATGGTATCTGCAGGGCAATTCTCGACCTCAAAAACCAACGCGACAGACTGCACCAATATCAGCGACGAATAACCGTCCTCACAGACCGCGAAACGGAAATCGCCAAGGAATGTCTCGCGCGCAATGATCGGCGGCGAGCACTGCTTGCCCTCCGACGCAAGAAATACCAAGAATCACTCCTTGAGAAGACAGACGGGCAACTTGCGCAGTTGGAGCAGTTGACTGGGCAGGTGGAGTTTGCGCTTGTGCAGAAGGACGTGTTGTTTGGATTGCAGCAGGGGACGAAGGTGCTGCAGACTATCAATAAGGAGATGGGTGGTATTGAGGGTGTTGAGAGATTGATGGGGGAGACCGAGGAAGCGAGAGCTTATCAGGAGGTATGTCCCTCGTTTTTGTCTCATGTTCTTTCGCAGGACGTTGGGATTGGAGTTATGAGTAGGGTTCGGTTTTGCTAACGGTTGTTATAGGAGGTGAGCCAGATGCTGGCGGGCCATTTGACGAATCAAGATGAGGATGAGGTCGAGGATGAGCTGGAGGCTCTGCAGCGGGAACTTGCTGGTCCTGAAATCCTGCCTGATGATGTCGTACTACCAAGTCCGCCTACTGCTGATCTGCCTGTTGAAGAGGTGGTGCCAGAGTTGACTCAAAGAACCAAGGCTAAGGCTCAGACTCGGACGGCTTTGCCTGCTCAGTAGGGGAGATATGTTGGGTCCTCGTTGCACAGCACCAAGCATTGCATTTTATTGATCCAGAGCATTTGTGGCGTTGGGGCTTGTTTGTTTTTGTTGCCTACGTTACTTGTAGATTTCATGTGTCCATGGCGTTAGCGGTTGATTCTATTGCTTGTTGTAAATCCATGGCCTATAGATTATGACATCCTCATTCCGAGGTTTTACAAATGATACTCAATATAAGAGCTCACTTGACTAGATTCAAGACCACAAAACAAATCAATAAAATCTATGTAGAAATACATAGTAGTGGAGTGGTATTGTCGTTAATCATCATGACTGACCTATCAACCCCAACCAACATACACGGAGTCATGTTCATCCCTTCCAAAGAAACCTCCGACGAAGAACCCTATCTACTGTCCAGGCATAACCCTGCCACCAACATCACTAACACCAGGAATAGAGACATGATCCTGAGGGTTCGCCGCAGCCTCATAGAGGAAATTAATCGGCTCCCGGGTTAACTTCATAAACTGCCCCTTAAAGCCTACATACCCAACCTTAGTAACATCCTCTTCGCCATCACTCCAATTATCCTCAAAGAAAAGCGTGACAGAGGTAGTCGCGTTCCAATGGGCACGATTCAACGGCAATTCAAAGACATCGGCGCCGGGTACAGGCTGCGGGACCTCGATAATTTGAGTTGGGTGCAACTCCAATGCGGTTGAGAAATCCAGATCGTCACGGTTCTTGAACAGCTTTACTGTCTTTGGGGCAGAGTTTGTAGGCGCTGTGTACAGGAGGAGGGAGTGGACGTTGACTTGGCCGTTGAAGCTGTGTAGAAGCTCGGATTAGTTTTGGGGTTGGCGATAACGGGTGAGGGGTAAGATTGGTGGGGGTTTGGGATTTTCGTGACGCGTTGCGAGGGGGATGAACAGCTACTAGAAATCATAGGATAGATCTGGAATGAGTGAGACTCACGGGATGGTCATGAGCAGCTGTTCGTCGGCATCGCTCTCAAGTTCGGGCTGGTCGTTTAGTCGCTCGGCCCAGGTTTTCTTGACGATGGATGCGCCAGAGTTTGGGGTGGTCTCTGTCGAAAATCAGGACTTGTCACCAGTAGTTGTCTGGTGCTCATGGGGCTCATGCATACCATTCAGGGTTGTGATCAGGTCGAAATTGATCTGAGAATAGAGGAGAGATTGGATTGCTGGAGTGATATCGTTGGTATGGTCGTGATCTTCGCCATGGCAGTGGCCATCGTGATCATGATGGTGCCCTGACATTGCAAGATGTTGATGTAAATTTGATAAGTTGTACAAGATATGGGTAAGAAAAAATGGATTTGGAGATTTGAAGTTGAAAGGTGTTTGGGAAGCTCTCCACTCCCGTGACGTCGTTACTCCAGAGAAATAAAGTGATACTTAGGTAGTTAGTAGTCTTAAGAGATCATATTGTTTGAAGTGATTTATTCTTTTCCTGTATTCCAACTTTACAATGTAGACACTATACCTGAATATATCACTGTACAGTGGCCCAGATTGTCTCTGCCTCTTTACAGCCCTTAGTTTTCCCTCGATCTATAAAATGCAACCAACATACTATATCTCAATTCCACAGTCTCCTTAAACTCCGGGGTATTATTGTACATGATGGTCCTTCTCTGTAGCTAAATTCCAGCTGTTAATATTGCCTGACTCGGTAATAATCCGGAGCATACTCCAGCAGATAACTCTTCTCGATCTTAGTGACATCGCGGATATATGTTTTTTCACCTGTTTGCATTATCTCATGGAATATGACCCAGTCGGCTTTCCGGTTCTATATTCAAGTCAGCAAACCAAACATGTACTTTCCCACGCAAAATCCATGAGCACTTACAAACATCAGCGAGGTGGGGTGAGCATGAAGAGTCAGACCACCGCTGACAGTCTTAAAAGTTCCATCCGGTTGCATCTTCGCTGCGTGAGCAAAATAGCCCGTCGTAAGACACCGCCGAATCTGCTCCGGCTGGTTGCTCAAATCGGCTGCGCCATGACGGGATGAAAGTGTCTCGTCGACTTGAATGCCAAAGCGTTCTAGATACCGTTTTAATTGGCCTCGGATGCTCACTGCGCGTAACAGTGCCCGGTAATTCAAGAGGTTGTCGCGACACCATTTTGAGTCTTTCTTCCCCTTGGTGACAAAGGCTTGGTACACGTTCAGGTACGTCAAATGATCGCCCTCTTCAACGGCGAACTTTCGCCGGTGGGTCTCCGCAGATCTTTTGTCCCCAGAGTGCTGAACCCACACTGTACCCTGGAGGTTGACCATGGCCGCAATTGTGAGGATTTCACTTAAACAATTGAAAGATGGAGCGGTGAGAAGAACTTTGGCCATCATAGGATCCAGAGCAATTTCTGCCATCCGCACTCCAAGCGGTTTCGTGAGTTTGGCATAGTCGTCAACCGCACCGAGAGAAGACAGAAGCTCAAGTGCACGAATGATGAGTTCTGCCGGCGGAGGTGTCAAGAAGTCGAACCGGACGATGTTGTCGATGCCCAGTGCTTTAAGCTGCATAATGACCGGTGCGAGATTTGATCGCTGGATTTCGGGTACGGTTGCTTCCGGCATCTGCTCGAACGCTTGTTGCGTGTACAGACGGAAACATTTCCCTGGCTTCGTTCTTCCAGCGCGGCCAGCTCGCTGGGTGGCGGATGCTTTTGATATCGGCACTGCAGTCAATGTATCGATACCAGTATTGGGATTGTATGCTCTGAGCTTGGCGAAGCCGGAATCAATCACATATACAATCCCGTCGATTGTGACCGAAGCCTCGGCAATGTTGGTCGAGACGATGACCTTCCGGGTGTTTTCTGGAGTCGGCTCGAAGACATACATTTGCTGTTCCGTGGTGAGTCCAGCATAAAGCGGTAGCGGAAGCAGAGTGGGGGCCTTTGGATGGAGAGTTGCCGCTCTTTCGGATATCAACTGGATCGCAGTGTCGATCTCTTCCCGGCCAGTCAAAAAGAGAAGTACATCGCCTTCTGGTTCTTGTGTATGAATATCAAAGACGGTTTTGACTGCTCGCTCTATGTAATCTTCTGCCGGAGAGTCAAGGAACAGCATGTCGACTGGATACATTCGTCCTTCCAGACTGATGATCCGACCAACGCTTCCACCCAAATCCGCCGCCTCTGCCTCGGGCTGGTACTCCTCGCCGGCGAAGAAACGAAGAAAATCCTCTGCTTGCAGGGTTGCACTACTAACAATAATGCGAAGTTCAGGGCGCCTCTTGCGGATCTTCTTTAGAGTCCCAAGGAGCACATCGGTACTGAGAGATCTTTCATGTGCCTCATCGACCATGATAACTGAATACCGCGAAAGTAGAGGATCAACCAGGGCTTCTCTGAGCAGCATTCCATCTGTCAAGAATTTGATCCTTGTTGCAGGAGATGTCAAATCTTCAAATCGGATGGAGTAGCCCACCTCTTCACCGACTTTGCATCGCATCTCTTCAGCTACTCGCGTTGCAACCGTTGTAGCAGCCACCCGGCGGGGCTGGAATAGGGTTAGTTGCTACTTAATTTAGAGTATGATGGGATCAGTGCTCACCTGTGTAACGGCAATGATCTTCCCATCCTCGCACCATCCTGCCTGGTCTAGATACTGCGGAAGCTGAGTTGTTTTCCCACTACCTGTTTGGCCCACCACGATAGTGACAGGGTAATTTTCAACCAGATAGAGCAGGTTCTTCTTATGACGTGCGATAGGCAGTAAAGCAGCCGGTTTATACAGGGCTGGAATGAAAGAGGTCGAGAGCTCCTGTTCTGAGGCCATTTTAGACCGAATTTTAGCCGAGAACGAACTCCGCTGGATTTGAGCCCAGGTGTTAAAATAAACCAAATTGGATCTGGGCCATTCTGAAATGTCAAGCGCTTTGCAGAGTGGCAATTTGGAGATCGTCGGAGTTCTCGCAGAAACATCCAGGGCGATCTGTATAACGCTCGCTCGCCCGCTATCACGTGCGCCCCACGTCACTTGGAGCTTCCCCGATATGTTCTGCCCTCAGACATTCTCAGGCAACACTGTTCTTCTGAATTTCTCTCCAGTCCCTTTCAATACTCTATTAGGTCCTGAAGATACCCCAAGATGTCAGAGGAGGACAAGATGGTATGTTTACTTTCCAACCGGATATCATTTATTATCGCATGAGGCTCACGTTCATACACAGAACACTCCCAGCAGGCCCTTGGCTGCCCTTAATTCCCCTAACAGCCCCCGAGCCGAGTCGCCAACTACCGCGCGCCCGATGGACTTTGACGACGAACCCCAGGAGAGCGGAGTTGTTACTTCCTCCCCTGTCGCTGCTCAGCCAGCTGCCGCCGAGGCAGCCCCGCCAAAGCCGCCCCGGCCCCTGAACCCGAGAGAACAGTCAGAGAACACCCTTAGGGAGGCATTTCCGAGCATCGAGCCTGGCGTCATCAAAGCGGTCTTGACCGCAAGCAATTGGAATGTCGAACGGGCGTTCAATGCCCTCCTGGGTTCGTGGAGAATATACTATTTATGAAATGAGTATGCGCTGACCAGACCTCGGCTTGCAGGTATGACCGATCCCAAGGCTCAAGAGGAAATGACACCACCGCCAAAGCCGCCGCGCCCAACCCAACAGAGCACCGCTGCACAGCGACAACTGGAAGCCGATGAGATGTATGCACGTCAACTATCTGAGCACTACAATGCGACGGGACGTCGTGCACCGCCCCCAGGCTGGGAGAGTGACCCCCGATACCAGCGACCTAGAGGAAGCGAGGAGGAGGATGAGAGAGAATACAGCTTCTTTGATGGTATGCGCTATGTGGTGGCTGGCCGAATAAGCTCATGCTAATTGGGTGTTACAGATGATCTACCTGTGATCCGCGAGAACCTCCGTAAGGGCTTCTTGGACACACAGAATAAAGTTAACTCATGGGTCACAAACCTGAAGAAGAGGATTGATGGAGATGATTTGGACGAGGAACCTAGCCAGAACCAAAGAGAGACTCCTGCCCATGCCCGGCCCCGACGCAGTGGTGATATGGGCCGTCGCAGTGGAGATCGTGAGCGCTACGACGCGGATCCCCAAGTTCTTGGTGATGATTTCTCTGCTCTCGAGTTGAGGGATGGCGAAGGTAAACAACTACCTCAAGTTTGGTATATTATTAGGTTTTGCTAACTGCGCACAGCTCCCCCGGCTCGCCCCCCTCGTCCGGGCCAATCCAGCTTTAAACCCTCCGCGTCTCCTTCGCCAGACAGACGCAAGGTATCTTTCCAGGATGGACCACCCACCGAGATTGACAACCTTTACGATTCCCCCACGCCATCCAAACGCCTCAGCTCAACAGGCAGCAAGGCGAGCAAATGGCAACCATTGTCCACCGTCGAGCCTTCACCCGTCGCGGAGAACGACCCATTCAGCCTCGGCGATAGCGATGATGAGAAGGAAATTAAGACCAAGGAGCAAACCACTGGCCCGGAGGGCGATCAGCACAAGCACGCTACTGTCGAGTCAGTGTCTGACGAAGTGGGTCCCTCTAAGGACCAGGAGACCAAGGGCGCGAGCAAGCCCGACGAGTCAAAATAATTGCAAATGATTGGAATTTGAATATCCCCACTGTTATCTGAAGCACTTATTGCCTTTCCGCATTGGATCGTTTCCTCCCAGCCCATGATCATACCTATTTCCCCTATCGTTCTACTCTGCCAACTCACCTTGCTATGCGCTACCCACCTCCCCGAGTTTACGATACCTAGTTGAGGTAGCCCAAGACGTTTTCCAACCATTCTAATGTCTCCATAAACCCAAGCCAAATTGAAATTGTATTTGTACCGGAAAACAACAAAACAAAAGGGTATATCTCCGGCCCGTACAGTAACAAATACACAGTGTCAACGCCAAAACAGAACAAACAACAGATCTCCTTCAATGCACCGATATGGTTAACATGTAACTCTTTTTTAAATCCACACAGACTCTCCAAAGCAATTACTCCACGGCGGGAGCATTACCCACGCGCTTTGAACCAGTCTCCTTGCGCAGATCCTTGATGACAGTCTGTAAAGTAGAGTCAGCTACTAGGCACTTTTAAAAGCCAAATAACGCGTGCAGAGAGCTATATTGTTGAAATTTGATCCCAATCTCGTGGGGGAAACGCGTACCGCCAAAGCATCGGGGTTGACCCCGTTTTCAATGAGAGACACACAAAGCGACAGCTCTGTTCGGTCCAGGTTTGTATTCTGTTCATCATGTCAGTTTTGGGGGCTATAGCGTATTGTTTTCTTTTTGTAAAGAAGAGAGAATGACGACATGGACTAGGAATCCTGAATCCTGAATCATGTCTAGTTCAGTCTGGGGGTGAGCACACACCAGCAAGTCGGAGATCTCCTGGAGGATATCGATGACTTCTCTGGCGGCTTGGCGCTTGTCATCGGCCTGGTCTTGGGATTTTGGGGGCATTTTTGATTTTGATATTGAGGGTGGGGGTGGTTGTTGGAGTGTAAGGTGGTTGAATCTGTGTGGTTGGTGTTGGGTTGATCGTTGTGGGGGACTTTTCTGCGGATCAACACAATCATCTATAATGTTGTATATTGTAGTAACTACTCTGCACAAGGTACATTGACGTGATATTCTTGTCTTGTCTTTTTTTGGGGGCTTTTTTTCTATTGACGTCACTTTACTTCTAAAGGAATCTGCTAGTTCAATTGCTCTTCTTATTACTGGTGGATATTCTTAGGAACTGTGCTTATCTTCTACAATATTCTCCGGACTAAAATATATGTTGTACTACAACAGTAGAAGAATTCTTAGCTTGGGAATTGACCTATTCTTAAGAATGTAATGCATAAACTTGTTCATTTTAAGTAAGTCATACCTAGGGCATAAGCCTATGTATGTATGAAGAGTCCACAGGGGTTCACGTATTCATGTATTCGCATATTTTTGCTTCTTTTCCTATTACTCTTCTTGATCTATATTATGCATGGATATAGTATCTTAGTATTATTTCTAATAATTCCTAAAATCCGTGCAATGCTGCAAACACTGATATGGGGTGTTCTATATTAAATGGTTAATATAGTACAAATTGTATAAACTACTACCTTGTTGATCCTCAAGGAATTGCATCACAATCTATAGACTCGCGATCCTTCAGGATGAGTGCATTGTCCATTCAAATGGGCAAATTGACCCATAGACGACCATCATTACCACTAAGATTCAATGATCCTCCCACGGATATGACCGTTTCGCCCCCAACCCTAATCACAACCATCCCCGCCCGAGCGGCACAACGTGCAATCCGTGCAAAAAGATCTTATCCAAATGAAGAAAGTGGGACTGTAACTAGGTAGAATTAGTGGCATGAGTGGAAGATATCTACACCTAACTATCCCCTTTAGGATGCTGCCCTGATCCTTTCATATGATCTCATCCAGGTTGCTAGATCAAAATGGACAACAAGACCCATACTCGCCAGCTAGGCTTTCGTCTGGTAGTCTTCAGCCATACTCACTTTCTCTTCAATGCTTATAGAGCGTCATTTTCTATATTCCAGGGTGCTGGTGCAACGAGTAAACTGCAAATATGAACACCACATCTATTTTCGGCCCCCCACCGGCGGGGGTCGATCTCACAGAAACCAGAACCTTCGAGGACACTACCGTTGTCGTGACTGTATGTGTGCTTGCGGTATGCACTATTGTCTTCCGTCTCGTTGTGAGGTTGTATATCCAGGGAGCGAGGCTGGAACCCGATGACTGGTTGATTGGGGCATCTGGCATCCCATTAGTTGCATTACTTGCATCATCTATTCTTGGTACGTTTTGAATCCGATCTTAATTATATGGGAAACAAGACATTAACAGATATATCCTCGAATCAGGTGGCACCTATGGTTTCGGTTTGCATGTCTGGTGTACAACAGTGGAGAACATGGTTATAATGAAAAAGGCATGAACAAAAAAGATGATATATCCCAGAGCCAAATCTAATTGAATAGTATAGATCCTCTTTGCCTACCTCATTATCTATCTCTTCGAACTACTCCTCATCAAAGTCTCAATCCTCATGTTCTACCGCCGAATCTTCGGCATGAACTGGATGATCTGCGCCACCCTTTTTATCTCCTATGGCTGGTGTGTAGGAAGCATGATCGCAGCCCTATGTGCCTGTGAGCCGATTTCATATTTCTGGAACGAATTGATCGACCCCACATCTGGCTCATACCGATATAACTTCTATTATTACTACGTTGGGAACGCGGCTGCCAACGTCGTGACGGACGTTCTTATTCTGCTCGTCCCGATGCCTGTTGTTTGGAGTCTTCAGATGCGTACAACACAGAAGATTGGCGTGTGCGGTGTGCTTCTTCTAGGTGGATTGTATGTTCCCGAACAAAGCTCTTCCAAAAACCAATTCTAACACAACTTTGCCTTAGTGTCTGCGTCGCAAGTGGTATTCGGATCCACTACATAACCTTTCTCCACAACAACATAGATATTACATGGGCCTTGGGCAGTGTATCCGTGTGGTCAACTATCGAGCCGTGCATCGGCATCATCTGCGCCTGTCTGCCTGTCCTACAGCCATTCGTCCGCTCACTGGTCAAGAAAATGCCGACTATACCGGGCACCCAGCATATTGGGACGCGTGGACTGTCTAGTTTTATACAGAGAATATCTCTCAACGAACGTGAGAACAGGAGCAGCAAGTACGATATGGAATCCAGAACGAGTCCTACGCCCTTTGGCCAATCAGATGAAGACCTCGATCCTCTTACGACGGTCAGGACTCGGGTGGAGATAGAAACAGACCCAAAAGAAAGGATTGATGGGGAGGAGAATCTGGATCCTATGGCTATTCGTGTTAAACGAGTTGTGCACTGGAGTGTTGATTAGGCTGCTCCTGTTAAACCCAGGGCCGGTAATCATTTTCTTTGTTTTTTGAGCGTTTGAAAGTTAATGAATACATGTATATATGTTTATACCTTTGTGGGAGACTTTTGTTTGCTGCACATATGCGGGCTGCTTTAGTAGTGTACATAGATACCATATACAGGCAGTAGGGATACTAAAAAAAGGCATTCCGTTTTACCTCCATTTCTTTTCCTCGTATTCGCCTTTTCTCTTTCCCTTTTTCTTATATTTGCATTATTCAAGACTACTGTGATTTACCGTGACGGGTATTGCGTAATAGTCTAGTCCTAAAGCTTCGTGTCATGGGCTATTGTGAAGATATAATCGATAATCCGCTGATCCTCCAGTCTCCAAATAGTGTTATCCCATAGAGTCCTGAAATCGCCGAGAATCATGTTCAAGCTTGGAACATTGGATGGAAGCAGTTCCTGACAAACGGGGAAGAGGCCCCAGGCAGTCACACACCCCTACTACATAAGTATTATATAGGTTGTAAGAAGAGAAATGGAGATTGGCTCTCTATATGGTCGATCTATCAGGAAACGAAAAAGCTGCACATGAATAACCACTGTATAGACGAAAAGGTGGAACAAATGTAAATACAGATATCATTGATTCTAGATTAGTATACGAACATGGACAGGAGAAAATGTAAATGCGAGATCAGCGCGAAGCGAACGGCAATTCATACTAAGAAGTTAAAGCAAGTTCGGGCCAGAGAAACATCCAATTAATGAAATCCACAAAATTCACAAAACAATTCAAGCAGCAAACACTGTACTTCAACTCTTCTCGCACTCGCATCACCTGGCGAGCATCATCATCTACAGCCCTATCGGGTTGAGTTCTAAGGTCATGTCTTTCAAAATGTCTACATTCATCAAGGACGCGACATTCACCATCATACCACCGAAAAAGCCATCAGCCTGGGAACAATTCCGAGATCAACCTTGTCTCTTCCTCGCCCGCAAGCTCTCTGCCTGGCGACCAGCCAATCTCCCCGAACTGCCTGAGAACCCAGTCACTATAGTCTGCATCTCAAACACCTACCACCAGCGACCATCGATACCACCTGGCGACATTCTGATCCATGCCGGCGATTTGACATCAGATGGATCGCTCGCCGAGCTCCAAATCACGCTGAACTGGCTACGAGCCCAGCCTCACCGCACTAAGATTGTTGTGGCGGGTAGTTCTGACCGGTATCTTGATAAGATGAAGAAGGGAGGTCGTCGCTGGAGACATGGACATCGCGAGAGGGCACACTGGGGTGACATCATCTATCTGGAGCACCAGCATGTCACCGTGACTGCCCGGAACGGACGCCAACTCCGAATCTATGGAAGTCCATACTCACCAATGACCATTCCTTCCTCGGCCTTCCAGTACACTGCTTCTGATAATATTTGGGACCGAATCCCCGACAATATGGACATTCTCATTACTCACACGCCCCCATACACACACCTCGACGATCTCAAAGGCTGCCCGCATTTGCTGGAACAGATATGGAGGGATCAACCTCGACTGCATGTTTTCGGATCCTCTCTTGAGAATTACGGATTTCAATTTTTGCACTATGATGCTCTTCAGGAGGCTCTTGAGCGCATTGAGGCTGCGGGTGGGGGTTTCTTTAATCTTCTGAGGGTAGTCAAAGGGCTTGTGCAATCCTTCTTCCGCCCTGATATCCAAACCAAGACCGTGCTTGTGAACGCATGCATTAGCGGGGGATTGTGGCATATTGAACGCCAACCGATCACCGTTACTATGTAATTTGGGGCTGGGGAGTGGTCAACTATGTGCCCAGATACTTTGCGAGGATGAGACGAGACTCGACATGTGATTTACCAATAAATGAAAAATTTGCTTCCAGTTGTACGTGCATAGACGCGTAGATGAAATTGAGACACTGACGACTCGTAGCCGTTTATAGATCAAGATGACTCTCATTGGTCAAAACTCACCGGTGGGGACCATAACACTTTTCACTACTCCGTACATTTGAACCAACTTCGTACTTTTACACGGCATAAACTGACACAGTTACAGTGTCAAATATCTGGAACAGGCGTGTGCTAAAAACTAGGCAGCCTTGATTTGGAATGGCACCTCAATGCGAAATGGGAGGAATGGGAGGAATGCCCGGCCTAACCATCTCGGACATTCATTCCTTGAAGAGGAACGAGGCACTGGAGATTCTTGCCCAGATTTCACGCGTCGAGAAAAAGACCTTCCCCACCAATGAGGCATTCCCATTCGGCGAAGACTTGTGGAGAAAAAAGCCCAACACGCGAGTTCTGTACGCGATTCGAGCCAAGGGATCGCAATCTGATCTGATTGCCTATGCGGTCTATGTCCGACAGAAGGGCGTTGCGCTTTTGCACAAGGTCTGTGTGACAGAGCCTAACCGCCGTCAAGGTGTCGGCCAGGAGGTACTGTCCTACATTCAGCAACGCCTACGAAAGGAGGGCTGTCAGTATATTCAACTCTGGGTGGACCAGGCCAGGGAGCCTGCACGCGCCTTGTATCTCCGAATTGGATTCGAGGAGCGTGAAGTCATCCCTGATTACTATGCCCCTGGACGAACAGGCATCAAAATGGTCCTGGATTTAGAAGCGTGATGGTTGAGCCACTGCCGTCAATGCTGCACCCTATGGACCTTTTTTTTTCCTTCCACTAAAAATATTCCTTGCCTTATCGGTCCCTTTCGAATAGGTCCGAGGGGCAACAAGTCATGATTGGGCGCGGCTATGCTCCTTGGCCGCCACAGGAGCCGCCTATGTTACCCCTTGCATGGACACGGGCATCGTCGAAACGTGAGATTATAGCGATCGGGCCTGCGTCCATTCTCCGCTGTCATTCTGCTACATACTTCCGTGACATCTAACATATCCAGGTATGGCTTTTTTGAAAGGGCACGCCTTGAATGTCTCCCTGGTCCCTTTGATGCGAGAGGGACCGCGATCCTTTTCTGGAAGATCATGCGTGATACTCTTTCATCTTCGCCCTGAATCTCTTTCTTTCCATCTTGACTACTTTCACTATCTTTCGCCGTGAGATTGGAAGCATCGTTGGTGATTGGTGAGCTAGCTGTGTATTTTCCAGCTATATACAGTTCCAGCGTGCTCGCATTTCCCAATCGACCATGGCGTTCTTTCTCACCATCGTGCTGGCTTTTCTGTCAATAGCCAGCGCAGCATCATTGTCTGCCAATTATCCTATCAACGCGCAATTGCCACCTGTTGCCCGAGTTTCACAGCCTTTCCGATTTGAGTTCGCCCAAAGTACTTTCTCTAACAGTGACGCGGACACTAAATACTCGCTATCAAATGCACCATCATGGCTCGAAGTGGACAGCAACAGTCTCACCTTGTCCGGTACGCCACACTCAGGCGACAGTGGCGCCACCAAGTTCAAACTTGTGGCATCGAATGGATCGGAAAAAGACAGCATGGATGTTACTTTAATCGTGACAGCAGACCAGGGACCAACAGTGAACAAACCACTTGTAACTCAACTGCAGAAATTGGGACCGGTCTCATACCCTGCCACGCTATTCGTCCATCCAGGTCGTCCATTCTCGATCGAGTTCGATCAAGACACCTTCGACAACACGCATCCTTCCACAATCTACTACGGAACATCACCGAACAACGCCCCGCTGCCTTCCTGGATCAATTTCGACCCGGCAGCCCTGAAGTTTGCTGGAAATAGCCCTGCTTTTCCAGGCGCAGGGCCTCAAACATTTACTTTCCAGCTGATCGCATCAGATGTAGCTGGATACAGTGCGGCCAACATGACTTTTGAGCTTTCGATCGGTCCCCATATTCTGACATTCAACGAGACTGTCCAAAACTTCAACCTTACGAGAGGAGAAGAGTTCAACAGCCCCAAATTCAATAGCATTCTGTCTATGGACGGTTCGCCAACTTCTATTAAGGAGCTGGCAAAAGTCGATGCTGAATTGCCGAACTGGTTGAAGCTGGATAAGGACAATATATCGCTGAGCGGGACGCCACCCAAGAATGCTGTGAACCAGAATATCACTATTGCCGTTACGGATTCTTTCCAGGACCAAGCGCACTTGATGGTTCGCCTGGAGTTCTTGAAGTTGTTCCTTGACACCGTCGAGGGCTGCGAGGCAGCCATTGGCCAAGACTTCAAGTTTGTGTTCAACCAGTCTATCGTCACCGATGACTCTGTACGATTGGAGGTCGATTTGGACAATGCCAAAGACCTTACGTGGCTTACCTACTTCTCGGACAACAAGACTCTTTACGGACACGTTCCGGAGGACATGGATCCCAAGAAGTTCACCATCCCTCTTACTGCATATCAAGGGTCGACCGAAGACACAATGGACTTCATTCTCGATGTTCTCAAAGCCTCGGACACGCATTCGAACCCCACAGATCCGTTCACCGATTCTGACAGCCCCAGCCACAAGAAGGCCGGCATCATCGCCATCTCAGTCGTGGTTCCACTTGTGGTGATTCTGAGTCTGCTGATACTCTTCTGCTGCTGGCGTAGCCGCAAGAGCTCACCCACGGTCGAAGAGGGTCCATCCGACAGCAAGGTTGCTCCACCACGACCTGTTAGACCAGATGTTCCTAATTGCCAGCCATCCATGACGGAAAGACCTTCCCGCGATGACAACTCTGAAGATTGGATGAGTCCTATCACCCCATCGTCGATTCCCAAGCTCGAACTTGGGCCCGCGTGGAACGTGTCATCATTTGATAAACGGGAGCACCCAGTGAACTTTGCTATCCCTGGGCCCATTGTTCCCCCTCGCTCTCCTGCTCGCAACTCTCCCACTCGCAACTCTCCCACTCGCAACTCTCCCACTCGCAACTCTCCCACTCGCAACTCTCCCACTCGCGGGAACTTTGTCCCACTGCGAGATACCATCATCCAAGAGGACAAGCCCGTTCAAACCATCTCACCTTCCAAGAAGCAAAACAATCGCCTCTCATCCACAAACAGTCCCCTGCGTCGTAGGACTACCAACCGGTCCCGACGAGAGCCATTGAAGCCGATCCAGCCGCGAGCCATGAAGCGAGAATCTCTCCAATCATCCAAGTCCAAGAGATACTCAAAGCGCTCGAGCGGTATCTCCACCATTGCCTCTGGACTGCCCGTACGATTCAGCGGAGCTGGTCATGGCGCTGGCGGCTTCGGACCTCCTGGCCACGGCGTGGTGCACACATCATGGCAAAACGCGCGAGCCTCAATGATGAGCGATGAGACCAACGTAACAAACATGGCACCAATGTTCTCGCGTCTGCCAGCAGCAGGACGCATGCGCCACAGCATGGCATCTAGCATCCCCGACAACTATAAGCGCATGACCCTACGCACCGTCGAGCCCGACGACTCCATCCCTTCCGAAGCCGATTCCCTAGAAGCCTTTGTCCACAGCCGAGCCAAGCACCGCAACTCCTCCAACCCTCTCTTCTCCGCGCAAATCAGCCGGCGCACTTCCTCAGGCATGCGTGCGCTCGACCGAAACCGCAGCATGCGCAGCCGCGCCGACACCGTCTCTGTGTCAACCTTCAGCGACGAATTCCGCCAATCCATCCAAGAACGGCCCTTGTCAACTGCGATGTCGGCCTCGGAATACGGCGACGACAACAACCCCAGTCGCTTCTCCCAATATCAGAACCAGGCCGGTCTGTTTCCCCTTGCTGAAGGCAGCGCATATGGCCAGAGCCAGTTGAGTCTTGCACAAGACTACCGTGGTGCTATCTCCCCGCTGCCGCGGTTCTGGAGCGAGAATAGTATGGGCAGTGCTCGGCGGTTGGAGGGCCAGAGCCAGAGCCAGGGCAGCTCCCAGCCCCATAAAGTGAATGATGAAAACGCTATGCCGCACAGTTCGTCTATGATCTCGGATTTGGATGAGCATCTGTCGCGAAAGGCTAGCCCTAATAAGAGCGCGAATCAACAGTGGTGGTTGCCATCGCCTCTTGAGCCCCCGCGGCCACTGAAGAATGCCGGTAATCGGGGTCTTCCTATAGCCAGTAGTGGAGAGCTGGCATTTGTTTGATCTTTGGCTTTGCCTCTTTTTTCCCGTCTTGTATCTCTATATCTTTCTCTTTTTTTGTCTTTTTTTTCCTTCTGTCTATTGTGTTTCTGGCGTTCTCGGGCATTGCGAGCATGATATCCATTGGCTTTTCTATGGTTGATTGGTTGGTATTTTGGCCAAGTCTTTTATACTAGTTGATCTAGTTTTGGAACGAATAAGAATTCTTTAGGTGTATTAGCGACCACCGGGGCTTAGAATTCACCGCTTGGATCTCCGCCTTCGCAGTAATTTCCAACACTGTACTAATAGAGTCCAGCATGAGAAGACCAAAGAGAAAGGAACTTATTTCCTACAAATAGAATACTTTAGATTTTTCAAGTTTGAAAGTCAGACATCTTGGATATGGCATGACTGTACGGTGACTCCATAGTACTGTGCCTCATAGCCCCTATTTACTTCCCCTTCAGCCTCAACGAGATACCACATACTACATGTCGATATTAGATACTATGTACTATGTGCTATGTACTACAGACTTTCTTTACAAGAAATATTCTCTTAAATCCCCAACTTCTTCCAAACCCTCCAGTGAACCAGTCTGAACACCCCCCTCACGTGACTATATAGAGCAAGGCGTAACAAAAGCGGTAAACGCAATACCAGGAAATCTCTGCGAGGTGTCTTGTCAGGACTCGGACTTCTCTTTCTTAGCTTCCTTGAAATTGTCTTTCCAATCTTCATCTCCTAACAAAATCCCTACTCTATTTGAAAACATTTAAGTACAGAGGCAAGAAATCTATCGTCATCCGTCGTTCCCCACTTATCGCGGGTCCCAGACGCGCTGAAAGCCCTGCGCCCTCATCTGACCCTTTCCCTACAGCACCTCCAGCACCCCCAGCATCTTCCACACTTCGATCCGGAAACCTCGATTCCACCACCTCCCCCGAATTATTTAATCTTTGCCAATATGGGTCAAACCCTATCGGAGCCGGTGGTCGAAAAGGTGAGTCGATATTTTGCTTTTTGATTCACACCCCACACTGGCCCATTGTGACCCTCCAATGTCTTGTCTATGGCTTCTAAACACCCCCCTCCCCCCCTTCCTTGGCTCTTATCATACCCCAAATCCATGGGGTTATGGACCGAGTCTCTCTCAGGTCTTCTTGTTGAACAATTAGTCCGTGCTGTCGCTCGGATGAATCTTCCTCGGGTTGCCATGCGGGGTCTTGGGTGATCCAGCTGGTGGGGGTGGTTCGACCAGCGACGAACTGGCATCGCAATCCTACCAGACAGCCTTGCATATGTTGTGGAAATGCATCGAGTGTAACTAATGTGTTATTTTTTTGATTGTTACAGACATCGTCCGAAGGCGGGGATGACTGCTGTGTGTATGGTGTGTCGGCCATGCAGGGCTGGCGAATCAGCATGGAGGACGCCCACGCTACAATCCTTGACCTCCAGGCAAAGTATACCGGCACCAACGACAAACCGACGGATCCGGAACACCGCCTCGCTTTCTTTGGTGTGTATGATGGCCACGGTGGAGACAAGGTGGCATTATTCACCGGCGAGAACCTGCACAAGATCGTCTCCAGACAGGAGGCTTTCGCCAAGGGCGATATTGAACAGGCCATGAAGGATGGTTTCCTCGCCACCGATAGAGCTATTTTGGAAGGTTTGTGCTCTGTTGTTGTTCCCGAGGTACCGCATGCTAGATCGCTGACTTGGGCCTAGACCCCCGTTATGAGGAGGAAGTGTCTGGCTGTACTGCTTCCACAGCCATTATCTCACAGAAGAAGATCTGGGTGGTATGTTGTGATCTTGAAACACCCCCAATATCGCATCGGAGAAGTTCAAACTGACTGGTCATAGGCCAACGCTGGAGATTCACGATCCGTCTTGGGTGTCAAGGGACGTGCAAAGCCCCTCTCATTCGACCACAAGCCTCAGAACGAGGGTAAGTGCATGGGATTCATACAGGTCGCTACATGAAACATGATCAGGGTCTGACAAATAATTACAACAGGCGAGAAGGCCCGTATCACCGCTGCTGGTGGCTTCGTCGACTTCGGCCGTGTCAATGGCAACCTTGCCCTGTCCCGTGCTATCGGTGACTTTGAATTCAAGAAGAGCCCTGAGCTCTCTCCCGAACAGCAGATCGTCACCGCATACCCCGATGTGACCGTCCACGAGCTGACGGATGATGATGAATTCCTGGTGATTGCCTGTGATGGTATGTCTTCCATTATTAATATCTCTCGCCAGTCTAAATTCTAACCAATTTACAGGTATCTGGGATTGCCAGTCCTCCCAGGCTGTGGTTGAATTTGTCCGCAGAGGCATTGCTGCTAAGCAGCCCCTCGCCCAGATCAGTGAAAACATGATGGACAACTGCCTTGCCTCCAATAGTGAAACCGGCGGTGTTGGATGTGACAACATGACCATGACCGTCATTGGACTCCTACAGGGCAAGACCAAGGAGGAGTGGTATAACCAGGTTGCAGAGCGGGTTGCGAACGGGGACGGACCTTGTGCTCCGCCCGAGTACGGCAAGTCTCCCGAGGAACCCGAAAGCATCCCCACTTCTTCGTGCTGACGGCCAGTTCGTGCAGCCGAGTTCCGCGGCCCCGGGATCCGGAACCAGTTTGAGGATACCCCGGATGAATATGACCTGGAGATGGAGCGTTCCCGTGGCTTTAGTGTCCGTTCGGGCCGCATCATCCTCCTAGGTGATGGCACTGAGGTCATCACGGACCAGAACGACGAGGAACTTTTTGACCAGACTGAGGAGGACGAGGACGAGGACCTTACCAACCAGGTGCAGCACGAATCAAGTACCCGGAACGACCGCCAGGCCACTCCCGGTCCTCAGGAGAAACAGGAGAATGTCAGCGGAACTTCTGCGCAAATATCCGAATCCCCGGCTTCCACTGACGCTGAGAAAGAGAAGTCCGCATCGTAGACTATGAACCTATGAACAGTCTATCGATTGGTCCTCCCTGTTTTGGTTTCAATCTGGTTTTGTTTTCCTTGCCCACTGCCAACGACCCTTCCCCTTGATTCCACGATCTATGCCTTGTTTTCCTCCCCCTTTCTTTGTTTTTGCCATTAGTTATCGTTGGGCTCTGTTCCCAAGCCTGTTTACACTTTTTTTTAAAACTCCTTCGACTTGAAATGGATATTTGCCAGAGACGGGACATGCGGCAAAGAGACCCAGACGGAATTGAATGAGATGAAAGACAAGAGCTTTGAATTTCCATGGGGGGTCGATGTTGAAAGAGAGCCCTTCGCCGGGAGCCAAATGGGCCCCATGAGCACGTTTCTTACTTTATGCCATCACCACAACGAGATACCGCAGAAAATGCCCGCTATTGACGAACCATTTACCTACACTTCCTTGTCCGCTTCTTTTTTCAGGTCCTTTTTTTCTCTCTTAATCCCCGGTCTATTCCCTACCTACGGTCATTGATCTGCGGTTTGGTCTATACGAGAATGAGTACTTGCTAGAGGCGCAAGCTGGTAGAGCTGGGTATTGATTGAGAGTTCGTTGGGTTGAGAAATGGGCAATGGCAATGGCAATGGTCATTTACATAGCCTTTGGCGTATATCTGATGCATCGAGCGTTTCTTTGTACCTTGGTAGATGTCGTTTCACGGTTCTATTTTGAGCAACGGAGTTCTGAGAGAAAGTCATGTTTGCTGACGTAGGCAAATTCAAGGAAACAATGGGATATTTCTGCCATTGAAATGTTGCCAATTGCCTATTTTAGTCAATTGATACCTACATGTAGGTAATGGAGTAACTAACTAGTTAACTAGTTAACACATGGAGTGATAGTTATCCACGATGTCCACTATGTGCTACCCCTGTTATGTACCTAATCCACACGTGGTCAGTGTAACTAAGACCCGTGGACGTGCCAAGACTTAATTTGCAACACCAAGCCCATATTTGCAATTCTTTGTATTGTAAGTTTCAACCCCGTACACTCTAGACTCTGGGACTGTGGCTTATAACAGCGGAGTTACGCCCCCACTCTTTCCCCAAAGAGAAAATTACCAGTCTCTCCAAAAACCGGGTTGCCGTCATTCAGGGTTGAGCATTAATTCTCTCCCTAATTCCCTCCATCCCCAACCTTTCATTCATTTCCCTCGGAAGAAATCTCTCATTTATTCTCCAGGGCCAAAATCATAATGTCGCCATCTACATCCCCCGCCGGCAAGCGCAAGCGCAGCGCCTCCCACCTTCCCGCGCCCGTTCCCAATAACGTCACAGCCGACCTCCAACCGTCCTCTCGCGACGCGTCCGGCGAAGAAGGCGGCGAGTACTCGACAGGGCCCGCTAATGCCAACTCCCACATCACCAATGGTACCCGCCACCCTTCTAAGCGGGCCCGCAAGGCTGCCGCCGCCGATGCCGCAAGCCACACCGAGGTGAACGGGGTCAAGTCAGCCATCAACAAAGAAGACCCCGGCGAGCCATCTGAGACAACTGTCGCCAGCAGCGACATTGAGGGTGGGCCTCGGTCGCGCCCCGGCTTACATATTGATTTACCCGAAGATGATGAGCCTGTTACAGAGGAGCAAATGGCGCCCCCGGTCTTTGGGCGCTTGCAGGATCCCGTGGGCTACCACACTAACCCCCCCCAACGGGCCGCTCAGTACGCGTGTATGCGGACGGTGTCTTTGATTTGTTCCATCTTGGGTAGGTGATCACACGAGCGGATTGAGTTTTAATTTCGGCCCCCGATTTTCTTCGGGCTGTGGACTTGCTCAATTGGGTAATGGTTGCTGACTATCACTTCATAGCCACATGAGACAGCTCGAGCAGGCCAAGAAGGCTTTCCCCGATACTTATCTGATTGTCGGTGTTACTGGCGACGAGGAGACACACCTGCGCAAGGGTCTGACGGTGCTCAGCGGCGCTGAGCGCGCGGAGACTATCCGTCACTGCAAGTGGGTCGACGAGGTTATCCCCTCCTGCCCGTGGGTTGTGACACCGGAGTTCCTGTCTGAGCACCAGATCGACTACGTTGCCCACGACGATCTGCCCTACGAGGCCGCTGAGGGTGATGACATCTACGGCCCTATCAAAGAGCAGGGCAAGTTCCTGGTGACCCAGCGTACAGAGGGTGTCAGTACCACTGGTATCATCACACGGTATGCTCCACCTCCTACACCATCGAACCTAACAGACAAAAGCTAACATCTCTATTTGCAGGGTCGTCCGCGACTACGACCAATACATCTCTCGTCAATTCAAGCGCGGCGCCTCCCGCCAAGAACTAAACGTATCCTGGCTCAAGAAGAACGAGCTCGAGATCAAGCGTCATGTCGTCGAGCTGCGTGACAACATCCGCAACAACTGGACCATGACCGGCCAGGAGCTCGGCCGTGAATTGCGCCAGATCTGGCAGAACAGCCGCCCTAACAGCCCCGCGCCCAGCGCCCGCAACAGCATGGACTGGGGAATGCGTGGGCCCCTCACCAGCCCGACAGGTGGCAGCAAGTCGCACCTGTCGCGTGTGGGTGCGGAGCACAACCGCGCAGATAGCCCCATGGGCTCACGCCGCAATGAGGATTTCGCTACTGGTTACAGTCTCGGATTGATCGGAGGTGTGCGTGCTTGGGTAAGTCACATCCCACAATCCCTGGATATATGCAGCGTGGCTTTATCTAGTGTAACTTGTACTAATGTGCCTCATACAGATGGCCCGCAGCCGCCAATCCCTCCAGGAACCCCCCAGCGGCATGCACAGTCCCACCGACGAGGAACTCGAGTCCGAGCACAACAACGGCTACGAGGAGGAGGTGCGTGGCCGTGCTGGTCACCTCTCTGCGCAGTAGATGACTTGGTTTACTGCCTTTGAAGCCCTATTGTCCCGACCAAGCTACAAATTGGGTGGTAAATAGGCTTGCCATTCTTGCTGTAGCCGCAATTTTCCCCCTTCCCCCAACACACCTTCCCTCCTATTCCTTTGCATATGTCTCCATCTCTTCATCTTGCATTCGGTTCGTGTCTTATACTTTAAATTGTGCCGTAACTGGCGGTTTTTCCTATGTCGGGCGCTTGGTGTCTTCTTTCTTCTTCTGTGAATCGGCTGTATGCTGGACTTCGCTGGTTCGGCTTCGATACAGTTTCTTTTTCATCATTTGTCTTTTTTGTTCTTGATCCTTGCTTTGGTTGTGGTTTGGCGGTTTCAACGCTTCTCCTTCCCCTTAATACTCTTCCAATGAACTTGTTTCCTGTTTGATGTCTTTGTATGTGGCCTTGGTTTGATGGTGATTGGTGTCGGTTGATCTGACTCCTTTCATCTGATCGTGATCATGATCTCTGATCTTGGTCTACCCTCCACGGCTATTCCTTGTCCCCCTGTTTGTTTTAGTTTGTTCATAAAAGCTGGAATTGATGGACAGCTGATCGGGTGAGGTACACGACCTCGGCCTTGGTCGTGTCCGGATATGGACTGCACATAGATTGAGATAGCTTTCGTTTCGTGTTTCAGTTTCGGATTTGGTTAATTGAAACTACAGATTACTGGATTTTGATAGATGTGTTCATATAAAATGTACTTGAACCTGGCAGCATAATCTACATGGTATCGTCTCTCAGCCATGAGACATTGCCATCTATACATCGGAGAAATTCTCCGTGCTACCCAGGCCCTGCAAACGGGTTCCTATTTACCCAAGAGGGTCTTGAATTGGGTATACACCTGGTTTGGTAGATGTGTAGATGAAGTCACGGATTTCAATCTGTCGTTGATAGATACCTAGGAGACCATCTCAAAGTCTTAAAGAACATCTACGGGGACATCTCGACCATTCCTCGGAAATAACACCGTGCTGCCTGATATCTTCATAATGGCTAGGCCTCTCTGTGCTCTGTGCTACTTGAAGACCGTTGAAGGTGTTTTGTTTTAACTTCCTCTTAGTGTATGCTATTTAGGAACTTGGATATTTCACTGAGCCTTTATGCCTACAATCACTTACACAAACGGCGCGATGATAAGGGTAAAGATTGATGCGATGTTTGTTTGCTTTTGCCTCACAGGTCTGGCCTTCTAGCCCACATATAAAAACAAAGCCAATTCCCTTCTCACAGGTATTCCAACCTACCATCTCCTCCTCCCTGTTATGCTATAACATCCTTTAACAGCTATAATCATCATTATACTTTATATAGCGTTTTACAACGCATACAACGCATACACCTTTTTGAAGCGCCTATATCTAAAAGCAAAGATCATATCTCCTCCTACCTGAGCGAAATTTGCAAGATAATGGAAGCTATGCGTGGCTTCGCACGAGCTTTGCGAAAACTACATCAAGAGGAAGGGGCTCAAACTTTGCGCAGAAGTGGCAGTCATGATCTTTGCGCACCTTCCAGAGTTTCCTAGGCCGATGCCGAGGAACTTTCACGGTCAACGTTGCCACTCACGAGGTGAATTCTCTTCCCTAGTGACTGTCCACCTCTGGTTTTCCTCAGGCACGTATGAAGATCCCTTCTGTGAGTCCTTCCCGCCAGTCTGTCTCGCGATCGTATCGCTAACGTTTCGGTAGAATACGCTGTTTACGACCAGTTCCTGGCCAGTCGAGTTCACTTTCTCCCCATCCACTCCTCGTCCCACCCTTATATGAAGGAAGACTGAACGGCATGCATAAGGTGTTGACTGGACAGTTTGGGTACACTATGACAGGTGTCATTGCACTTGGGTAATCGCCAAGCAGTCCTTTTGCAAAGAGGCAGTGGAGGTGATTAATGAGGGTGACAGAACCCTCGGTTTTTCGGACACGTTCCATACGGGACAAAGTCCATGAGATCTTGAGAAGAAGGTCAAATCTTGGCTTGGCTGGAGTAACAACAAGCACGCAGGCAAGAAGCGTGTTTCATCTCCGGCTGTACTGATACTTCGGGGAACTGAATCAGGAACACCGTGCAGAATATGGGGCGGGTGTCTGTGAAGAGTGGAAGAAGATGCATGCAATAGGTTGTAGTCAGGTCGTTGGACAGTGGAATTACATGTCCGCGGCGTGTTTCTATCATTCCAGCTTGCCTACGTTGCATAGTTCCAGTTTCATTATCACAATTATCATGCAGCATGTCCCTCTTTCTTATAGATGTTCTAACATTTAGCAATGATGTATGTGCTGATACATACATAGTTTGTAGGATTACTAATGGGTAATTGTAGTTGGATAATGTGAAAGATCAGAAAATTATCACAAGATCTCTTATGTACAGAGTGGTTCAATCGGCTATAGTCATATGAGAGTGCTGTACTACATAAACCTATTAGATTAAAACCAGGTCCAGATTTGGACTCAGGTGAGGATCATGGTGAGATATATGCTCAGCATAGCTTGGGTATTCCCGTGGAACCTCCCAGCTCAGTGCTAGTCCATGCAAGCCGTTATGCTGGCACTGTTCCAGCGATGACCATTTGTGCCCAGAAATAAAGTCCATAACCGACAAACATCCCGATCAACCCACGACTCTTCGACGCAGAAGATCTCCCGAAGGCATTCTTCGCCACAAAAAGGTCGCTTACAACAAACATAGCAGCTCCCAGGGCTCGCGAGTGCAACCAGTCGGTTGGAACGATCAACGGGGAGGTGGAAGTAGCGGCAGCAAACATTGAACCAATGATAACCGCATAAACTGAAACCAATGGCTTCATATCCGGAGTGATGTCGAGGTCCAGTGCATTGCTCTGGAGTGAGGAACGTGGCGGGGGATATATGACACCCAACCATTTTCCAGCGACCAGAGTCCCTACGAACGTGGCGGCAAAGATCGTCCAGGAGGTCTCGCGGTAATCCTGCAGGAAGGCTACAGTGTAGGCTATATGAGCCGCAGCGAAGGCGACGATGCCGAGTTGGAAAGATATGGATACTTTTCCTTGCAGTTCTGATTTGCCTTCCGACTTGTCGGTTGGGTTTTTGCTGTGCAAGCCATGGAATTCACGCTGCGAAGGAATAAGAAAAAAGTCGCCCAGCAAGGAAAAACCAAGACCGATGGTGATGAGACGACGATAGTCGGACCACTCTGTGGATGGTAGGAGTAATGGGCTGCTGAGGAAAGCCACTGAAGAGAGCATTTTGAATACGGCGGTACCCGTGTGTGATCTGGATTTCCATTCTGAGAGAACTAGCAAAGGCAGCGAGCCCAGCAGAAGGCAGGCGGAAGTTGAAATTGAGATATCCATGGAGATCTGAGGGTGAAATGAAATAGGTGGAATATATGAAGCAATTGAAGTAATATTCTGCCTCTCCTGGTTTAATAGGCAGTTTTCTTGGCGACAACCCGACCTCGGGAGAATATTTGCTTGTGATTGGCCTTGTTTGAAAAAATTACCAAATTATGTGTATATATATCTTTCATTGATACGAATCAAGTGGATTTGTGATATTCCCATAGTTGCAACTATAAATAAGAGAGGATTTGACATTTTATATGGTTATCTGCGGCGAGATTTACATATAATGTCCATATAAATGTGCATCTAATATGAGATTTATTACTACTGGGGATTATTTTCGCTCTGGTTCTTGATGCGCTATAGCTGTCTCTTATGATTATTCTTTACACTACCTAGGTATAATAGTGATCCCGACGCAATCTTGTCTACTTTGATAACCGGACTAGGAAATTGCAAGTACAACCATGACATAACTCTTCTACCTTTGCTTTCAGTAATGCACCCGCGTATACTGTATTCCCCTGTCTGTCTTTTGAGAAAGAAATATCTCGAGGTTCATTTTTATCGCACTCGTGGGCATCTAGTAACAAGGACTTGATTCACTTCCGTAGACGTTCGGCGTCTTCTGTAAGTTGGTGGTTCATCTTGAATAGTTATCACTAAGTGTGCCAGAAATAGGTTAGCTGGACTGTGGGTTTAATTAATAAATGCATCTTCCAAGGTACATCTTTATCTTTGGAAGCTTGAAGTAGTGATGAGAGAGAAACACTTGGCTTGTAGTTGTAGAAAGGTGAGGGGTTGCAAGGTGTGAGATTAGCGAAAGGGCTATATATTAGACATACTATATGAATTATGAGTTCTCTACAATAGGTAGACAATGTTAAAGTGATGTGGTATCTGACATTTTACCAGTGATTCTTATGCATCTGAGCTAGCGAGTTCAGGATAGAAACAAAAGGGTATCAAAATAAGAACAATCAAGCAGCAGTAATAGCCAATCTAATGTCCCTCCTCTTCCTCTCCTCTATATCCATCCCCTTCAGCCCAAACCCAACCCTCTCCCTCGGCCCACACAATATCCCCCTCAATCCCTCCCTTAGAAGCCCAACGTCCCTAACCAACTCCCCTTCAACAACCCCTCTAGCAAGAAGATCACACCTAGCCGTGACCGCCAAATCAAACTCCTCCAACCCCCTAACCCCAAGAATGGGCTTCACCCATCCCTCCTCAATCTCAAACGGAATCCTCTGACCCGAAACAACCGCCTCCCCAGTATTCCCAATAACACTCGTAAACCTCCCCAAATCCAAACTCAACCCCAACACCCGCAATCCCTCCAACGAGGCGACAACATCCCAAAACCGCACCCACAACGCATCACTATGCGTATGTGCATAAATCGACCCCTTATGATCCAACCCAGCCATGGGCACCCAGATCGGCATCCACTGGACTGTCAATCGTGAAATGGCATTCCGGGCAACAGGCGACAGCGACGCCGCGAATGCAATGAAGGTGTATAGATCATCGACGTCGAAGTGCGAGGCTTTGTACAGGATTGTCTCTGCTTCGAAGTAGATGGCCCGACAGACGCGGAGCAGGGCGCTGTTGCTGTTGCTTAGGGTTGAAGGGAGATGGGAGTGGGTATGTGGGTAGAGGAGTCTGTCGCTATGGCCTGGGACACGGCCGTCGTAGATGCGCCAGCGGGCCGGGGTTGTGGGGCAGCAGTGGCGGTTTTGGGTTAAGGAGGGGTTTGGTTGAATTGGATGGTTTGATTGGGTTTTATTTTGATGGGGGGTTTGGTGAAGGTTTGGGGCTGCGGTTGGACAGCGGACATGGCGGATTTTGCCTTTTAGTTGGACTAAGTGGATGGTTTGGGGGGTTTGGGTGTTTGGGGTTGGGGAGTTGGTGAGGACGTAGGACCAGATTATTTGGCGGAGTTCGGGGGGCAGACGGAGGAGGGGGGATTGTTGAGGTTCGAATTGGAATGGGTTTGGGGATGGATTCCAGTTCCAGTCTATAGGTGGGTGGAGGGTGTTCTCTGGGGAGCAGATTGCACGCGATTGGATTAAATCGCGAACAGTGTCGCGCCAGCGATGGCCAGTTGGATAGTAGTGCCAGATAGAGTAGGGGTCACGGAGGACCCAGGTGTCGAAGTGGCGCATTTGGGTATTTGGGTATTTGGAGGTTTAGATGTCTATAAGAGAGTTCAGAGTAAAGAAATATGGGGAAATTATGGGGCAAGTGGGCTTTTATGGAGAATCCACAATTAGATGGACTAGGACGTTTATAGATAGACTGGGAGAACTGAATGGAATATAAAATTCTTGGAATCCCAATTCGGGTCTTGCCGGACTGTAACCTAATGACGTCGAGGCAGTTGGAATTGACATTTTCGAATTTTATATCGAACATTTGAAGATCTTTGAAGATCAAGGGTGAATATATGGATTTATAGGGCATTTTTCCTGAAAGATCATACAACCGTAGAAAGGGTAGATACATACATATGTACTACTATACAAAAGTGCATATTACAATTTGTTAGCATACTAGTACAAAAAAACAGTGTGACAAATGTTTTAAAACCCCTTATTCTGCTGGACAAATATCCACTAATAAAAGACTAAGTATAGCGGGCGGTATAACATATTCAGAAGGCGGTATAGCTGCTTAGGAAGGCGGTAGCAGAGGGGGTGTTAAAACATTTGCGGTGTCACTGTATCTATTGAAACTCTCAGTTTTGTCATTTTAGAGAGTTACACAGCTACATACAATGGACATAAGTTTCTACACCCCTAGCTCCCCACCCAGCTCACCGCCACTATAGATTTATACTGTCTATCTAAAACGGGTGGTATGTGCCATACCATATTAGAATTCAGGGGGATTTTTGACCGGCAGTATATTATGTAATTACGGGGGTGTGGGGCCAGGGGTGTAAAAACTTATGTCCAGTCACTGTATCACAGCTGATGTTACTATGTAAGTTACCTAGTTATGCATTTCAATTTGTTACTTAGTCAGAAACGGTAAATTACCATTTGCGGTTTAAGACTATAGACACGCGTGGTCGCTTTACTCCCACCCCTCTCCTACAATTTAATCTTTCCAACCATGAAGCACCTATTCCCATCTTTCATGTGCGTCCTGCGAAATCTCGATGACGCCTCTGGGCTGCTCGCAATTTTTCAAGAATTCGAAAGCAACCGTCTGCCACTAAGAGGATCGCTTTCGGTTTCTCGACTTTCCCCAGCCTACCTAGGTAAGAGGCAAACATTTCTGCTGCAACAGCTCTTAACAAGCAAGAGCTCTTGAAAAAAAAGCAGCTCAATTACCTAGAGAGCTTACTTCCCTTGAGGCTGAATTACTTCATAGCCGCTATTAGGGACGAATCAGCTTCCCGGGAGAAGATATCCGTTTCCATTGTTTCGACGATCTAAAGCTCGTTTCTGATAAACAATACTCTCAAACAGCTTCCGCACTTCTTTCTATGCGGAATACGAAGCGGATATATTAAAAAAAACGTAGAGGCGGAGGTTCCCTAACAAGACAATGAAATGAGAGAAGCCGAGGACAGAGTAGATCTAGCGTAGTTGCTTGAACACGGTCACCCCTAGCTGCGCTAGCTATAGTAAGAAGAGGAGGACGAAAAGTCATAGGGCTATACAATCTTCGAAAGCCCTAAGTGGACGCTTGAGGATCCTAAACGCTAGGAGGCATATAAACTAAAATAGACTAACTTGTTCTATTGGGCGCACCTCGCTATTCGTTCTAGAATCAAGATTATATCCTAGTGGTACCTTAGGCACCTTGATTTACCTTCTAGAACCGGTAGGGTAGTGATGAGTCTTTCTTAGCGACGTTAACTTAACCACGTAAGTAATTCAACCATCTCCGGTCTCGGCCGGCTAAGAAGTAAGGGCCGTATCTGTTTATAGATATAGCTGAAGGTAAGATCGACGCTATCCCGGAGGAAATCACGGAAGGCATTCTCTAGAACGTTTTCTTATATATGGATCACGACGCCGTAGCGTCAGTTATAGATTCTTAAAGACCAGATAACGTATAGATCTAGGCTGTCGGCCCGGACTACGGCCTAGAAAGCCGGGAATCTAGCTCGAGTGGGTACTAAGCCTATCTGCGCGTTCGTCCTTTAGCAACTTCTTAATCACTTCTTCGTTGCCCGGCGCTGGCACTCGGACGAGTGGTTGATAGAGGATATATAGAAGGCAGCCTAGAAGCACCCGCACAATAGATGTTTTGTTTCCATGAAAAATGAAGAAACATATGATCAAATCCTGAGCCGGGAGGTTGCTGCCGCCATGAAAAGGCCCGGGGGGTAAGACCAGTATTCGCAGCTTTTAAGTTAAATGCGCCAAACCCATTATCTTGGCTTGTCCCATCATGCGAAGAGAGTCTTCATATACCCCATAATGGATTAGGTCTAGAGCTGAGATACCAGTGGGATGTCATATCAGAAATAAAGAGGGAGAACCTTTTTATCTCCTACTCCTGATATATGTGCCATGCTCATGTTCTTTTCTAGGTATACATGTGACTCTAATCCTAAGTAGGGATAGTGGAAAACCCAAAGATACCGTGAAAGCACCATATGGTGACCCAAAGGCCACGCACAATCACTTACATCGTACCTAGGTAGTATATAGACAATGTAATGCCAATGCAATGGTCGGAGCAGAGTGCTCCAGTGGCCAATCCAATTTTAATAAAGTACAGAGGTCAAAGCATATACACTCTAACCCTAGAATGATATATACAATGCAAGCCCAAAACTCAATTCCTTGGCCCTGACCCCTCAGCGCTCTCTTCGTCGGTGGCGTCCTTGTATCCCTCTACATCCCGATACTCGTCCACTCCACTCCCAGGCCCACCCTGTTGCACAGGACTTTCATGCGCAAACGCCACATAAACCGCACATGCCAAAATGATCGCAGATCCAACCCAACTAATCGGGCTAAGGGTACTCCCCCAGACAACCTTATCATAAAACACCGCAAAGAACATCTGCATATAAACCATCGATGTAGCACGCGACCCCTGAGGCTTCCCATCCGAGACAGACGCAGGCGGGACATACGACAATCCCGCCGTCAACAAAAACTGCAACAGGAACCCACAGACACCCAGCCCTGTCAGCAATGACCACTCCACCACCGTATTAGGCACCCGGAATGGCACAGAAGGCACGGTCAGCATCGCAACGAGAGAAATAACCGTCGTCACGGACGAGAAGTAAGTCACGGACACGAGGGGGTGCGCACGACGGCCGATCATACGGATAGAAGAGTAAGCACCTGAAGCGCCGAGCACGCCGACCAAAGCGACGATTGTCGCCATGACGTGGTGGTAGGAGTCTGTTTCGGAGGGGGGTTTATCGACAGTCGAAGTGGACAAGCCTAATGCCCATGCGGCTGCGGCGGTTGGGGTTGCAATTGCGGTGTGTGGGTCGCGCTTGCTGAAGGGACGGGCGATGAGCACGACACCGCCGAGGGAGATCAGACCGGCGACGAGCTGTTTCCGGGAAAAGGTCTCGCCGGGGATGAGGAGCGAGCAGGCGTAGCAGGAGATTATTGGGGAGAGGAAGGTTATTACTGTTGCTTCGGAGAGGGGGAGGTATTGGACGGAGTAGTAGAGGCTGTAGACGCCTGTGAAGCCGAAGAGGGCGCGGAGGAGGAGGAGACCGCGGACTGGGCGGGTGCCGAGTGGGGAGGGTGTTGAGGCGAAGTACATGTATAGGTAGCTTGCGATTGCTGTTATGGACATGCGGGCGAAGAGGATCTGGGGGGAGTTAGTTAGGTTTGCATAGAATCGGAGTGGGTGATATAGGAATAAAGATGGATATGAGATGATATCTTCCATTATTTCTGTCGCTTACCTGGAAAGGATGCATAGCACTATGAATTTCCAAGACCTGGGTCATGACATTCATGGACGCAGCGAAGGCCTGCGCCAGCAGGACAAGCCCCATACCCTTATTTCGCAACCACCATATCTGCCATGCATGGCGGGGCCGCGAAGCTGCAGCAAAAGCGACGGAGTCATCGTCTTCGTCATCCTCGATAGGACGGGGTTCTGATTGAGCCAATGCTGGTTGGGAGTCAGCTTCACTGGCGCTTTCGCAATTGTAGTCGTGTTCATCCTCGGCTTGAGTTTGCGTTTGCGTTGAAGATGATCTCTGCTCCGATCTCGAGTTCGATTCCGACTGCTCCACCCGGATCGGCAGGGGTGCGTCTGGATGATCCTGGTATTGGCCGGCACCTGAGGCCGAATCAAGGTTTGGAGTGACCATGCTGGGATCCGTGATCCTGAGGTCGTTATTGGAGAGGGCGGTTGGTGCGGGGATTTTGTGGGGGATGGAGATGGAGATATCTCGGCGACGACTTTTTTCTTCTCTCTTTTGGAGTCGGATTTCTCTTTTATAAAGTCTGGATGTACAGTTTTCTCCTCGAGAGGATAATAAATGCAGATAAACAATATATCCAGGCGAAAGGGAAGGATTCTTATATCTGCACTGGACTGCCGATCTGATTAAAAGAGATTTCAGCTGAAATGCGCATGACGGCGGAGTGGAGCCCCCGTTGACCACTAACCACCAACTTTCTTCTTGTTTCTTTTTGCTTTTTGCTCTATTTTTGCTTTTTCTTTCTACTTTTCACGACTTTTATGGTCTTTGAATTGACTTGACTCGAAATGGTTTGCAAATTTAGTTGCCTAGTACCTGGTTACTCCGGGCTGTGTTAAGAGGCACAAGGCACAAGGCACAAGGCACAAGCGGCACACGATCTACTACCTTACGTACAAGCTACTAGCTACATATAAACATGCACCTAACGCGGATATTTATCCGCTTCCTTTATTTCCTGCTATGCTTCGCTTCTCATGAATCTAAATTGCGGCCTTAGCCTTCCAGGGCTGGAGTAATATCGCTTACTAATCGCCGTTTTAAGTCGAGCTGAGAGATGAACCTCGTATCTACTTTATGGACTGCTAACCAATGCCTATCACAATCTCTGGCAAAAGTAGTGTGGCTGCCCTTCAGCTGGGAGGACTTGGAAGAGCCATTTCTCGCTGGAAGACGGGATCGAAGAAGACTGTCAATTTTGCTGTCTTTGAAAATGGATATCCAACGCAAGAGCTCGCTTTTCTAGCGGCAAATAAGTTGAAAGAAGCCGCCGATGAATGGAATGATCTAGAACTTGGTGTGCAGTTTGAATGGGTTTACAAGATTGAGGATGCCGCGTTCGTCCTTTCTTACGCGGAAAGTAACATTCCCGGTGTCCTTGCTGAGGCCTTTTTCCCGAATGATCTGGATCTGAATATACTGAACGTGTACCCTGACGCATTCAAATCCGGTACCATGCAGTGTCTAAAAGAATATCTTCCTACATGAGCTGGGTCATGTTCTCGGATTTCGTCACGAGTTTGCCCCCGAGGTGGAAGATGGGAACGACACCGGAACAAAGTCGGTGGTGCAATTCGGTCCACGAAACCCGACATCAGTGATGGCCTACAAATTTCCTCCCACTATACTAGCCTCGGACATTAACAGCCCTCAGGCCTTCTACCATTTTTCTGGGAAGGGTCTTAAACAAGAAAACAAATTAATACCTGTTGTAGACTATGAGGCAAATAACTAATCCAAGGTGGTCGATATGCACAAGGCTATAATGCTGCAATGGCCGAACAAGGAGCAAAAGCCTCGGTCGTTGTGACCTGGAGCTCGGTGAAAAGCAATTTGGCGGAAACTGAATTTGATGAAAGCCTGCGCTAGTTTTATCAAATCTATTTCGCTCCTTAGTATTCAATAGATCTGGTAAAGTTGCCTTCTTGCTCGTTTTGGCATGTACATTGTTGTGGACATAATCGCCTTCTTAATTTGCCTCACTGGGTGAAGCATATCAGGACAAGTTTGCCAAACTCCGAAGATCCTTTCTTTTTCACCCATGATTGGGCAGGTTTACTTCAATACCTTCTGATCCATGAAGAGGATCATACCACTGTGAAGATTTTCAAGATACAACTGCTGCTTCAGAGCTGAAGCTCTGGAAGGTGCGGTGTAAGAAGTGCTCGTGGTGTTTCGCATTACTGCCTACAGATATAGTTTTGCCACACCAAATATAAGAGTATCGAAAAGGCATTTCGCTGTGTGGGAACACGAAAAGGGTTTGTGACAGGTGCCGTATATACAAATTGTTTTGGTGATCAGCCGGGGACAGAGGTATACATTGGTTCTGAGCTTGGTGAATGGTTTTGGTTTGCTGATGGAACAGCGATGCGGCGACAGACGCTGTGATTTGAAAGATGATGTTGGTTGATAAATATGAGTAACCATCTGCTGCACAGTGGCGACCAAGGGTCCTGTTTGGAGATCAATCCCGGCCCCTTCAAATGAACTTACCAAGGCTTCAACCGGCAATTGAATGAGCTGGTCACTCAGTGGGAGAAAAAAAAGCCACATTCACACCGACATCGAAGACGACCCAGTGAAAGATAGAACCGTGACAATGGTGCTACAGTATTTAGCTCTTTCTTTGCCTTCGGATGTGAAGTAAGGCTACAGTATCATCTTCTTCCGAAGGAACATATATAGTTCACGTAATGACCGAAGCGATTTTCTTGTCACAAGTTCAAGTCCTCGGCATTGGAGATAGTCCCATGAATGAGATTATTTCTTCATCCTTTTCCACGCATTGGAATTTACCTTTTTTTTCTTGCCTTCAGATTAATTTGAAATTTAGCGTCCGAAGCGGATGACCCCAACCGATTTCGGGTACCCCACGTGACGCATGTCGATCATCCGAACCCGCAACCTTGTGCTTATTCGTCCGTGGTTCGACCCTCCGCGGTTCCTCCTCACTCTCTCAGTCACACTCCGTTTGCATGTAACCAATCGGTATCAACTGGGTACGAGCTTAAAGTTAGTCTCTGCTGATGGAGTGCATATTACTCTTTGTCAGCATGTCCTATAAAATTGTCAATTTCATAGTTTTCAGATACCCGACGAAAATGGCAGGAGAGCTGAACAGAATTTGAACAAGATCATACAACCTCTACTGCCTTATCCCGGGCCATGCTACAGAAACGCCGAGCGTGGAGCCAAGCTATCGAAAGGGCAAAAACCGCGCATTGGAAAGAATTTCTTGACGCCGCTGGTGAAGGACACGTCTGGAAGGCAGCCACATACATAAAACCTGGAGACTCGTTCGCGAGTATCCTGGCTCTCAAGGTCGGCTAGGGAATTGGCCGACAACGAAGCCAAGGCCAAAGCGTTCATGGACACGTTATTCCCCATTATGGCGGATCCCCAGCAAGAATCTTTATCCCAATCGCTGCTTGAAATCCCGTGGCAACCGATCAATGAACAGGACATCTACCGATCCCTAAACGCCGCCAATGGAACTACAGCACCTGGCGAGGACGGCCTCCCGACGCTGGTGCGGAAGCACTTATGGATATGCCTTGCGAAACCTATTACTCAGATATACCAGCGGTAGCCAGAAGTTGCATCGTTAGCTTCATGAGCGACTGATTCGCAAACATTGGGTTCGATGACTTTGAGACTGAGTTAGCCCCGCTGGAGAATCCTGGACTAGCGGAAGGGTCACCACTTTCCCCTGTGTTATTCGCGTTTTACAATTCTGATCTGGTGGACCAACCCGTCGATTTTCACGGTGGTTTATCGGCCTATATCGACAACTACTTCTGGTGGCGGGCAGGACCCACGACAGAAGATAACCTAGAGAAAATCCAGACCAAGGACATCCCTCGTATCGGGGCATGGGCCCAGGAAACTGGGTCAGGCTTCGCTGCGGAGAAAACCGAACTCGTCCACCTCACTAGGAAGAAACACGAGGAAGGCAAGGGCCAGATCATTATGGATGGCAAGGTGATTATGCCGTCGACAACCGCGAAGTTACTGGGCGTAATATTCGACCAGGAGCTACGCTGGAAAAAACACGTGCAACAGGCAGTCAAGCGAGCGACGAAAGTGAACATTGCCCTCGGCGGCCTTCGACAGCTTCGCCCGGAGCAGATTAGACAGCTCTACCAGATGTATATCGCACCGGTAGTTGATTACGCATCAACACTGTGGCACAACACTCAAAGACAAAACGCATCTACGACTGCTGGACACGGTTCAACGATGTGCGCTCATGCGCATCCTCTCCGCATTCAGAAGCGTAGCGACCTCCACACTGGAGGTAGAAACATAAGTACTGCTAACGCACTTGCATCTCCGACACCGCGCACGAAATACCATCACAAGGCTACATACCCTTCCGTGGGACCATCCCATATGGACCGCGCTGTCACGAGCCCACAAACGCAGGGACAACATCGTTTGATACTCACGGCCCCCACTGGCCGAGGCCTTGAAGACCATAAGTCTCGAAAGTTTGGACAAGTTGGAAACTATTGACCCGACACCACTACCACCATGGAGACCACTGTCATACCGCCACATACTTTTCACATTTTTCTCCTTTCTTTTCTTTTTCTTTTCTCCTTTCTTTCTAAAAAAGGAAAAGAAAAAAATACCTAGGCAATGTTTTCAGCTAGGTTATTGAGTGTTGACGTCACGCGTCTAGATCGCCGGCCTTTGTTCGTAGGTTTGCCACAAGTGTACGGTACAAAAGCCCCCTCGCAGACAAAACCTGAAGGAAAAAGTGACAATAACTGTATGTGACCCGTCGTCAAACACAAAGACCCGAACTCCCGCATCCCGCCATGAGCCAATCGTCCATAACCAACGTGCCAGAGGAAACTATCAACTCCATGGGTGCCAAAGAAGAGGGAGTCGACAATTTGGAGGGTTTTGAGTATGTAGTCGTCGGCTCAGGCGCGGGCGGGGGCCCATTGGCCGCCAATCTGGCCCGTAAAGGCCATAAGGTTCTCCTCCTGGAGGCCGGAGATGATCAGGGCTCCAATCTCAACCAGCAGGTTCCCGCCTTCCATTTCAGATCCACCGAGGACGAGAAAATGCGCTGGGATTACTTCGTCAAACATTACGCAGATGAGACTCGCGCGCGAAAGGACTCGAAAATGACCTGGCAGACACCCACGGGGACCCTGTATGTCGGATTGAATCCACCCAATGGATCAAAACCTAAAGGGATCCTCTATCCACGTGCCGGAACACTGGGTGGCTGTACTGCACATAATGCTATGATCACCGTCTATCCGCACGAAAATGATTGGGCTAACGTCGCCCAACTCACCGGCGATTCTTCGTGGGAGCCGAAGAATATGCGCCAATACTTTAAGCGCCTGGAGCGCTGCGAGTATCTTCCAACCGATGCCCCCGGTCATGGCTTTGCTGGCTGGCTCGGTACCAACCCTGCTGATCTCAAACTGGCACTAAAGGACTTCAAGATCCTCTCTATTGTCGGTGCAGCGGCTACAGCCATGGGCAATCGTATCCTAAGCGTGATCCATGAGAAGGCTTCCCAGCTGCTCGGACTCCTCCTACGAGATATTAATTCCGCTGATGCTTGCCGGGATATGACTGAGGGCATCTACCAGCTCCCCATGGCCGTGAGTCGCGCAAAGCGAAGTGGCACTCGTGACTTCGTTGTGGATACAGCCAAGGAGTATCCGCTGGAAATTAGGACATGCTGTCTTGCTACCCGTGTACTTTTTGAAGAGGGTGGTGGTATCAATGCCCCTCCGAAGGCGATTGGGGTCGAGTTCCTCGAAGGGAGCAGTTTATATAAGGCCGATCCCCGGTCCAGTTCATCCGCCACAGGCACCAAACGCTGCGTTCTCGTCTCTCGAGAGGTCATACTCGCAGCGGGAGCTTTCGGCACACCGCAGCTCCTCAAGTTGAGCGGCGTCGGCCCTAAAGACGAGTTGCAAAAGTTTGGGATTCGAGTTATAAGAGATCTACCGGGCGTTGGAACCAATCTCCAGGACCGCTACGAGGTTCCTATCGTTACTAAGACACAAGATGACTTCCCCGTCCTAGCCAATTGCACGTTTGGGAAGCCGGGAGACCCATGCCTGGAAGACTGGTACCGGCAGCGTGGGCCCTATCTATCGAATGGACTCAACATTGGGATCGTGAAGAAATCCAGTCAATGCGAGATTGACCCTGATCTCTTCATCTTCGGTGGTCCAGCATTCTTCCGGGGTTACTATCCTGGATACTCAGAACTCACCACCATAGACAAGAAACACTTCACCTGGTTGGTCCTCAAGGCTCACACGCATAACCAGAACGGAACGGTCATACTCAACTCAGCCGATCCGCGAGACGTGCCTGATATCGATTTAAATTACTTTACCACGACCCCGGACGAGGCTCAGGCATCAGACCGTGATCTTGGTGCCGTTACCGAAGGACTCGAATTTGCGCGCCGCATTATGGACGACGTCCCACCAATCTTCACGGGGTCCCTAGAAGAGGCAACTCCTGGTCGTCAGGTGGCCTCTTCTGATCAAGTTAAAGAATTCATCAAAAATGAAGCCTGGGGTCATCACGCGTCCTGCACCTGCCCGATAGGGGGGATGGAGACCCCAAGGCCGTTCTAGATTCTCGTTTCCGTGTTCGGGGTGTGAGCAACCTGCGCGTCGTGGATGCGTCGGTCTTTCCTCGCATTCCCGGTTTCTTTATCGTCGTCCCCATCTACATGATTAGTGAGAAGGCATCCGATGTGATCCTTGAAGATATTGGCGAGATAAGCCATATTTAAGGTCCAATGCCTGTTCTCTCGTTCTTCCTGGAGTTATGCAAAACTTTTATATTTGGGGCGAGATCGATAGAGAAAGCTGTGGTCACACTAGGTAGAGTTATCTTGTATGTCGCGTAACTAATCATATTCGACTTCGTCTACGACTTGTTATCCACTCCTTTATTTAATAAGAAGCAACCACTGATGGTGTTATCAACTTTATTGGTCATCATAGTGATTGTATAGGTAGCTTTTTAGACCCAGCTTTCCCCGGAAAGGACATCAAACAAAACATCAACAACAATCCACTGGGCATATTACTTGCTTTTCGTTACCAACAAAGAAATAATTTTTAAATAACTGAATGAGCGTAATATAATACTCGTATGAATTCGTTTGAACCACCACATTGCCAGCTGGGACAACAATGCTTCTACTGGTTCTCAGATAATGTCATCAGAAGTCATCGCTTTCTTTTCATGATAGCTCCGAGGGAGCCAAGCGAATCATGACACAATACCTGAAATGCAAGAAAAAGATATCACGGTAGCTTCTCAGGTGAATGAATTGCTGATGAATAACCTAGCCGAAGGGTCTAGAGCAGCCTAAGTCGGATACTTGGTCAGGAAAATGAGTTTGGCCAGTTATGGTATCATCTACATATCGAACCCAACCGCAATGAAGACGTCAGGTTCTCCGAATATCGTTGAGAAACAGGTGGACGTAAACTAAAAGATAGAGCCGAAGCATTTTCCCAGGTCTTTTGACGCTTTGCAAACACACCAGTCGCAAAAGAAAGTAGTCTATATTAACATGGGCAAACAAAATCTTCTTTGACTCTTTTAGACAAGCTATGAGCCCAAATAGTCCTAAGATTAGACTCTGCCCATTTCCAGAGGCAATACGTATCTATGCATTAGCAACTCTTTGAAATGCAGTGTAAGTTTGCCAAGCACTGCTCTAAATAACCTAGGACACAGTCATATTGTAAAGTTTAAATGAGTAGCGACAGCATGACGTTATCTTCCTTTACAAAGGATGTTTACCATAAGCCTGGCAGCAGTGTCTATTTCCAAGCTTCCATTGTGTATCTAACTCTAGAATTAAGGGAACAAACTCGTTACACTCCGAAATTGATATTCGGCATGTTCTAGATTGTAATCTCCCCATAAAACCTTTTCAACACAAACAGCCAAGTAACAATATTTTTTTAGTACTGTAGCAAAGAAAAAGAAAGGGAGGCTATAATATCAGTAGCTAGCTGGTATTCAGGAAAAATTCAGTTTAAAACCAGATTTATGAATCGAATCCATTGTAGGCATTGCCACCATCCAAATATTGAGTCTCAAGAGTCAACAACTAGTAAAGAACAAGAAGAGCAAAAACAGTTTCCTTCAGTATCAGCTGCCCTAATCTTTCGCCAGATGGATGTCATGGTTAAACCAGACTTTCTCAGTGATCTTTCTCATAGCCATCTTGGTGTCTGGCATGGTGATTGGATGAGCGGAAGGGAAAATGTAAGAGGCTGAGAATAATTGCTGTATAATGTCTCAGTAAAAAGAGGAAGGGGGAAGCAAACAGCTTGTTCGAGTTCAAGGTGGATGGTTGAGAGAGAATTCGAGATGTTGAGAGAGAAGGCATCTAGATGATGAACAACTATGGGCTTCTTAGTTGTCTCAACCTTGGAATGGTTATGGGGATTGCTCATCTGATATCCTATTATTATATAGATAAGCCCGTGGGTGAACATACTATATTGGTAGCTCTGCGCATAAACATATGTAGATTCAGATATTCCTCACTTTGAAACGAAAGCTGGTAAGATAGATAATCGGGATATAGTGATAGTACTCGAGTTGCATGCATTGCATGCACAATTAAACTGACTCGATGCAGGCTTTGGGACAACCTTGGTAGAACATAGATAGCTCGAAAACTGACTGATATAATACAAATAACAGCATAGATGAAGTGATATAAAGGAATAGTTCATACGACTAAAATAATATCTACCTTGAAAAGAATACACAAGCTCTATTCATACAAAAGTAAAGGTATCACCTCCCTTCTCTCGCAACATATTTCCAGTCCTAGACGTACCAACGATACGCTCCAACTTCAGCGCATCCCACTTCGAGAACAGCGCACGCACACCACCCTCAGCAGCCTCAATCAACTCCGCAGGATCAAGACCCAAGAACCCAACAATTTCGCTATAGAACAACGCGTTATCCGGGAGCCCGTACATGACCACACGCTTAACACCACGGACCTGGTAACGGCGGAAGTGGTGCGCACGCTCGGTATACAGTAGCACAGAGTGGCGGCCGGACACGAAATGACTGCGGGCACGGTTAGCCTCTTTCGGCTCGGTGTACTCGGAGATAGCGCCAAAGGAGACATTGGTGGTCTGCGTAGAGGTGGCAAAGTGGTTGCGTACGCGGACGAAGTCGAGGTAGGAGGGGATGAAGATGAGGGTGCCGGCGCCGCCCTTGCCGCGGCCGTGCGTGATGTTCTTAACCAGGGTGGACAGGATGGTTGTTGTGAAGTGCTTGAAGCGCGCGTCGGGGTCTTTAATGGGCGACGTGCTGTCGATGCGGGTGAAAGTTTGCTTGACAGGGACTGGGAGCGGGAGCTCGGTGATGGCGCCGGCGTAGGTGGGGGTTGCCTTGAGGCGGCCCGAGGCATTTTGCATCTGGGATGAGAAGAGGGCGTTGATCTCGGGTGTGATGCAAGATGAAACCACTACAGTTTGTCGGACGTGGCGGGCATGGTTGTCTAAGTACCAGTTGCGGACGCGGCCGAAGTCACAGCCGTGCGCTTGCTTCGGTTGCAAGTTCAGGTGCTGGAAGATGTAGTCGACGTGGTCCCAGTTTTGCATGAGGAGGGCATCGGCGTGGTCGACGACTACCAGCTCGATCGAGGAGAGGAAGTCGTGGTCGCGCTTCTTGACATCGGATTGGTCCATGATCGTACGCAGACCCAGTGGACTGGCTAGGATGATGTCGGAGCTGTAGAATTGCGCGAAATATTTGACTGTCTTGCGCGTGAACTTGAGACCCAGTCGGAACATGTCGTCGTCATTGCCGCCGAAGAGCTCCCGGAAATCTTCTGTCTTGTGCTCCCACGAATCATCATTTGGTGCTGAGAATGAGTCGGTGAAGCGTTTTTTGTTTTCTTGCTGTTCGGGCTGATAGATTCGAGTGATCGCATCGAGAACCTTAACACATGCCTGTCGGGTGGGCAGAATGTAAAGCACCTTGGGTCGGGTAAATCCTTGATCACGGCACTCGATGTCGGTGTCCGGGTCCTTGGCCAGACGGGCGTTGTTCTTGAGGACTTGGTCTCGGGTCTTCAACAGGTGATTGACGGTGTGCAAAGCAATAATATCGCGCATCTCGTTTGCATTAGAAGCAGTGCGGGCACCGTAGAGAACGTCTTGGTAGTTGAACACATATGGCGCGATGATCTGGGCTTGACCGGTGATTTTAGGCAGGATCTCGGCCGCACGAGACTTCAATTTTTGTTTAAGCTGCGCGATTGCATGTTAGTATTGGAGCCAATACAAGACCCATGTCTGTTCTGCATACCTTGATATTGATTGTGCTCTTCATTGGAGGAAGGATCGATGCGCTGCTTGCTCCTGTGTCGGGAACAGTATGTACCAGTCGTAGCCCATCCACCTCTTTCTTTATGGATGCCCATTTGTTCGATTGGATAGGCTCAATCTGCTTGGTCAAATCTGCACTCTCGCGGAGATCAAAGTGCTTCTCAAAAGCAGCGGTTGGGTCCTCGTCCTCGTCGACTTCCTCCTCTTCATCGTCGGACGGCGCTTGGGCTTCCAAATCATCATCACCCTGCTCTGGTTCCTCTGCGGTTTCTGCTATTTGAATCTCAGCATTTGAGTCGGTGGCGATCTTGCGCTTCTTCCGAGCTGGTCCGCTTGACTCATTGGGCTGAAGTAGCTGAAGGAGTTCGTTGTAAGGGCGTTCAGTATTCTCGTCTTCTTCGTCGCTGCTGGAGCCCTCGTCCATAAGGGTATCATCAACCAATTCCTCTTGGGATTGCTCGCTAGCATCATCTTCTTCACCAGAAGAGTCGTCTGATCTAGTACTAGTTAGATATAGTCATTAGACCTTCAGACCGTCAGAACTTACTCGGACTCATTCAATCGCGAAGTGGCGAAGGAGTTGCGACCACCACGACCACCACGACCGCCGCGACCACGACCACGACCACGGCCACCACGGCCACCACGGCCTCGAGCTCCCCTAAAAGAACCACCACGAGGAGCAGGCATATTGTGAATAAACTAAAGAGGTTTGGCAAATTCCAAGCTGTTCTGGCCGAAATGAGAATTTTGGGTGCTTATCTTATCTTAGCGCGAAATTTCCCACACACAACAGAATCGGAACAATCAGAGCGGCTCACTCCACTTCCCAAGGAAAAATTGAACCTCCGAGAAACGAAAGGAAGTTTGGATCTTGAAACTTGCAAGATATTCCATCCATCTCCAAATTAATCATGGCTGAAGATTCTTTCCTTCATCTCGCTCGCCCCCTCGGCCCCGTTAGCGTGGGGACCGCTCCTACCACTGCCCCTCTGAATGTGGTCATTCAACCCCAGGTATGTTGCGATATGTGTCTGCTATGATCTGAGGGGTAAACTCATTCCTCCCAAGGCAATCTTCTCAGTTCTCGACCACTCTCTTCGCCGCAACGCCGACCAGGAGCGAGTCATCGGTACCCTCCTCGGAACACGATCTGAGGATGGAAGTGAGGTCGAGGTCCGATCCGCCTTCGCTGTCGGCCACTCCGAGGCTGAGGACCAGGTCGAAGTCGATATGGAATACCACAAGCAGATGCTCGCTTTGCACCTGAAGGCCAACCCCCGCGAAGTCTTGGTTGGCTGGTACGCCACTGCTTCCGAGCTCAACACCTTCTCCGCTTTGATCCAGAACTTCTACAGCGGCCAGGGTGATGGTACCTGGCCTCACCCCGCCGTCCACCTGACTGTCTCCACTGAGGCTGGAAAGGATCTCGAGACCCGCGCCTACATTTCCGCCCCCGTTGGTGTCACCGCTGAGCGTGCTGCCGACAGCGCTGCTTTCATCCCCGTTCCCTACGAGCTCCGATACGGCGAGGCCGACAAGAGCGGTCTTGAGTCTATCGCCAACGCCAAGGATGCCGAGGACCGTTCCACTTCCGTCACTTCCGACATTGAGTCTCTGGAGCGCGCCATTGAGGAGGTCCTGTCCATGGTTGACCGCGTCTCGCGCTACGTCGAGTCCGTGATCGACGAGGAGACCCCCGCTTCTACTGCCATGGGCCAATTCCTGCTTAACGCTCTCGCTCTCGCTCCCAAGGTCGAGCCTGCTGACATTGAGCGTGACTTGTATGTTGAACTTGCATTATATTCCCTGGTGTTTCTTTTCACTAACTTTCCACAGCAACAACCACATCCAGGACGTCCTGGTCGTTTCTTACCTCGCCAACACCGTGCGCACACAGATGGAGCTTTCCACTCGGCTAGCAACCGCCCAGCTTACCCTCGGCAGCGGCGGCGGCGGTGGCGGCGGCGGCGGCGGCGAAGGCCCCGCTACCGGCGACCAGCGCAACCAGCGTGGCGGCAAGGGCAACACCCAAGGCGGCCGCCCACGCCAGGACCGCACCGAGGAAGCCCGCGCATGAGAGGTTTCCCACAGCAAAAAAACGCTGATGCATAATGTGACCAATTGCGAGAGGAACATATCCCTTCAAGTGAACGTCGATGTTTCGTCTCACGTTCTCTTCCCTTTCTATCTCACCCCTCCCTGACGTTATTACTTTTGGGTCTTCCGCTTCTTTGTTTACTATCCCTCTACCGCCTTCTTCCTTTTTTTTCCTTTTTCCGGTTTCCTTTTTTTTTACCTCGCGAGGCTTACATGTTCTCTCCGGAGCTCACGGACTGCGGCCTGGTCACGTCCCATCAACGGCTTCCAGACTCGGTCTGTCTTGACGTTCAAACACGGTCTTCAGCACATGGTGTTGTGGTATTGAGGCCGATTCAATATCAATACGATTGGTATAATGTGTGGTGGTGGTTGATGAGGGTGACGATATCGTTACCGTTCGACAATAGAGAATATTTGGGGGTGATGAGTCTAGACTGTTGAAGATGAGAGATGGGTCTGCTGAGAGCCCATCTCTCTGGTTTACGAAGTCGCATCTTTCTAGGCGCGGCGTTTTCAGTTATGATGAAATGGACATAAAAGTTCTAGAGCTTCTTCGTATTGTATATTTCCTACCATTTACTACTCCGGCCATGGCCATAGAGGTTCACGTTACAGTCCTCCTTGATCAATGATATTTGTATAGTTTCAACTCCATGGAAGTATCATGCGTTTCCTGTCGGCTGTAAGCTGAATGACTCTGGAATATAGGTTTTTATCCTGGTTAATCTACATACCATCGTCCCACATGTCAGGGCAAGATCCCATCATTCGCTGTCTAACTATTGCTTGATGCAGCATAATATGTAAAGTCCTACGCTTTCTAATCGTGTTATCCTCTATTGTCGTCTTTCCTATGTATGTTCTTTTCATTGACCCTATAGATGTGTGGCCCCGTTAATGCCTTGGATCAGGCCGTGTTCGCTAGTTATAACTACACCCAAGTCTGCTTCTTAGAGAATCACTCTTTCTCCTCTTTTTCCGTCCCTCTCATATTTCAAAGGGTTTCTATCCATATTTCTTTCTAGATTATGTATCAAAAAAGATATTTATGAAACATGGGAAGACCCTGAACTTCTATTTATACGGTCTCGACCTTCATGCTACCACTGTCATCTTCCACTACTTTAAGTATTCACCTCTGACAAGAACCCCACTGAAATTGAAGTGCATCCTCACCGCGACTGTATAACAGTTGCTCATTCTTGGTGTTCAGATACCTGAGCCTCCTAGGCCGAGATCAGACTCCTTTGTTCTTTGGGCCTTATAGGCCCAGTTTGCTCATGAAAAGGAGTCACGTTCCTTATACGTGCTTCTCATCTCTCTCTCAGCAAGGCCCTGAACAATCCGGGGCGGTCAATTGCGTGGATTATTCTTGATCGCAGCGAAATACCCTTGGAAAATGAGGAAACGTGAACGAAGGTGGCAGAGATTAAGTGGGAGCGCGCATCATCACTCACTCTAAATAATTGGCGGAAGATTATCTCCAGAGTGTAAGGATCTCGAGCGATAGATGCTTCCTGGATGGTCCATTGATTTATAACTCTGCGGAGAGGGGAATCCGCGACCTTTGAATTGTCCCCCAGGCCATGTTCGCAAAGGGTAAGCATTCTGAATGTGATCTCATACTTGATAATGATATATGATCCAACTTTTCATAGATGGACATCTACGTGGTACACAATATCAACTACAAGCATGCCGATTTGTTTAATAATCTCGCACACAACACCATGTCTTACGCCGACGCAGCTACAGAGGCTCAAGAAGTCTCCCGAGGATGTAGTTAAGTTCGGAGATGCTAGGTTATATGGTGTCCAAGCCGAAGTCCTTGGTACTTATTGATCGAACATTGATCCGTCCTGAATACCAGTAAGAAGCCTCACTTGGCAGGCCTTCATCATATTGCTGTATCTCATGTACGGACCCTCGCAAGCACCCTTTTTGATGAGGACTTTGATTTCGACCGGATCCAGTCTGACAAGCTGACTCCAACTGTGATTATATGTCTTGAGGACGGTAGGCAGCACTAGCCCCAGCCCCAGCACATTTTGGTCGCTCTGCCCACATCGTCTCCCACGCTCGCCCTTCCACTCCGTCCCTCCCTTGTTCTATCTAGCCTCTGATTCAAGCCCGACATATCAGTATATTGCTTGGATGCAAAAATTTCAGCTTTCTCTTTACGCTCCTCGTCGTCCTCTTGTGCATTTTGAACGAACAACTCTTAGCTCAGGACAACTGACTCAAGCCTTGTGAGCAAATGCAGGACCACCTGTTTCTGGCTGAACCCGCCTACCATTGATACTCGAGACTCACGCAACTCAAGCAACGGTAGTGGACGACCATGCTACATGGAAGCTGCTGCTCGGGATTTGTTACTAACATGTTGAACTTTGATGTTCTGGTTCCCCGCTTGTCTACCGAGGAACTTCTCTTTTGCTGTTTGAGGGAGCTCGCGTGCGTTGCGCGTCGTCCGAGGGGCGGGGAAAGATCAGGGGTTGAAGCAAACGAACGAGGAGACCCCGAGGACTGCGAGTCCGAGTTCGTCATGGAATATACTATAGTCATACCAGGTCTGGGTGACAGCAGCAAAGCCATAGTTGGCCTTAGTGTTGACAAGATGCCTTCAAGTAGGCAATGGTTGTCCTGTCGTCAAGTTCGGGATGACAGCATGAGCTTAGTGTTTCATTTGAAGGCGAGGTGAGATCAAAATCGATGAGACTTTTGTAAGTCCAGGCTTACACCTAGTAGTCTTCTGTTAGTCAGTTTCCATGAGACCCAGAAATGGTGCATTTATTTACCTGTCTGTCCTCTTTGGGGAATACATTGCAAGCCTGAGAATCATAACTCCAGCATAACCAGCACCGATTCTTCATGTTTGGTATCATGAAAATGCCCAGCTGCGATTCAGATATTGGTGATTTGAAGCTCTCATGCCCGAAAGACTGAAGAAGGAGGATGGCCCAGATTAGTTTGTGATCCTACGCAGCGTAGATCTGTGCGCTGCTTGGGTAGTCAAAGTAGAGGATGGGGGGTTTATGGAGGAAATATATGGAGGGAAAAAGGAAGTGAGAGGCAGATATTCCAAGTTAGCTCGACTGATGTTGATGTTTCCAACTGGCAAGTGGGGAAGGAGGCTGACAGACCCGAACCTTAAATACTTTAATTTGACCATGGATGCGAACAATGTAGAGACGGTTCAGGCCGTTGGCATGATAGTACCCCTGGACTCTAGAACAGCATGCTTCGATGAACTACATTATATAACGAACGCGGTTCTAAGTGCTGTCTTGGAATCCTGGTATTTTGCTCCTATCGCCGCAGTCAAGACTTGGGACGTTTTAGTGGTTGATCGCGACAGCATATTCATGGAAACTCGGGGATGAAACGATTTACTAGACAATTGGCTCCCTGAAATGAAACGAGGGAGACGGCCTTAAGTTTGCGAGTCGCGGTGTTAGCCTTATCTTTCTTGGAGTAGATAAAGTGAGCATTGTAAATTTAAGTATCCATGTTCATTGCATTTCCGGTTAATTCATGGTGGTTAAAAAGTAATTGTACATTGATTGATAAAAAAGAAACACACGTTGGGCATTAAGTCATGTTCGTCGTGACCCACCCACAACAACACCTGGGCAGGAGTAGGTTGGGTTATTAAGGGTACGTATTCAGCCAGTCTTGCGCTTCTTCGAAACCGACTCCTCAGTAGCATCAGATCCACGGCGGGCCATAGCACCTCTCTTCCCCTTGCCCTTGCTCTTCTTGGAGACAGTAGCAGTAGCAGCAGCTTCAGCGGCCACCGGATCCTCACCAGCAGCTGCAGCCGCCGCCGCAGCGGCAGCGCCCTTCTTTCCAGCCTCCTTAGCAACCTGATCATCATTCTGGTCAAATGCCTTGCGGGCTTCCTTCAATTCACGTTCCATGCGCAGCAGCTCCTGGACACGTCCAAGCTTGTTTGGGTCACGACGCAATGCGAAGCGGAAGTCTTCAACTTTGATCTTCTGACGGCGAGCGTGGTGCGCGATTTGCGCAGCGCCGTGGCTGAGTTCCAGCACGAAGTCGGTGACGATTTCGTCCAGCACGCGGACGGTCTCAGGAAGTGGTTCGTTTGGGAAGCTCGGGTGCGGGCTGGGGTCGCCGTAAGCGAGAAGTAGCAGGCGAACTATGGAGATGGTTAGTATCGGGCTTGGCTTGGTGGCTACCATTGATGGATGCGTATAGGCTGCGGGAACTTACGCTCATTCTGGAAGTTCATTTGGCCCTTGTGCCGGGCCATACGTGCGCGTGGTTCAGCCATGGCGGGCTTGGTTGCGGGCTCTTTCTTACCCTTTTCAGTTGAGGTAGATGTTGTGTCGGGTAGCTTGGGAGTCCACTGGGGTTCGTATCCAGCACGGATCAGCGCTGTGTCTTGCTCATTGAAATTCCAATTAGGTGAGAGCCTGGAGACAAGATTTTTGGAGCTGGGCTGGCGTGACGGATTGCGAGTCGGAGTGCGTAAGCCAGTCTTTGAAGTTGACGAGGAGCTGTTCGGGGTTTGCAAGTGACAATTTAAAGTTGATGAGACGGTGTTTGGACTTGGAGTTGATGTGTTCGGAGTATGCAACCCAGTGTTTGGATTTGGCAAGACACGTCGTGGAGTTGGCGTAGAAGGTAGCGGAGCTGCCCATGGGCTCTGGCTGGGCAGGGAAAACGATACCCGCTTGGGCGCTTGGCCTGTGCGCTTGGCGGACATTTCGGGCAGAATATGCTAGGCTGGGGTTGGTTAGCAACCTTGGCACATGCAAGCTATCTGGCATCTTACTGTCGCAATTCTGTTTCTTTGCCCAAGTGACGGGCGAAGATTTCACAGCTGCATAAAATGGTGAGTTTATGCACATGGCAGGATTGATGGGAGTTACTGCTCTGTGGTGGGGAGCATATGCGACTCGGCGTTTGCGTGGGAACCACAATGACAATATGATCACAATGTGCTAACTGTCACACTCACATAGTCTGCACTTTTCAACTTTCAGTCGTTACTGCTCGTGATCCTCCTGATAATCTGCACGAGCAGCTATGCGCACTCAATAATGCCGGGGATCATGGACCGGAACCAGAATGGGTAGGTGATGAGGATGCGGATCCGGGAATGCAGAAAGATGGGAGACTGACAGTTGTTTGATGTAGAATCTTTGGGATCTTCTGGAAGTGTGCTCGAGTCGGAGAGCGACTCAGCCCGTACGTCAGCATATGCTGTGTCGTGATGGCAGTAAGTTCCCTCCACGAGTCCAGATAGATGTATGAAGAGAGATACTGATGTTGCATGCAGGTCTCGATCTTCTTCGGTGGTTAACCTTTCTTAAATCTCAATGGGTGTTTGAAGGGGAGTTTCCATGGGGTATCAATGGGTTGTGGTAGTCCCCGACTTCGTGACAATAACCTCAAGTGACCTGAGGGTGAGGATTATGAGATTACCATTTCTGCTCCATGTGACAGTCTCCAGATGCAATAAGATATTCAGACGAATGACAGGTTCATGAGTGATGCAATGTATAGTACATGATATTCAAATTTACAAAAAAAGTTCAAACCCTCTTCTTCAACACCAATGCGTCCAAAATGCTTCCAGGTTGCTTCGCCTACAAAAGGCGACAATAAAAGACAAAAGGGTATCCTATCTTACATCTTCGGCTTCAACTTTGACTCCAACTTTTCCAAGCCATTGTCAATGAGCTCGTCGTGCTCCTTCTGATCACTGTGCACATCATACGCGGGCTCGAGAGTGAGAAGCTTATGAGTGCCATCCGAATTAAGACCTTCGTCCATCTCCTCTATCGCCACCCAGAGGCGTTCGGGGTCACGGAGATAACGCAAACTCTTCATCGTGTAATGGTCAATGGCAAAGCCTTCCTTTTCCATCTTCGTGATTGCACTAGCAGTTTCAGAGATGTCCTGCGCATTCGCGAATCCGTTGATAATGGTGTTCCAAGTCACCTGGTCGTACTCCACGTCATGCTTGGCCATCATTTCCTTGACCTTCTCGGCTGCGTCGGGCTGGCGACTGTAATTGAAGGCACTGAGGAGGATGTTCCAAGTGCGAGGCGTGGGCATAATGTGCTTGAGAGGCTTGCCAGCGGTAGTCTCTTTCGGCATGGTAGATGCATCAAGCATATCTTCAACGAGACGTATGCTTGACCGTAGTCCTCGGCTGCTCTTGCGGAAGGCGATGAGGAATTCATTATAGACGTGGTCAGTTTCGACCAGAGGAGCAATGGATGGGTGGCCCTGCTGCACAAGCTCGCGGAATCTGTCATACATGTGATGCACTTGTGATATCCGATTCCTGCAACGGAAGAATGTTGCGACCATGAGGAACAAGGATATCGGAGAAGGTGGGGTTTTGACTTCAAGTCCTTGAGTTGGCGGCGGTGTATATTGGGGAGGGAGTAAAAGGAGTTCTTTGAGAGGTGTCACGTCGTGGATTTTGGTGTACATGTCGAGCATGGAGTAGAAAACTCCGGAGGGATCGCTCTCGGGGTCAATATGCTTGGCGGTAAAAGTGAAATGGGCGTGGAAGATTTTGCTGAAAATGTATGGGTTGTTTCGTAGTTCTTCTTGCATCTCAACTTCCCGCACCAACTCGTCGACACGACCCCGGTCGCCCCGAGACACCGCATCAGTGAGGAGAGTCAAGTATGTATAAGAATCGAATTCGTGATGGTGATTCTTCATGAACTGAAGCATGTCCGACCCCAATTGAGGATCACCGGTTTTGTAAGCATTGGCGAGCACGAGATTCATCATGTCTCGGTCTGGCTGGACACCCATCTTGAGAAGCCGTGGGAGGATCCGGAAATTTCGTCCTCCGGCATTATCCTCAACAGTGTCCAGGGTCAGGAGCTTGCAACAGTGCCGTAGGACCCCTTCAGAGTCCATGGAAAATTCAGGGTCATTGATTTTGGGAATGAATTCGAGGGCTTTGAGGGCATGTTCCACGTCATTGAGCTGTGTAAATCGGTACATGTAGCAAAGTGCTGTTTGCGCTTCCATCGTGATGCCGCGCTCGTTCATTAAACGGAAACTCTCGTAGACACCTAAGAAGCCTGCTCGGCGAATATAGAACCGTATTCCTCTTTGTGGCGGGGAGATAATTGGCCAGTCCTTGGGATCCAGGGAAGTTGCAACAACCGATTCGAATGTGTGGGCATCCTTTGTCCAATCCCGAAGCTCTTCATAGTGGAATCTCTCCAAGTAGGCCAAGCAATCGACAACCATAGTTAAATCCGGTTTATCTCGAGGCTCGGTTGTGACGAGTAAAAACTCCAAGGCCATTGCCGGGTTATTTTGCAGCAGCCAAATGGCCAGGCGTTGCCAGGCCCAGGCCCTGGTAGGACGGCTCATTGCCAACCATGCCTCTCGAAACTTGCCTTGACAGTCATCTAGAAGCAAGGCTAGCAGTTTCTCGCCATCTCCTCTCAGTTTTGGCAATGCAGATTGGTGCAATACCTCACGGCTATATGTCTTAGCCTTGTGAATTGCACCATATGCCTCCTTCCACTGGCGGAGTCCCAGCTCACGCGTATAAAGCGAATTCATTCGCATTGCAAGCGCCAGGTATAACCCTCGATCGGTCAAGTGTCTACCCTTGTTCAAGATTTCGCGGTTGACTCTTTCAGCCGCCATGGCCACAAGCTTGGGATCAGCTTGTCGCACATAGGCGACCTTCTTCATTTTATCATTCGTTATAATCGGTGTCTGCGATGCCCTTCGTGGTTGGGCTGAAGGTTTTGATTGTCCATGGCCCATGCCATACCGATTTGTTGCGATCTGATCTGATTGTTCACTTGTCGGCGGATATGAACTGTCGGTCGAATCGCGGTTTTGTTGGTATGAGATGGGGTCAGGAGTGTCATATGTTACGCCAGGTTCTAAGATCTCTAGAGCATTGTATGTGGAGAGGCGCACTCTATGACCGACATTCGCCGTCCCCGACTCCCGATACCATCGGCTTGGGTTCCGGCATTGTGGTGAGAGCAACCCGTTGAGACGGGACCGAACGAGTTGATGCGGACACGATGACATTCAGGAGCTTGTATCCGCAAACATCTGAGGGGAAAGACCAAGACAAAGAAAATAAGTATGGCGTGTGGAGAGAGGAGTCAAAGTCCACTGGCGGACAGAAAGTTGAATTCCGCCATTCCGCCCGATTTTGCCGTGGCTAGTGTGTGGCGCACCACATCTACTTTTATCGCTCCATCATCTTCAACTTCCAAGCCGCGGAGGAGCTTGGGATTTTCTTCCGGTCACTTTAATCACTTTGCATCCTAGTCCTCAAGCCCAGATATTCTCTCCGTCATCAGTCCAACCATCACTCGAAATCATGTCGTCAAACCATGCCAATCTTGATGCGGCATCCACCGACCGCAAAGCCCGGCTCGCCAAGCTCGCAGCTCTGAAGCGCAAGCAACCCGAACAAGACACACACGAGGCCGGCGCAGAAGACGAGCTACCCGACGCCGATGCCACGCCAGATGTCACCACAAAATACCTGTCCGGTCGCAACTACGACCCCGAGACCCGCGGGCCAAAACTAGGCTTTGAGCAAGGTCCGCAAGAGGGCCAGAAGACGCTGGAAGCACAAGCGGCTGAGATTGCGAAGGCCACAGCGGAGCAAGCCAAGAAGGATGCAGGTGCCGATGAACCCATTGATCTGTTCAAGCTACAACCTAAGAAACCCAACTGGGACTTGAAGCGCGATCTGAACGAAAAGCTCAAGACTCTTAACGTACGGACGGACAACGCAATTGCCCGGCTCTTACGACAGCGGGTAGAGGAAGCGCAGCGTGCTGCGAAGGCACGTGGGCCTAAGTCTAACGGAGACGAGGAGGGAGAGGAAGTGGGCATGGAGGGTGAGACGCTTGTTGAGGGCATCCATATGCGCGAACGAGAGGAAGAGAAAAGCGATGAAGAAACAATTTGAACGTGATACCCTTTTGGTGCAGGAATGCGAGCGTTGTCTAGATCTTCTGCCTCCACCTGTAATTGTCTATATCCTGTCCATTTAACTTATTCTTTTTTTGTTGTCTTGGTTGAGGCGTCCGATTGATGCCATGGGCATATTGCGCACAAAATGAGGCGTTGGGAGCTTTACAACTTAAGATTCTCAATGAGCATGTCTATCTTAGTGTCGTTCAGAAATCATTATTGGATTTTTTTTTTTTGGTTCCGCTGTCGAGTGACAGATATTTTCAAACTCCGCAATGGAGATGCTAATGATACACTTGGTCATATACCGATGGAACACGAATTGCCGCCGTGTCCTCCCATCAAGATTTTGCGCCGTAAGAAGCTCCAATGTTGCAGAGCAGTTTTTCAGTTCAATTTACCGTCCGTTATTCATGGCTTGGGTCAAAGCAAGGCGCTTACTGAAAGGACTCAAGCTTCGTTCCCGAGGAGGCTGGTTCTTCTGCGTTATGGGATCAGGCCTAGACCATCCAGATCGAGACTGGCGTGATGGGCTTGCTCGATCACGGTATGAACGGTCCCGGGGAACATCCTGAGTCGTAGCACGTGATTCTTTCACTCGATCCTTATCCACACTCTTGCTTCGGCGGTCTCTTCGCTCACTATGTCTTCCTGCTCCACGGTGACGACCTCGTTCTTCGGGGCTAGATTCTCGTCTCCGTCGCCGAGTGTTTCGATCGTCGGTTCCCTCCCGGGAGGGTGAGCGGTTCTTTGGTCCCGAGTGGACTGACCCGGAAGAACCCTCTGTAGAATCACTATAGCGTCTCTTTCGGGACTTTGCAGGTGGTGCTGATGAATCATCTCGGCGACCTTTGTCTGCGCCGTGTTTGTTACGGCGGGGAGATGAGGAATAGGATCGATTCGTGGATATCGTTTCCACCGAGAGGGACCTAGCCCGCTTCGGAGACTGAGCGTTGCGATCTGTCATATCCTCAAGGTCTCTCTTCCGGCCACGCTCTTCCTCCCGGGTAGCAAGTAGATCATCCGCTACACCCTCTCTTTATACAAGTTAGCGAGTATTCTCAAAAGAAAAGTGTGGAAATGACAATGATTCATGTGAACTTACTTCCGCAGCAGCTCATTTGGATTGTCACTTGAAAGCTTGGGCATCAATTCTGGGTTCAGTAGCTGCTGAGTCCTTGAAGGTCGCGGGACGTATGGGCGCTCTTGCGCGGATGCCTTGCAATCAAAGCTATAGTGTCGTGGATCGGAGTTAGTCAAACGTCTGAAGAGCAAGTGAAAGAGGGTACATATCTCGTCCAAGGCATTTTTGGCACAGTGTGGTCGCGGTGGCTCTGTTGGAGTTGGAGCCTCCAAGCTTCGGGGCGTTTCGATATCGGTTCATTGGAGCTCGTGATGTTATATGTTCTGGTAGAATCCTGGATTTGCAGGTACTTTAAGTCCGAAATAGGGGTATTGACACGCCCAGGATGAGAAACACAGGCAAAATCCGACGTAAAGCTGATCGGCGCAAGTTAGCGGCTGTTAACCTCTGAAGCCTAAGGGAAATTGTAGGCGCGCGCCAAGGGCGGTCGGGCGCGGCATAATGCCCACGAATCTTCAGGCAATCAAGAAATCAGACTTCGGATTCCCAACGCTCCTTCTCGATCTCGGAGTTCATTGTCAACGTTCACGTCATCCATCTCGGACGGATGATCTAGAGTTGATCGGCTCTTCAAATACCCGTCGGATCTGGAATCCCCTCAAAACTCAGTACGAGATCTTCATCTCCCTGACTATGAGCCAGCTTTGATATCATGTAAGGCCTGATCTGCCTAGACTTCTTGCTTCATTGAAGTGGATATTTCTCCTCATTGAACCTATGGATCTCCTTATGTTCTACCATGCATGGTGCTAATGCGCTTTCTCCACAGCTTTCTCCATGGCGATTGCCCTACCCCAGAGATATGTCTTTCGTTTTGGGCTTGTGTGAAACGAAATTACGCAGCGACATTACTTTCAACCAAACAAGCCTCGACCTTCACATTTGCGAATCCGAAGCGTGCTGAGTGCAGCCGCTACTTGACTTGATCTCGGATTTTCTTTTTTTTTTTTTTTTGTGAAATTTAACCAGTTCCAGCGACCATCCCGCGGAGTGTTGTCATGGCATCAAAAAGTCCCCCAGGTGGAGACGGCCCTCTATCCTTTGCAAAGGTAAGCCAATGGTTTGCTCCGCTGCCTCGTGGCTCATCGCTAACTCCATGACAAGATTGCCGCTATGCCCGCGCCCCTCAACCCACATTCTTCCTCGGTATCTGATGAAAACGAAATATGCCAGCCAGCTGAACAATCACCTTTCTCAGAAGCAAATGGCTCCGGTGCAGCTTTGCCCAACCAGCATAATCTCGATAAAACGCCAGAGGCTAGTTCCATTGATCTAGCTGTTGATGATCTGGGGAGAGGTGTGCAAGATATTGCCCTCACCTTGAAGAAGCACAGTGATGGCCCAAGCTCTTTCATTGGTGGCCAAGACAATGGCTTGCTCAAGCGGGAGAATTCTTTTGAAGATGATCGCACTCACCTTTCTACCTCATCCACCAAATTGACCAACTTCGATTCCAAGAGTCTTGCCTCGGTGACGACCTTTGCTATGGATGAAAAGGACTCTGTACGTCCCGATGACAGTGCTAGTGTCCAAGCCATTGATGAAGAGGAGTCGCTTTCTGGACTTGCTTCTGGGGCTCCAAACTCAGTGGCAGGCTCCGAGGCTGGCAGTCGTGCATTCCGGGATCATTATCGAGATGGCATCCCTACACGCCCACGCGGGATTTTGCCTGTGCCTCCTCTCTTTGACGGCACCCAACCGGTGAATGGCACAATTCCTCCAGATTCGGTCGCGAATAATTTCGTGATCCCAACGAACTCCGATGGCATTGAAGATGGTCAGATCTTACATGGGTTTCCCTTGGAGCCGGATGAAAAACTCCTAGAGGCAATGAAATCACCGAAAGATCGGTTGCTGATCCTGCAACTGGAGGAAAAGATTCGGTACTTTATCAAGGACTGCAATGAGCAATCTCTGGAGTTGCCCCCCTCGAACGCGTTTGGGCGACTTCTTGCACACAAGCTGGGGGATTACTATCATTTAACACATTTTGTCGACAATAATGTGACATCGGTCAGGCTTCATCGCACACCATTCTGTCGGCTACCCACTCCTTTGTCTGCTGTGCATGCTTCTTGCAATAGCACCCCACCTCCAGCTGTTCCGGCAATGAAAATCATGCGCCGAAACGATGGAGGGCAATTTGAAGGAAGTATTGGAGGTTCGTCGAACCCTTCAAAGGCCAACTCGGAAGATGGCGATAGTGGACCAGATGGAGAACGCCATGGATCTTCATCCGGCGCTACGCCCGCTAAAGATCGAATGGCTTTGACGAGGGAGGAACGGGAGGCAAAATACCATGAAGTACGTGAGCGAATCTTCCGTGATTTCCCCGACAGTGCCAAATCGGATCCGGCCAGCGGTGACTCGAACCCCAACATGTCACGCTCCAGCTCGGTGAACGGCCGCAAGAAGAACCAGAGGCAGCGAACTCCTCATGATGACAGCTTTGAGGTTCGGTCGCAGTTCAATGCCTACTACCCAGGGATGCAATATGGAAATGGTGCTGCTCAATACAATGCTCCTGTAAATGACAGCTCATACCCAAACCAAGTACCTTACTTGGTCGGACCTGGCGTGCCGCTACCCTCTGGCGGATACATGCCAGCTGGTCAAAATGGTGCCATTTACCCTGGGCAACCGAACATGAACATGAATGGTGCCTCTCAGTATCCAGTGGCAATGTCGCCCCAGATGGCCTCCAATGGCTCGTGGCAAGGAGGAAACATGCCGCAGCAATCCCCGTATTCTGGATATGCTTCGATGAACCAGCAGGGGATGATGAACCAGCCGTCCTCGAACGCGTCCTCACCGGCAATGAACAACTATGCCGTGCCCAATGTGACGCCGTATCAACAAACCCCCAGTTGGAACTCGCCTCCTTTCCCCACAAATTTCCAGCAGTCCCCGCACCAGCGAAATGGACCGCCTGTCCACTGGCCCAACTATCCTCAGCAGCCAATGGCTTCCAATATGCCACCCAACATGGGTTCCAGCATGCCGCCTAACATGAACTCAAACATGGGCTCCAACATGGGCCCTAACATGAGCTCCAATATGCCATCCAATATGGGCGCATATCCTTATGCTCAATATCCCGGGCAACATATGAATCCCGCTCTCCAAAATTCCGCGGGGTCCCACGCAGCAATGCAAGCAGGATATGCCAGGTCACACTTCAACCCTCAGACACGCTCATTCATCCCCGGCGGTGCTCCTCCCGGGCGTCACCCGAACAAAGGCCAACACACAATGCAGCCGTATGGTAACATGCAATCCAATGTCCAAGCACAATGGAACGGGTATCCGGAAGCCGTGCCTAACCGGACCATGGACTCAACCCCGGGTATGAATCCCAACCGAGTGCCCACCGGTCCTCGAGACTCGATCGCGAAATGGGGCACGCCAGCTCATCTTCCTCCCAAACCCCCGCCATCCGAAGTCCCCTCCGACTTTGACCTGAAAAACCGACCTGTTCCGGCCTCGGTCCCAGCACCAACATACAATAGCAATGGAGTTTCCGCCGTAAGCAATGGACCACTTGTGGTCTCGGGAGGCACATCTGTCTCCAAGCCGAACTAAAGCAATATAGTTCTGGTCGCATTTCTACTACTTGTGTTTTATCTGTTTTGTGATGTGATCCTTGGACGTTTGGAAGTTGTGGAGATATGAACCGTTTCCCCGTAGTATACGGGCTAGATTCATCTGTTCACATGCCGCAGCTGTGTTCCAAGGTTTGCATCTACAGCAGTACAATGCATGGCGATCCGGGTTCTTGTGCATGTACCTCGTCGCTCTTAGCTAGTCATGAACCTGTTCAACTTATGTCTTTCTTTCTTGCCTGCTCGTAGGTCCTAGAATCTAAAATGAATACTTCAAACGGACACTTAGGCTTGTAGTGGTAGACAAAAAACAAAAACATTATCTCTAGCATAGTCGCCCAGTTGCTCTATATAAGTTCTAATGTGTATCAAAATAACTTCCTCTCGATCACCCCAGGCCCTTTTAGTCAAAACATCATGTCTCCAAAGCCTAGTTCAAAACAGCCCAGCCGAGTCAGCGCATCCAAACAAAAAAGCACACTAACTCAATGCATCGTAGCTGTTGTTATGTAGGTTCAAGGTTGAACAGTTTGTGGGATACAGATGGAGAATGAAGGAGGTAGAGCCCACTTTTAGGGGCTTTAGTGAACTTGATTAGATTTGCTTAAACCACTAAACTAACTATATATTAGGGATGACTTTTATATTTATATGACTCCTTTCCATCTAGGGTTAAGCCCTTAGAGTCTATGAGGCTTTGGGACTCAAAGGGGTCCCTTTCTAACAGAAGCAATCACGGAGGGCACAATAATAATAATCAAAAGGACCACAATACTAACACCACCGCAAATAAACCATTTCCGATGAGGTCTCCGCTTGCGCTGCACAGTACTAAGCCCAGGATCACCCCCGCTCTCATCCGCTTCTGCTTCTGCTTGGTTGTGGTTGACAGTTTCCTTATTGGTATCCTCGACCCGTCTATCGACTTCGAGCGTGCAGTCTCGGTCATTGGCCTCCAGTGTGCAATCCCGGTCGCTGGTCTCTAGCGATCCGGACACTTCACCTTGGCTGAAACCCGAATCGTTTCCTCGTACAGATGATCTTTTCTGTGGCCTCATTATTGGAAAGTGTTGGCGTGGAGAATACGATAGTATCAATGCCTTGAATGAGGAGGCTCATTCTTTATTGCAGGGCTTAGGGAATGCTAAGCAAAGATGAGACTACGAGAGAAATCTATGTATATTTTACAAATAAAGTATTTCAATGCTTACATATGTAGTTTCTACATATGTATCTACGTGATCTCAATACGTGTAGTACCCGCCAACATGACCACTGAAAAAAATACACACCAGTTCCCACCGCCTACAACCGACACCTACAAGAAGTCACAGCCGCACGAGCAAGCCCAATTGAGCGCGACAACGGCGACTGCACATTGCAGGTCGATAACCGGGATTGGATCTATGAACGCTCCAGATAGCAATCGAGTAGATGATCCAACCAAGATGAAAGATTTCGATCTTAGCAGTCACCTCGTTCTCACATACGGTATCCATTTGAGCCGTTGGTGGTAACAAGATAGACTCGCTAAAGTTTGCAGATGTTGCTGAGACGGGATCTCATCTATAAAATCCTGCGAGAACGCACATATGATAAAGTATTGGTGAGAGAGAGAATCCAGTTTATCTTGAAGGACTCTTCTCGCTCCGGGTGGCTACCGAGGTAACACTCAAGATTGTTTTCTTTCGCGAATGCCACCCCAATCCTATACTCAGAAGGGCAGGTGGGCGAGATAATTCCTTCGTTTCTGCCTAGGCGTTCGTGGACCTGCACCTCATGTTTCAGAGAGTCATAATAATCATCCACCCGAAGCTCTCCAGGAGAGTCTGAAACCTGTTTCCTGAGCCATTCTGGAACAGATACCTCAAATTGCAGCCGACTGAAATTTGCAATCCAACCATTGTACGATAAACCGTCCTCTTCCGAGAGTGGGGTCTCATCTGCAAAGGCTCGCGCCAGGTTGTATGCTCTATGTTCGAACATTTCGACTCTAAGCGATGTCTCGGACGGGAGGCTTTTACAGCCCCGCTGAGGGACTTTGGCATCCATGTCCTTGATATAATGGGGATTCGGGGTATCGCGAGCATCCTGCATGATAGTGGTATCCGGATCCACATCAAGCAGGTCATATACGCCCTTTTGAGCCCCTGTAAGCTGAATGCTTGCTGCAATATTTGGGGACAGTGTAGTATCACAACGATTTCTGCACTGAATCTAATTCAACCACTGGCGCGCCTGAATTGCTGCTGCCGATGAGTATGGCTGTATTTCCAATTGTGGGAATGACATCAAGATAGTTGACAATAGCCCTTTTGATTTCAGAACTGTCGTTTATTTTGAAGGATGGAACTCTGAGCGACCCTGCTTAAACATGGATATCTCCGACATGGCGAAGTACAAAGGAAACTTCACCCATATTCATTTCGCCTTTGCCAATATCACAAATGATATGAAAATCGATATCGAAGATGTCAAATTCTCATTCAATGCCTTCGTGAGGTTGGGAGGTTTCAAACGCATCATCCTCTCTTTTGGTGGATGGGCCTTTTCCACTGCAACCAAAAGGTTCCCTACTTTCCGTAACGGTGTCACAGACGCTCAACGGCAGAAGTTTGCCAACAATGTCATCAATTTCCTGAAGCTGCACGACCTTGATGGTCTAAACTTTGACTGGGGATATCCTGGAGCTCCGGATCTTCCTGGCATTCCACCGAGTAGCCCAGAGGATGGAGCAAACAACGTCAAGTTCTTGAAAAAGGTCAAGAAGCAGCTACCAGCCGGCAAGATACTATTGGTCGCAATGCCAGCTTCATTTTGGTACCTCCGTGGATTCCATCCCATCAGCGCTTTCGCAGATGTTGTTGACTACTACTAACAGCAGTAGGGTTTACTAGCATCATGTGATTTACATTTTAATCGGTCGAGTGCGTTATCACGTGTTTTCGCCCTTATATTTTGGGATTCAGTCAGTATACTCTGTGGAAAGCTACCATTGTAGGGGATAAGCATACCCAATATGGCGTTGATCTCTCAATTTGCATGTGTTCCTGATCAAACTATAAACTTTCAGACGAAGAAACAGCACTTGGACGTTCCATATTTCACATCCAACCTTCAATCTATAAATCCAAGTCCCCTCAGATATCAACCCCCCACCATCTCATGAAATATATGGATTCGTGGGCGGCGTATACTGCGGCCTAGACTGACGAGTCCCAAAGATTGCAGAAGGGACAATAATAACAACAAGAAGAACAACAGCCCCAAGAGCCGAACCAAGGATAACCCACTCCCGCCGACGAGCCCTATGACGCCTGACCGTCCCTGTCACAGAATGCGATTCCGGGTCTTGTTTCCCGTCTGCTGCAGACTGTCGTCCACTCGCATCTGCCCGGTTTCCATCTGCAGATCCGGCTCCGACTCCGACTCCGGCCTCGGCCTGCTTGTCTGTATGTTTGTCGTCGGCATATTGATTGAGTTCCAGGTTGCAGTCTCGGTCGCTGAACTCTAGAGTGCAGTCCCGGTCATTGACTTGCAGGGTGCAGTCCGAGTTCATGCTCTGTTCGATGGTTGGTCGAGGTGGGTATGACGCTGCGACTTCTTTGTATGTATCGGGGTATGGGGGGCTTGGAGCATTTTGCCGGAGCGGGTTTTGTGTTTCGAGTGACACTTTTTCCATTTCGAGTAGTTGTCCTAGGTATTTTTTTCCTGTCCTGGTGGCAGGTTAATGAATGAATCCTGGAGAGTATAGTTGGGGATATTGGGTGCTGCATACTTCGTATACAAATGTTGCGGTGTGGCAAGAATTGGTATGGAATACCTGACAGCACAGAATTATGCACTTTATACTATTTGACCAGAGCACAGGTCCTGCTGAGCACTATAGCTTTATAGAGAGGGAAATTGAGGTTTTGAGTACCTCCCAGGACTGAGCTAGATGAATATATGACCCCTTGGGCAAGACCGGCTTGACCTATAACAGCATGCGCTTGGATCATATGCTAGAGAGTTCAACTATTGATAATTCTGCAATGAATTTTGCTCTCCCTTGATTGCAAGTGCCGTGTGCTGGCGGCACTAGTCTATTACGTCGAGGCTGCAGCTGATATATCAGATCTCGTCAACCGCCCCGGGAAATGGGCGTTGAGAGGCTGCAAAGAACTTTGATCTTTTTCTGGAAGGGTTAGATAATGAATGGCTTCATAAAATAGCACTTTCAAGTCTAATTAGTAAAAGAATGTTTTATTTTGCTTGAGGACGCTCTAGGGTCTTAAATATATAGTTCTTCGATTTCACATTAGCATTGGCTACATAATCATCAAACCACGCAAAACCTCGTTTGTATCAATATAGATGCAATGAAGCAGTTATTATTTGCGGTGAGTCTTCTATTTGATCTACATTGCAGGTCATGGCGTTTTTGTGAAGGTTGTTGAGATTCAGACTGCGCGGCCTGGATCGTCAGGCACCACAATCGGCAAGATGCCGGGTTCTGAACGTCTATGTATTATGGATGTTCTTCGTTGACGTCCTTGATCGTGATTTATCTACCAGGTAGTGATCGATCCTCAAATGTATATGTCAGCCCGGGATAAACTATTTTACTATGGTGTCCCTCCCGCAGCATGACTCAACACATGCCTTTACCCAAGGATAACAAACAAAAGAAGAAGTGAGAATAAAGAGGTATCAAAATCTTTTATACAGAGGCTATGTCACATGCGCGAGTGCAAACGAAGACGGAGATGCCATAATAAACAGGAAGAAGACAGAACTCCTGGTAAGAAAAACAAGTAAAGAACAACGGAGTCAACCCCGGAGAGCAAGCAGGATAGTGCCAACATCAAGCACACCCATCAAAGCCCAGGAGGAAACATCTCCCAGACAGGTCCCAGAGATCACCCCAAGGCCGAGGATTCCGAAACAGAACCCCCACAAAGGAGAGCTAGCACTCCCCACATCTAATCCCTCGACTCAACCTCAGCCTCCTTCTTAGCGAGCTTATCATTCTGCTTCTTGGCAAGACTGAGCTTGGAAATCGCCCGCTCCAAGACCTCAACACCGTCCTTCCGGAACTGCGTAACCTTTTTGACATTCAACCTCGTGAGCGAGTGCACGAGATCCCGGCCCTGCTCGCGCTCGCGCGCCACCGTGCGCGCCGTCATGGCGAAACGCATGTCCTTTGGCCCATCGACCAGCTCGAGGATAGCGGTGGGAGCCTTGACCTGGGGTTTAGGCTCTCGGATGGCGTTTTTGTCGCCCTTCTTTGGGGAGAAGTACTCGTTCTTTTCACGGGGCTCTATGCGTAGGACTCGTGTATAGCCGCCTGGTCGGTCTGCGTAGCGCTCGCGGAGAGGACCGAAGAGTTTGGGGAGCATTTCATGTGGTGTCTAGGGTATGTTAGTATTGTCATTGGGTTGTTGATTATTTTTTTCTGGGGGACGATGGATTGAGAATTGCAGTGATTCATCACGGATTTGGTAAACACATGGTTTCTCGTGACTGGACTGATTTCCGTCGTGGTTGGGATCGGGGTGGGCTTGTTCTCCGAGAATTCAACATACGTAGAAAATCTCCAATGCTCGTCGCCGACTCGCTTCGGTGTTCTTCTTTCCCAGGGTAATCAACTTCTCGGCCAGGCGCTGGGCCTCTTTTGCTTTGGGCCATGTCGTGGTGATTGACTCATGCTCGAAGAGGGAGGTCACCATGTTTCGGAGCAGGGCTTGTCGATGCGCGGAGTCGCGGCTCAAATGGCGGTATCTGCTTCCACCGCCGGCCATGGTGAGGAGTATTAGGCGAGAGTAAAAGAAGTAGAAAGAGGGCGAGTTATTAAAAGTAGAGTGGGAATCGCGAGGTCAATGGCCAAACCAAGGTGTTCCAGTAATTGAACGTGAAGGAGAGAGGATGTTCGGCCCAGAAGAATTGTCCCAGCCAATCGGAACGCTTCCACCGCCTGTCCGACTTCAGTTTTCCGCGTTCACTCTGCTTGTTCGAGGACATTCAGCTTCTCGAATACATTTCAGCTGAGCTTTTTGATTGTCGGGGAAAGAGTAATCTATAATCGCGAAAGACTCGTGCGATTTGCCTCATCTCCCTCCCACCTCGGCGAATAAATAGGCAATCCGGTGACTCCAAACAACACAACAAATATGGGCTTCTTCACGGGTTTTGTACGGTTTACTCTCAAATCTATACCAGGAAACAAGGACTAACTTCAGTTTGCACTCGAACAGCTCGGCGGCTTTGCCTTCACCTCATCCGTTCTCTATATTACCGTCCAAGTCCACCGCTCAACACGGATGTCACAACGCAAAGCCATCCACGCGCAAGTCGAGCAAATAGACTGGTTGACCTCCTCTGCTGGCGCCTATGACCGGCGCTTTCTACCGGAAGACATGCCAAGGCGGCGGCGCGAAGAATTGGAAGCGCAAAATCAACCCGAGCCGACTATGAAGGAAATACTCAAGCATAGATGGAATAAGGAAGTGGAGGTCTTGACAAGGAAGGCCTATGAGACGAGATGGGAGGACGTGAGAGATGCTGCTGCAGAAGGCTGGAAGGCTGCTGCACGATTGGTGAAACGGGAATGAAGGATCATCTCTGGGACTATAGCAAAGGCTTTGGCTCAAAGGAATCCTTGGATACATTATCATGTCTGCTTGTCTGGGTTTGATTTGAGCATCGGAGTTTGGATACCCTTGATTTAGTTATGTCATAATTTACATGCATTAGTATTATTATTTCCACGAGGGATATTGTAAATACGCCCAGCGCATTCCCAGATGGGATGGAGATATCAATGCGGTGCGGCAAGACTCGCAAAGGCGAGGTTGCAGCTAAATCGACTAGAAGGATCAGGAGTTCAACTCGTATGAGTTGATGACGGCGCAGTTGTCGTGACACTCTCCGTATCACTCCAAATATCCTTGCTTTCCCGCTCAACGGTGCGCATAGCCTGAGCCACCTCCTCTAGTTTAGCAACGACATCCAAAACGCCCTGATTAACCCGATCAAAGTACCGGTCATTAGCCTCGCGGCGCTTTCGCGCAAGACGAATGTCTTTCTCAGTCTCGTCGTCCAACGTGCGGTGCGATACCGAACCGCGGCCTGCGCTAGTTTCCTTCGCTGCATCATACTGGGGTTTCGACTCTTCAACACCTCGCCGCGCCGAGCTGCCTTTTCCACTGGCTTCATCGGCACCGCTGTAGCCGGGATCCACAACTTCATCGTCTGCCTCACTGCGCGCCCAGGCTTGAGCGAGCTTCAACTGTTTCATACGTAGATCTTCCAATGCTTCAGAGTGCTTTGCGCCAAAGACATTATCGCTCGTTACAGCGCTGAGTTCCACTTCTGACAGGGCGCTCTGCATTTCCTGCCAGATGGCTTCGGATCCATCTACATCGTGTTTGGACTGGCGGCGCGATACAAAGGGTGATAACAAGCTCGACTTCTCTTGATTGTCGCCCTCGGCTCCGCGAGGTGACCGGTTCCGATGCAGGGGTGGGGGTTGGGTGCCGGAGGCAGTTGCTAACGTTGAGGCTGCAGGTGGTACGGGTAAGGATATATTAGAGGCATTGTGTGATGGTGGGCCCTGGAAAAGGGCTGGGGGAGGCAGGCGCTGAGGATTTGAATTCGTGGGTTTTCTTGACAAATCCATCTTCAGCAAATGTTCGAGAGAACAACAGACATCGAGCATTCAATGGGGTTGATGATACCCGCGGGCAGCTGATAATCTTATCGTTATCGATTTGATGACATAATCGGAGGTGGGGGCTACGGCTGTCCCGTGACTCGCTTAGGGCTAAGCGCACAAAGTCACCTGAGGTGCATCCAAAGCGTGTGGTAAGGGAAATCCGGAACTCTTCGACTTTTCGACAATCGACCCTCAGCCCCTTTGGCCGACAACACCCCTCCCAGTCGGTACGTATTCGATACCCTGCTGTTTCCCCTGCATTGTTTGTGGTTTTCAGAGATATTTTATTCGTGGCACTGCGAATCAGTCGACGATCGCATCCGTCACGCACAAAAAATCGGCCTTCCCCAAACATCGAAAACGCATCGAAAATACCCACAACCAGCAAAACCATCGTTACACTCGACACGAGGCTAACATTTTTCTTCTTTTTCGTTCAGTTGACCGTCGAACACATAATCCGCCAACATGGGTAAAGGACAACCCCGTGGTTTGAACGCCGCCCGCAAGCTCCAGACGCACCGCAAGGATCAGCGCTGGGCTGATGACCACTTCAAGAAGCGTCTTCTCGGAACCGCCTACAAGTCCTCCCCCTTCGGTGGTGCTTCCCACGCCAAGGGTATCGTTCTCGAGAAGGTCGGTGTTGAGGCCAAGCAGCCCAACTCCGCTATCCGCAAGTGTGTCAAGGTTCAGCTCATCAAGAACGGCAAGAAGGTCGCTGCTTTCGGTGGGTAACCCCGTCCCTTACTGCTATCGCTATAAATGTGTTGGAAAGGTCTATACGAGTTGGAATCACGACAACATGGAAACCGCCAACACAACTACCACAAACATATGCTAACTAGCATGTTCTTACAGTCCCCAATGACGGTTGCTTGAACTTCATCGATGAGAACGACGAGGTCCTGCTCGCCGGTTTCGGTCGCAAGGGTAAGGCCAAGGGTGATATTCCCGGTGTCCGTTTCAAGGTCGTCAAGGTCTCCGGTGTCGGTCTCGCCGCTCTGTGGAAGGAGAAGAAGGAGAAGCCCCGCTCTTAAACAACTCGACGCGTTCTGTTCGAAATCAAAAATGCAGCGACCGGGAGCCTTGGAGTGTGGGAACGGTGCCGGACGGAAAGCCCGCCTCATCAGCGCCTTGATTTCATGAGATATTTTCTTTTTGGGGAGTCCCCCGGCGGGCTTTCGTCCGGAATGTGGTGGATCCGCTTATTTGCGAATTAAACACGATTGATACAACCTCCAAAAAGATTATGGCGCCATGACTTTCTATCTCTTTCCCGGGTTTCTTACCTTGCCGTATTCTGTTACTTGGTTCCTTGATCCTTGCTAGAGTTGTCTGGTTGGGACGCAAAGTAAAGCGTAGGGTATGATGTTGGTGTGAACACGGCATTCAGGGACATGATATGATCTAAATCTGCAATCTGTTTGTGTACATAACTCGGCCTCCTATGTTGATGTGGAGATGTCTATGTTTGGGGATTTGATCTATACAAACATGTACCTATCCCATGCTCTAGGCCTTCAGGTCCATTTCCCCGTTGCCAAACGTCATCCACCCGTGGACATGTGGAGTTGTCTAGTAATTGCAATGGCCGCTATATATATGTGTACTGACTTTGTATGGCTGCCCATGAATATATATCTACATAACCTACACCCTTTGCAGAAGCCACTAGGATTTCCTTAGTACTAACTTCGAATAAACCACGATGCTAGCCCCGTTCTTACACAAATCAGCTAGTCTATATCGACAAAGAGGCACCGAAAGGTCGGCATATGAAGGTCTGTTGTCTCCTTGCTCTTCCGGGCAGTGAGAATTGAAAGCTAGAAGGGCCGAGAGAAAAATGCAGAAAGAAATATAGGTAAAAGAATGAGAATGATAGTTGTTAGTTGTATGCCCCCAGACCGATTTTATACATACATATATATCGACGTTACCCTTTGTGGCACATAAGGATTCTACATATAGCCCAATAACAGGATAGGCACATTATATAGTTATACTGCTACCAGTGCTAGAACAGATATATACGCCAGTCGAAGCTTAATTTACAAAGTGATATGTACGCGAAAGTCTAATGCAGCGGCTGTTCCTAAACATTGGCGGAAGTGATAAAATTTAGTTCTTTTTATTCATTACTTCTGCATATCGATCGTCAAAGTAATTCCTCGGGTATCGTTCGGGCAAATGTCCCTCAAATGATTTTTTTTTTTTGTTGATTTTCATTAGCTGTTTGACACAATTGCCTAAGCCAACTACTAGCTTAGAAGCTGATATCTTCTTTGCGGTAGTGGTCTGACACGATGCGGTAAAGGTATGATGGGGCATGGCCGCCGCTGGAGTAGGAAAAGCGAGGTTAGCTTTAGGAAATGAGATCAGCGAGTGGGATGGGTGCTTGAAACTTACAGGTTAGTGATGTAAAGATCGACGAGCTCTGCAGGAACGTAGTCATAGATGGGGTTTTGGACATCGACCAGGTCGACGAGATCACCTTCCTCGTATGGGAGGACCTTGTTCGGGTCACCGTATTCAATGAGCGAGTCGAAGTCGAATGGGTAGACAGGGCTGAGTTTGTAAACACCGCTCACGACGACGACGGGGGTCTGATGGACCTTGGCGGCACGGGCGATGACACGGGTGCCAGCTGCAGCGACAAGGCCGCCGTTGGCGAGGACGGAGTGTGTGCCGAGAATGACCTTGTTGACTCGTGACATGAGAGCGAAGACGGCAGAGTCTGGGATGAGAATGACGGTGATGCCGTGCTCGATCAGTGGCTTCTGGAAAGCCTCCAAGCCGATATTGTCATCGTCGCTGACAGCGCTACCACTGACGGTGGCATGCGTAGCCTCGTGGTTATTCGGGTACGACTCAGCATGGATGACGGTAAACTTTCGCTTTGCGGCGGCCTTGAGCAGGAATTTTTGGACAGTGGTCGAGGATGTGTGGGTGAGGATGATTTCGTTGGAGTGAATGTGGTCCAATGCGTAGGCGGCGATCTGATCGTCGACCTGGCCGAGCTCATCAATGATCTCGCCAATACCCTCCAGCACTTCAGCTCGGACGTCTTTGCTTGGGCCGTGGCCAGGGAGGCGTCCGTTTGGAGAGGAGGATCCCGGGGTGCTGGGAAGTGAGTTCTCGGGTTCAGGATGGGAGAGAAGGCTGAACATAGAGGTCAGAGGGGGCCGAGAGGATCTGTCGTCGGATCGGAAGGAGGGTGAGTCACGATCCAAAGGCAATGATGGATCTATGAATCTATGAGTCACTGAGTAGATATTTGGACCAGAAGTTGGGACTCACCGTCATAAGCCCGGGGTGTTTGTGGCTGACTCTCTGAACCAATGTCGCTAAGAGCGAACTCCGCGTCGCGATCATCTTCCGCTTCGTCACGAATAAGACCTAGGACCCGGCGCACGATATTGCCCACAACCATCTCGCGCGGTTGCGCAGCCATCAGTCGCCTGCCCACACTTTGCACCCGCTCAATAAGCTTTGCTGAATCTGTTGTGCGGCATGCGGAGATCACGCTCCGTAGCAAATAGGCAGTTGCTGTGGCACATGATCGCGAATGGCGGATTTGACGTCGCTTGAGCAAGCTGATTGAAATATACCATGTTAGCAAGTTTGATCGTCGGTGGGGGTAGCGGCCATGACTGGAAGTCGCGGGATACGCACGAAATTAGAGTCTCAATAGATGTATCAATCGGGTTTGTCTTGAGGCACTTGAGGAATGACCCCAGGCCCGGCGTCAGGGCCAACGAGGAAGACGGCATGAGGAAGTGGGATGTTGGGAGGAAATCTGTGCAGTGTCAGCGGGGGTTGAGCGATAGAAGTGTGCAGTGTCGAGTATTAAACATACCAAGTTTCAGAACCAAATCACACTGAGCAGGTTGTAAATAGAAAGGTGATCAAGAGATTCTTAGATTCTCACACTCAGCAGAGAGAGTGGGAGAGACAAAGAATGATTTTCTGCCGTTCGATCTTGTCCGCTTCCCCACACTCATTGATCCTCGCTCTATTGTCTCGGCTTCGGTTTTCTTATTGGTGTCCAGTTTTCGAATTTCTATTATTTGCTTTCCGTTTTTGGGTTGCTTTTTATCTGGCTTTGAAACTTGAGGTATAAATCAGATTTGGAGTTGCGGAAGTACTTCCGAGGCACGGGTGACTGGCGCATTGAGGTTAGAACAGCTTACTCCGTACACCTCCTTGCAATCCCCCTCTTTCCCTCCATCACATCCCTACACACTCATCTCATGGGCCGCTTTAAGTGGGTTTGATGATTTACTCACGATCCGTTTGTCAATAGATCGCTGCGCCCCTGTCTCCCGTGACGCCTTGAGGGAAGATGAACTCGCTGAATATCCTGTCCTCGCGAGTCATTGGCCAATCTTCCAGCTCTTCACGCCACAGATCGCAGTCTCAAGGTGATAGCAAACGTGCACCTCTACCGTCAGACTTCTCGAAACTCCGGTCTTATAGCGAGGATAACTTCCGGTCCCTCGACCCCACCGAGAAGAGCTACGACGATGGACCGCCCGTGGACGAAGATGGAGAGGAGGATGCCACATATGACTTAGACGAGAAGACACCGTTACTGCATGAAGCTCACAAGAATGGCACGCTCACTGCTCGAAGTACTTGGCGATTAATTACCCAACGGTTTTTCGATGCGATCACGGAAACCATCAAGTTCATTCTGTCTACATTTGCTGCACCGGGTGTGTATTTGGCTCAATACTTTCAGGCCGATGACGGTCACTACTCGCTTTTTGCACCTGTCTGGAAATTGCGGCGCTCCTCTGCCGTCCCAACGATCCGGTCGGCTAAAGGGGCCGCCCGGGTAGAAGGTCGGCGTCGCAGTGGCTCCACCCGGAAGCTCCGACCTCAAGGCTCTCACGAGTCCATTGTATCAACAACGTCAGAATCTGACACAGATCGACGGCATATCAAGAATCTCTCGAGCGGGAGGAACCGACCTACCAAGACAAAAGGCCACGATCCAGATCCAATCCCAGAAGGAGAAGAGCATGAGCACACGCCCCGTCGGTCTATACGAATCAAGCTTCATAATGAGGAATCTCTCAAGCGGCATAGGCAACGAAGATCCCAGAGTGCAGATTTAGGACATCCAATGCCCGAGGGTGTCTCTCGAGTCCAGGGGGCTGTTCACTTGGACAGCTTAAAGTCCCCAACCTCTCCCAACATCCATCGCATAACAAAGTACCCGCACTCTCCAACTCCACCGCGCCCACTCCTCCCTTCACGAGTACCTTCATATACTGCAGCTCCCCGCAATGCCAGACTCCCGCAGAAGACCTTGGTGCTGGATCTCGATGAGACCCTAATCCACTCGCTCGCCAAGGGTGGCCGGATGTCCAGTGGTCACATGGTCGAGGTTAAGCTCTCGATACCCACGACTACTTCATTGTCCCCGGGCGGACCGCAAACGACACTGGGCCCTCAGCATCCCATTCTGTACTATGTCCATAAACGACCACATTGCGATGAGTTCCTGCGCAAGATCAGCAAGTGGTATAAGCTCGTCATTTTCACGGCCAGCGTTCAAGAGTATGCCGACCCTGTCATCGACTGGCTCGAGCAGGAACGGAAATACTTCCAAGGCCGCTTATACCGACAGCACTGCACATTCCGTAACGGGGCATACATCAAGGACCTGAGCTCTGTGGAACCGGATCTGAGCAAGGTGATGATTCTGGACAACAGCCCGATGAGCTATATTTTCCACGAAGGTAATACTTGCATGTATTTATTTTGGTGCGCTCAAACTAATAATCATTGCCAGATAATGCGATTCCCATCGAAGGCTGGATCAACGACCCCACGGACAACGGTCTGCTCCACTTGATTCCCATGCTCGAAGCTCTACAATATGTCACGGATGTCCGGGCTTTGCTGGCACTTCGCCGCGGTGAACTCGAGTCATGACATTATCCGCATTTGTGTTCATGAGTGCGCATCTAGGTGTATAAGGGTTTTGTGTTTAAGATCGAATGTCCAACCTTTCAACCTGAAAATAGAAAAAGAAAAGAAGATATTACGGAGCAACGGGAAGAATTGGAGACCGACCGACACGATCATGCAAGCGCAGTTATTCATAATGGCATTCGGTGTCTGGTTTTGTTATTAGGAATGGAATGGAAATCCGTACATATGACGTTGACTTCTCTTGATGAATCTAGCACAACAAATAAGGGAATAATCTTAAAACTCCACAGAAAGCGCCATAACCTTCCCCCCTCTGGTACTCGTGCTGTTAACAGGAAGCTTGGTCTCCCCTCCAGTAGTGATATAAAGAACATTGCGATCCCTCTGTGTCCTCCCAAAAGCCGCCGACGTAGTGGTCATTAAATCCCTCGAGTCCTTCGAACCCGCAATAACCTCATGATACCCATTGGGAAAGACCCTGGTCACCACATTATCAACAATACCCGCCAAATACGCAACCCCATGCGGGCCAATAGCAAAGTCATCAGCCCGTGTATCGTGGCTGATAACCTCATAAGGCCCCAATGCACGACCGGTATGTGTATCAATTTGAACACGACAGAAAATCCGCTTCGGGGTGTTGCTGTAGTACATATAATCGTCTACTATCTTCAATCCATTGACCCCAAGCAACAAATCCATGTCATGATTTGCGGCCATTGTCTCGTCTTGATGGATAACGCTGTAGCTACCAGTGCGGATATCGAGATACCATATAAGGCCGAGTTGGGAGTCAGTTATGGCAACTGCATTTCCTTCATCTAGAGCGGCAATGCCGTTCAAATAGCCAGCGGGAAGTTTCGCGATAAGGATTGCCTTGGGCGCAGTTTCATGGCTTTTGAGATCGATCGTATAGACTGAGTTGGATGCAATGACTGCATAGATATCTGGTGAAATCTCCGTAATCCCATCTGCGTCTTCGGCGCCGTCGAAGTGATGGACTAGATGGGCTGAGCTGGGACCTGATGAGATTGAAGGGTCAATTTCCCAGAGCTCTGCTGTGCTCAGTACTGCGACGAGGAGGTTGCCGTTGGGTCGGACTGCGATGTTCTCGACCCAGGTCCCGTTGGAGAATCTGTAGATTTCACGGAGATCGGGGGAGTAGGCGAGGCATAGCGTGTGGATGAATGCAAGGAGTAATAATAGGGAGCCTAGAAGGTTAGCCATCTGTGGACGGTGTGGCACAACGATCTGTAATACTAAAGCGTGTGGGAACCATTGCTATATAAGAGATGGTAGACACGTTGGGTCCTTTTTTTTTTGTAACACTGCGAAGCGAATTCAGTTGGTTTCCTCGGAAACCGAGTGGTTATGGAATGTATGCACACAAGGTGATTGGTAATACGCTCTTGGCTCCAGGGCTGCATTGTGCCCAGGTGGTCACGTACAAGGTGCTTGGTAATACACACTTGCCTGAAATGGAACTCCGATTTTACCACCAGCACTCCATTCAGCCACTGCAGCCTCACTGCAGCCTGCATCAAAATAGCAGATCTACACATCGAGTGGTCCTGGGCATAACCTTGGCGTCGACATCGCAAAGAAAAAGCGTAATACTTTCCCAAGATATCAAGTGGTGGGGGTGATTTCCGGATAAAAAAGTTTATTGGGGGTTGAAAAATGTCTTTGATTTTATTCCTGGATTAATGAGGCAGTGTTGAACATTATAGCGAGTTATGGGGAACTTTGTATATTAGGGATTCTTTATGCTCAATGTGTTCTGCCGTTATCTTGCTGGATCTACACCAAGAGTGCTCCTGGCGCAGGAGGGGTCGTGGGGGTGCCAAGTTAAAGAGCGTGGCATGCTGGTTTTGTTTTCTTGGCTTCTGTTGATGCTTCTGTCTCGGGTTGACAAGACCTTTTCCTTCTCTCTAGGATTGGTCTGTCTTAATGGAGTAATGATTTCGAGCATGTGATGCATCAATTGTCACTCAGATAGGGATATCGCATGTTCTCCTTGCTGACCACATTCGGATTTAAGGTCTGTCAATTTAGCTTTGTCCGGGTGCTTACCAAGTGGGTCACAACGTGCAAATTTGATTGGTGAGCCAGCCTGGGCCGCCAATGGCCAAAAGTTAAAAGTCAAGATGGGACCCACTTCGATGGTAAAAGTAACCTCTTGGTCATGACGTACAATAAGCGGCCTGCATGATGCTAAAAGGTGATAGTAGATACCTAGCACAGATATTTAGAACCAGACTTCTTGGCGCTTAAGGCGCCAGTTTTTGGGGCTTTAACATTGCCGACGGAAGAGCCGGGAACGAGTAATTTATCCTTGATCTCTTATCATTCTGGGCGCAAAAGGTTTCATGTGCACCCAAATGATAGTTCCAACGGCCAATGGGCGAAGTGATCATCCAAGGTGCGTCCTTGGTATACAAGCCAAGGACCACACAGGATTCCGGCTCTCGTCTCCTGCCGGGGTTTACGCGGCGCCGTTTCTGTAAGGTTACATCTTACTATCTATCCACTGCTAGAGATCCCCATGATATATTTCGTTATGTCTTGGATAAGCTGCTAGAAAATTGTGCAAAATCCGGCAAAATATGTTGAGAGCTGCGCCGCAGGTCTTCTCCATTTCCTCAGTTGATCTTTTGTTATTGTGCATAATCTATACTTAAGTATACAACGACAATGTCAATTCGAAGGCGGTCCGCGTACCAACGTCGTGCCGGAGACCAAAAGTTGCGATTTACTGAGAATGGCACATTCCAAATATCAGTTTTTGGTGACTTGCATTTTGCTGAAGGTACGATGACAGACTCTAACCATTGTTTTGGGATACTAACCATATTTGAAGATGAGGAAGCGGACAATAAGACAATAGGGGTGATGAACAGAGTTCTTTCTTCAGAGAACGTACAACTCGTGGTACTCAATGGAGATTTAATCTCTGGCGAGGTAACACAAAGCTCCAACTCTAGTCTTTACGTTGATCGGATTGTTGCACCACTAGTCGACCGTGGTTTACCATGGGCATCGACTTATGGGAATCATGATAGCGAGATTAATCTGGATCCCGAAGAGATGTTTCATCAAGAGACAAAATATCAAAACAGCTTAACCCAGAGAAGTGTTCTGGGCTCCACTGCCGGCATCACAAACTATTACCTGCCAATATTTCCGCATGAGACTTCGAACGATAGCATCCCTCTATTTATCCTGTGGTTTTTTGACAGCCAAGGTGGTCATTATGCCTTGAAAGAGAATGACGATGGCAAATCAACCCCGAGACAGAATTGGGTAGATGACACAGTAAGTACCACGGCGTTAATGAAGCTCTAGGACTTTTATATCTTCTCATGCTTGATCCGGGATTTGGGTTTTAGCATTCACATACTAACTTGTTACAGGTTGTTGAATGGTTTATGAAAGCCAATGCAAACTTAACATCTACCTACGGGCAAACAATCCCATCTCTAGCCTTCGTCCATATCCCAGTTAATGCAATGCGCGCATTCCAGCAATCTGGCGTTAGCCCAACCAGCGAACCAGGAATCAACGGAGAACGAGTGCAGCAACAAGGCTATGACGCCAAGGCCGGCTACCATTCTCAAGACTTCCCATTTATAAGCGCTCTGCTGAACACCACGGGGCTGGCGGCGACTTTCAGTGGACATGATCATGATAACGATTGGTATGGACCACACTACGCTATGTATTCTGTTCTTGGTTTCAAGGCAAAACGTAAGAAGATCCCATTTGGCTAATCATTTTTTTTTGATAGGTGCTTCAAGTGGGATAGTAAACTTTCTGGCCTCAATGTCACGGGAAATGGTATGAACATGTGCTACGGCCGGCATACGGGATATGGAGGGTATGGCGAATGGGCGCGTGGTGGAAGGCAGATTTTGTTGGATCAGCAGTCACTTGGGGATGATATCCGGACTTGGATTCGGATGGAAGATGGGTCAATTTCAGGTGATGTTCATCTCAATGCGACGTACGGCCATGACCGATATGGGCTGTCGCAGAGGAGTTTCAGTGGGCAAAATGGTGGTCTTTCTCCTCCATACTTGGGTGTTATTTATTTGTGGATGTTTGTCTTTTCTGGGCTTATATCTGGGTTTCGTTTATGGTAAATGATTCGGTTAATTCTGTCCATGGAAGTGTGCAAGGACTATGAGTCTGTTGAGGTAAGGGACTGGTCATAGTCCGCTCTTATTGCCAGCGTATAGAATTTGTTGGAGTGATACAGTTTACCTTGCCTTGAAGATGACTGGCAAGGCCCGAAAACATCGACTAGGAGCATAATGCGAGAAAAATAGAAATTGTAGCAAAACCGTGAAATTGAGAGGTAGGTATTATTGGCGTCGATGTGGGGGCAAATGGTCATTGGACGTTGTGTCTTGTATGTACCTGGTGCCGTAGCTGTTGAGAGAGAATCATTGTTATTCGAAAGTGGGTGGTTATCTGTCGTGGGTGTTGCATTATTACAGCTCAAAGACTGTTTGCGCGGGCGAAGACATTAGCTATTCGGTAGTTATGTTTCCCAAGCGTTCAACCCTTACATAAACATATGTAAGTTGTGGTCGCTTATCCCTCCTACCGAAACTAACTGTTTTTCCTCTGTCAATGACTCGCATGCCATCAGAATCCCGTCATGATTCTTTGGTGAACCTTAAGAGATAAAAGTAGGTTATACAGAAAATATGGTCTGGACATCGAAACCCAACATGCGAAACCCCTGATATCTCTGGAGTTGAAACACAGCCCTTTTGATCGTCAAAAGAAGAGAACTGGCTTTCCCGCCTCTGACGTAAGAGACCCCTGGACGGCCCCACTATTTCTGCCCCAGGCCCACGGTTGTGATTTACCGAATGCGGTCATTCTGAAAACGGAGATTTCAGGGCAAGGGATTGTGAATTAATTGATTTGGGAATATTTTGGAAAAAGGACAAGATTATCTCAGCTTAGGATACTAATGATTTATCTGGCGTAACAGCTAGGGACTGCCATACATAAACTGATGTGAAACATTACATCGTAATATGTGCATGAATCATTGAATCCCAAAGCCAAAAGTCTAAGTTCCTTGGTTGGATCCATCGAATAGCTTGTCTCGCCATCTTTACACGCGTTGTATGGCTTGGCATATGCGTGGTGACCAAGATAGTGGGGAATCTAAATGAGCCCTAACCCATCCGAAAACGAAAGACCCTACATTATTCGACACCATCTGTCGCTGATCTATCGCTGATCTGTCGCTTTCACCACATAACAATATGATAATTTGACCAGCCAATACTTATGCTGCCCAACCGTGAACTGTTTAACTGTACGCACACAAACGACATCGGCCTATATTCGGCTCAGCCAGCGGCGAACCAGATGATAGATCTACTGGTTGATCGTCGGTCAAGTCTTTGCGAAATTAACCAGCAAAAGCTTGCAATTTCTCTCAACCCCATAGAAAAGTGGATAAGGCCCTGAAAACTATTTTTAAAATGGAACTTTTGGGGTTGGGGTCTTCTGCCCATACATCATTGCGCCGCATCCCCAACCCCCAAACTCCCTTTGACAAGCAAGGTCTTGCCCAGTTTTCACCTCGAAATCGCGACCGTTTCTCCTTTTAGATCGATACCATCTATGATTGATCTAAGCCGAAATGCACTTGTCTGGAACATGGTCTATCCTTAATGGCCTCATCGCAACACTACTCTTTTCAACGTTAACGCCTGCGATCGAATTGGACCTCAGCGATCAACGTACGTCATGACTACGCGAATTTATTTTTCCCGATAAAAGGTGGCATGGGACTGACTTCGCGATCGCTTGACAGAATCAATCAAAGATGCCGCGAGTACGAGTACTTACTCCATGATGGGATGGTATGCCGGCAACGAAACTGGACAGATCCCCGGCTCTTTCCCCGAAAAATGGTGGGAAGGGTCTGCTCTTTTCCTCGCGCTGCTTCAATACTGGCACTTCACGGGTGATACGACCTATAACTCTTTGATGAGCCAAGGAATGGAGTGGCAATCGGGTGATAAGGGTGACTATATGCCCAGCAACTACAGTAGCTACCTGGTGAGAACCATACACCGATTCCAAACTATCATAAAGGACAGTTCTCTGACTATTCTCGAATCTCTAGGGAAATGACGACCAAATGTTCTGGGGTCTCGCAGCCATGATGGCCGCTGAGCTGAAATTCCCTGATGTCCCGAACGAATTCTCGTGGCTTTCACTCGCACAGGGTGTATTCAACACCCAGACCGCTCGATGGGATACAACAACATGTGGAGGTGGTCTGCGCTGGCAGCTATTCCCTTACCAAGCCGGATACACCATGAAGAACGCCGTATCAAATGGCGGTCTGTTCCAGCTCGCTGCGCGCCTCGCCCGCTACACGAATGAAGACAAGTACTCAAAATGGGCCGAGAAGATCTGGGACTGGTCTACTTCCTCACCCCTAGTGAACAACAAGACTTGGAATGTTGCCGACTCAACGCAAATGGCAAATGACTGCGCCGACGCCGGTAACTTCCAGTGGAGCTACAACTACGGCACATACCTGATGGGTGCTGCCTACATGTATAACTATGTGAGTGGAACCTCGATATTCGCCATTTACCTATCACACGCGCCCAAATCTTCTATTTGTGGATACTAACAATTCACCCGTACAGACAAATGGAGACGAAAAATGGAAGACGCCTGTAGACGGCCTCCTGGGAAAAACCCTAAAAACCTTCTTCCCGAACGGCGACGTCTTCGAAGACACGACGTGCGAGCCTATCCAAAAGTGCAATTTCAACGAAATCCTCTTCAAGGGCCTCACCTCATCATGGCTCGCATTCACGGCACTCTTGGTCCCCGATACTGCGGCGCAGATCAAGCCCAAACTCGCGAGTTCCGCACAAGCTGCCGCAAAGTCCTGCACGGGAAACAACAACAACTCGTGCGGTATCACGTGGTATCAAAATAAGTGGGACGGGACAACTGGTATGGAGCAAGAGATCAGCGCAACGAATGTCTTCCTTGCAAACATGATCAACTTTGATACCGGCACCTTTGGACCTGTCACCTCCAAGACTGGTGGAAACAGCACCAGTGATCCCAATGCAGGTGAAGGGAAAAATGATCAGCCCAAGGAGAAGCCTATTACGACTGGGGATAAGGCCGGTGCCGGTATTTTAACCTTGATCTTTGTCTTTGGTTGGGCTGGGGCTATGGCTTGGATGATGCTGGGTGCTTAATCTGGCTGTATATTTTATGTTCCTGTTATTGGCATTGGTCTTAGAGGAATTGGAGTTCTGAGGGGAACTCAATAATGTTTGTATATACTATCTCAAAATCATTTTTACTCGAATCCCCGAGATCCTCCTTTGCGATCATAATTTATTGGATGTGAGCCGTATCTTTGCTGGGCTACCGTATTGATCTGTGATAGTATTGCTACTCTCGAGCATGGAAAGAAAACCTCTTATCGCACCGAAAGCCAAAAATTGATCTCGAATGAGCGACGCCATGTCACTATACTGATCTTCCCAACATCCCTGTATCACGGCACTGCCAGTAAGACCTTCAACTGAAGGGTATTCTTGAGATGCAAAGAGAATATCCACCCGTTCTTCGTACTCATTATTCTCTGCCACGGATCTGAATGGTCCAGTGGACTTGTAGGGCCAGTGGAAGATCCCACCAGTTTGAACGGACTATTGCAGACGGAAATGGAACTCTGCGAGAAGAGTCAACGCGAGATCGCCCTCGAAGAGAACCTAAAAGGAATCCTGGACGAAGATATCATCACTGACGACAACACGGTGCTCGTTCACGATCTACGGCGAGCCCTTTCTAAGCTTTCACAGGACCATTGGATGTTAGAACGGCGCTGGTGGGAAATTAAGAGTTCATTTCAGACTGGCCCGCTGACTAGAGGGATCGATTTTTGGCGCTCACAGCCGAAATGGTATATACACCATGTGCTTTATGAAGATTGCACCAAAAGGGGTGATGCTGTGAAAGAAACTGCGGCTGCTGTTCTAATTGTCAGAACACATCGAAACGAAAATATGCAGCTGGTCATTGCACCGTGGAGTGCTCCTGTTGCGAGAAAGCTCGGGGGTTTAAATTCAGCCCTGAACAAAAATTGCGAATTAATAACGCATTCAAACTTGAGGTCTGTGGTCTAAGTAGTCAGTGGTACTCTGTTCGAATAGTACGCGCTGCTCTCCTCGGGCTCTCCGGTAGCTGCAATCCATTGGATTTGATAGTTGATCCACCGCCCCAATATCTCTCTTCCTCTGAGGCGCCGGAGAAAAGAAACCCAGAAAGATAGTTTGCTTTGTTAATCAAATTTGCTGTTACTATATCTCCAGCCTTTTTCATATTATAGCTATTGAGGCCACTGGGACTTTTAGTGACCTGCGCAATGGGACCCTTGATGACGACCACTACCCGTATATAACCTCCAAAAAAAAAATACTCGAGTATCGCAAGGGCTTTATGGTATCGAGAGCCCACTTAGCACCTATGAAATGCATTTTGGCTATCAAGGAGTGTACATACTCCCCCGATCTAAGGTCGCCAAAGTAAGCCATTACGAGCCGGAGAAACGTAGAGCAAGCTGAAAAAGGTACATGAGGAAATTCAACTCCCTTTTCCTTTTCAGTTTTGGATAAACAGATCGAGATGTATATGTGAGTTCATGTTCATTAAATAATCGTTATATTTAAATGGAAATGCAAAGAATGAAGTAATCTATATAATCCCACACAACTCGAAGCCACCCCCTTCAACCATACTCCATCTGTTTTAGCGTCCACTCGTGAGTAAATGTGAGCCTCGAAACCAACAACCAGGGTATCTATGCTTTGTTGACAGCATTCTTGCTCATGGCCCGAACCTTGTGACCATACTTGTACAACACAAAAGGAACGGGTGCCATGATGGTTGCAAGGATGCCGACAATAGTCACCGACCAATGGGGACCGATCTTCTCGTACATCTTGACCGAGGCAGGGCTGAGGGCACCAGCGACAACATACCGCGCGAAGGTCATGAATCCTAGAGCCGAGGCTGCATATTGCAGGTACACAAAGATGATATACATATAGGTCGTAGTGAAAATGCAAACAAGCGCGTAGCCGAAGACACCGGAGGCCACAATCGGCGACCAGATACTAATAGTGGACTAGGGAGTGATGTTAGTGAAATTGGTGTGAAATTGGTGTGAAATTGGTGTGAAATTGGTGCGAAAGTGGTGTAAGAAGGAGTGTGAGGGGTATTAGCAGCACTTACGTAGCAGGTCCAAGCCATCCAAAAGAGGGAAATTGGCATCAAGATAGATGCGCCCGCCATCGCCCAGTAGAGCGATACCTCTGGTTGGAAAGCCTTGCCCTCCACCTCAGCCTGTCTCGCTACCTTCTTTGTCATGCCATATATAAGAGGGACCATAGATAGAGCGATGATAACACCGGGGATCATCGCGAGGAAGATAATGAAGGTCAAGCTTGTGCTAATCCCGTACACATTGGCGAAGATGAAGGGATAGCCGTTAAGGAAGGTAAACAGCACAAAGTAGAGCAAGACCAGGTAGAAGCTGAAAATTAGGATAATAGGCTCCGTCCAGATCATGACAAAGGGCCGATACACATTGTTAAGCAGTCGGAGACCCAGAGAGTCAGTGGAGGCATGGGCGGCGCGGTATCGGTTGTCACCAGTCAGCTCGCGCAGGTGTTTCGCACGCCATTCTAGCAGAATAGGGCTGAAAGTCTCGGGCTGTGCGAGCAGAACAACCACCAAAGCGACACCGGCAATGATCATCGAGATCCAGTCGGCCCACACGTAGCCAATTTCGGGCGTGTAGGCACCGATCACGGGTCCTAAGATAGGCCCAGAGTAGGCGGCGATAGTGAGTAAGGGCAGACCAAAGGGAATTTGCAATGGCCGCCAGATATCACCGACAGTCCCACCGGCCACTGTCATCGGGGTGGCTGCGAAGAGAGCACCGAGGAATCGGAAGGCGAGAGCAGCGCCATAGTTTGGTGCTAGGGCCTTAGCCATGATGAATAGTATCACGAGCATCAGGGCAGTGAAGTAGACGGTGTTACGGCCAAAAGTCTCAGAGAATGGACCAGAGAACAGAGAGCCCACACCAATTCCAATAAGGAAGATACCTATCAGGGATTATTAGTATGGGCTACATTCAAACAAAAGGGAAAAGAATAGACTTACCGGTCGTCATCGATCCAGCCATAGCGTTTGCACCAAAGTGGGCATCGAATGCGTCTTGAGTCGCACCCTCCACCGAGGAAGGGATTGTCATTGCGATGGCAATTAGACAGCAGGTCAACATGACCATCCACTTTCGGAGCAGAGACCAATTCTGCGGGTTGCTTGGGTCGTTTTCCCTCCAACCAACCACGAAGACTACCTCGCCATTGTCATGGTGAGAAACAGTCACACCGGGTACAAGGGGACCATCTGCGGAAACGGCTGGCTTCTCTGCTGCCTCCAGGTCTGACCCCAATGAGGGTGACGAGGTACTGGTACGCACAGATTTGGTTTGAATGTTGGCCAAGTCGTCTTCTGCTTGTCGGCGGAGACGGCGGTTCTGGAAGTAGGACTCCATGTTGACGTTCAAAATTTCAATCAAACTCTGTTGAACTGATCTCTTGACTGACACAGGGGAATAAACCGATGGAGCTGGAGAAACACATGCTCCCTACCTCCAGGAGGAACGGGATAATTATACTAGAATCCCCCATGACAAAATCGTAGAATGTGACTCTGGTTAATGTTGTATTGATCTCGATATCGGTCAGCGTGATCGGATACATTTTTTTTGCATCGGGCCAACCCGACCTTCGGACACATAAAATACTTGGGGGCCAGAACCCGGCGAGATAACGCGCCGATGGCAGGGGTTCACAATAGTCCACTCATATTGGTCGACACGGGACGGGATCCACAGAACTAATGCGCATCAGTGGAGGTTTAGCCGGGGGCCATACATGTGCACAGAGACTTGAGGTGACAATTGACTCGAAGGATTCAAAAGCCCAGGGGCACGAAGTGGCATAGACCGTGGACTGGTATAGACTAGCATAGACCCATATATTTGAACGACCAACTTTTATTAATCACATGTTTCTATTCTACGCAGACCCTAGCCTCTGCCCAAATCCTTTTGATATTCGCCATCTTTATTCGCCAACTTTATAGTGTAGACCACGGGAATTATCAGGGTGAATTGACTTTCGATTGAATTATTTGCTATTAATCTCGCTAAGGCTTCCTGGGTCAGGTCCACTTAAGCAGAGTTAGCATCTTGGCCCTAATGCAGGCCCTGATAAGAAGGGTGACCATTTAGATGCAATGCAATACAGTAACCTGAATAAGCAAGAGTGCCGAGGTCGATAGATTGTTTTAGGTACCCGATCCTTCCAAGTAACCCAACACCCTACGGGTGATGCTAATCGATGAAAACATTTTCAAGGAATATTCCAAAATTCAAATGGTAATTTAATAATTATAAGACTAAAGATTGAGACCATACGCCTCCCTTAATATATCCATTCAGCGAACTGGACATTGATAACATTGAAGCGGCCAAGTATTCTTGCAGGCATCTGCTTCATTATGCGCAGGATCTATACTCTTTGGGGGGGGGAAGACCCAGTCAAATTCAGCTGCCAATCCCCAGCTAATTTTGTACCCGTTTGCTCCAGCACCGTAACAAGCGATCAGGGGAAGACCAGGATGGCCCACCAATTGCTTCATGACAAAATGGAGTCCTCCACGTCTCATTGGGCGCCGAGCAACGTAGACTTGCTTTATATCAAACCCATTCGTCGAAGCTAGTTCATCTGCCTGCCCGTCGATCATCTCGGGACATAGGTCTCTCACCCTCTTCAGGATGGCTTCAGTTGAAGCATCGTCAATGTCCTCAGACCTGACGAATGTTAGCGTCACTCCAATCTCGGAAAATACCTCGAACCATACCAGTTATTAGGCTCCTTCGTCCCGCCAATGACGGTCCCACCACCTAGAGGTCGGGGTATAATGACCGTAGAGGAACCATCACCCCAGTGATGACTGATAGTTTTATCACAGTGATTCGAGACGATAATGAACTGACCCCGGGAGGGGAAAGAGTTGGGATCATTAAATCCCCTCCCACTTGCATCGACCACAGCCGTAACGTGATCGCTCTCATCTCGGGATTTATTTTCCCGATAGACAGATACAACCTGTTCGAGGTCCGTCAAAGTAGCTCGAATGAACCGAGTTCCTTGCGCCTCTGCCCGTGTCTGTAACCACTTCAGATAAACAGGCGAGTTCAGCACCCAGCTACGGTAGGTGACGCCTAGCTGGATAGATGGATGTTGAGGGGGTAATTGCGTAGGGTCGAGAATACGAAATTCCGGCCATGTGGTGTAGCCATTTTCTTCTGCTAGGAACGAGGTCGCGTCGGCGGTATCGAAATATTCGACTGCTGTAATGAAATCCACGCCCGCCTCCGGGTGGTTTTTCGCGATCTCCTCGAATTCTTGATAGGTTTGTCGCATGTAAGCCTGTTCTCTTCGTTCCTCGTCTGTTTTTGCGGGGGTGGGGCGGAAATGTGCCCCTGCCCATGGGGAGGCGTAGTCAATGCCAACATCTCCCGGTAACTCTCTCGCGACGACGGTGACTTTCCGGTATTTGGATAATTTGACTGCGATGCTGAGACCGATGACGCCGGCCCTGTTGAATTGCCGTTAATAGACAGAAAAAAGAGGGTAGACTTCAAGTGGCTCTCACCCGACGATGATAACATGGACTTGACTCATGTTGATTGTTCTTTGTCCATAATCCGTAGTTCCAAGCTATAATAGTTTTATGAATCTGAATCTGAGTTATAATTGTTCAATTGTCGGGTTGACCGTGAAGTGAGTCATCTGGATTCTTCTGACACGGGGAAATCACACCGAACAGTCATACTGGGAAATTGTGGCTGCTGAGTGGTAATCAAAGCAGAGCTAGTGGAAATAGCGAGTGAACTTGGATAGTAAACTACCTACATGTACGGAGTAGGCATTGTTGCATTAAGTATACGGGGTTTTGTTATGGTCCGTGTAATGGTGGCTTTGGCCCAGGAGCTGTGTGACATAGTTTAAAAAGCACATATAGAATGCGAGAAAGGAATTTACAATGATCCCTCTAAAGGATGGCCATTGCAACAGATTCAGTCTGTAACTTCTATCATTCACGCGTTAAGCGCGACGTGAAAGCGGTGTGGATCTGACTGGATTCGCCATTCAACCCCAAATCCACCTCTTCCCCTCACAGCTCCCACGTCCAGATATGGTCGCAATCACAGGGACAGTCAGACAGCCTGACGCCGTACACGAGGAAAGCGATCATGTAGATGAGACTACAGCTCTCCTAGGGTCCAGCAAGATCAAGTATGCTGACGTGCCCGCACCAGACACGCTGGACAGTTCGCCAGGGTCAGATGATGACAATGACGACGAGAAAAAGCCCTTGCCCAAGTTCCAGATCCTGTTGCTCTGCTATGCACGCGTAGTTGAGCCCCTGGCATTCTTCTCCATCTTCCCCTATGTCAGCCAGATGGTGCAGGACAACGGAGCCGTGGCAGACTCGGACATCGGCTTCTACAGTGGACTCATCGAGTCTATGTTCTCCCTGACACAGGCCATTGTCATGATATTCTGGGGCCGAGCAGCCGACCGCCTCGGCCGCAAGCCCGTCCTGGTCTCGTCCTTGTTCGGCGTGGCCGTGGCAACAGGCCTCTTTGGCTTTGCAAAGACCATACCACAGATGATCGTGTTTAGGTGTATTGCTGGCGTCTTTGCTGGAACCACCGTAACCATCCGTACTATGGTGGCTGAGCACAGCACGCCTAGTACACAGGCCCGGGCGTTCAGCTGGTTCGCTTTCAGTGGGAACTTGGGCCTTTTCCTCGGGCCTGTATTGGGCGGTGCACTTGCTGACCCAGTACGACTATACCCTGGTGTTTTCGAGGCTTCCGGATTCTTTGAGAAATATCCTTACGCGCTCTCGAGCTTGGTGGTGGGGTTGATCGGAGCCACAGCTGCCGTGTCCAACGCCTGCTTCATTGAAGAAACGCTGAAGAAGGAGCCGGTTACAGCGGGCCATGATAGCGAGGAGGCGGCATCTGATGCGCCGACCCAGAGCGGTGACCTATCGACATGGCAGCTTCTCAAATCGCCAGGGGTTGGTATGGTCCTATACACGTATGGGTATCTCATGGTCCTCGCCTTCGCTTACACGGCGATCATTCCTGTCTTTTGGTTCACTCCAGTATACCTCGGAGGGTATGACTTCACGGCTCTGCAAATTTCGTTGATGATGGGTCTAAATGGTGCCGCACAAGCTGCATGGCTCCTCCTAGTGTTCCCCCCATTGCAGAAGAAAATAGGGTCGAATAGAGTGATATATCTCTGCGCTCTTGTCTATCCGTTATTCTTCTTATCCTGCCCTCTTGGCAATGTACTTCTGCGGATGGGCACAGACGGATCGGTTAAAGCCTTTTGGATTGTCTTGCCAATCGGGCTGGTGATCGGCTGCGGAGTTAGCATGAGCTTCACGGCGATCCAGCTCGTCTTGAACGACGTCGCGCCCTCGCCGAAGGTACTAGGCACGCTAAATGCGCTGGCTATGACTGGTATATGCGCTCTGAGAGCCTTCTGCCCTGCTTTCTTCACTACCCTCTTCGCTCTGGGGGCGAGGACACAGCTGGCTGGGGGCCATGCCATCTGGATACTCATGCTCATACTTTCTTCGGGCTTATCGTTTACAACAAAATATCTGCCGGAGCCCAAGGCCGTCGGCAAGCGCCAGAACAGCCAAACGAGGGGATGAAGTTCCGATTGGCTGATTCAAAGCACGATCAAGACTGGCCCAGCGCACATTTTGGAAGAGAGCCGCTTTATTGGCCTGGGATACATAAAATTTGCACTTATATCCGAAAGCTTTTTCATGTGGTAAGCTTAACTGCTGTATCTTACATGGGCCTATGTCAATAAGAAAAAGTGGACGGGATCATATTTGATTGAAAATATTGCTTATAACTGAGTACATTTTCATTTTTGGATTTCATTTCTGCATCATATCACTCATCAATACACCCATTTATTCAGGACTTTCCGTTTAATATTTATTCCTCGGCTTGTAGATTTGTATGAGAGGTGCAAGGAGTAAACATGTCTGTCTACGGCTTTGTATGGTTTCTTCATATTTGGATTCGTTCATTTCATTCTTTGGTTTCATCAGGATAATCACAAGTTCAGATCCTTGCTGGAAGACTCAATCTATCGTGGGTCATTCACAAATAAACCCCCTTGAAGCGGGCACATCCTCACCTGAGCTTACGACTCTTTTATAGATCCTCGTCACCCACGCCGATCATCGTCGATCATGACGATCTACGAACTTCAAAAACGCCAAACAATGTCTTTTACAGAATGCAGGGGCAAGGAATCCGGATGACAGTGCCATTGTTATAATTTTCCGTATTCACTTCATCCAATCTCACCCGTACCAGTCCAGTTCACTCGGCACATCCTATACGCCAGCACTATAACGCCAAAAGCCACAATGTCGACGATCTCCGACGAGAAAGTAATAGTGGTAGACTTCGACGGTGACCACCCTCAAGATTGGCCCGCAACGCGGAAATGGACCCTCATGGGGACCATCGCAATCCCGCTGTTCCTCATGCCCTTATCATCGACAATCACAACACCAACAGTCAATGCAATTGCGGAAGAATTCCACACAACCTCCTCTATCACAGGCCCATTGGCACTATCACTGTTCCTGCTCATGTACTCCATGGGACCCATCTTACTCGGCCCGTTCAGTGAACTCTACGGCCGATGGCCGGTGCTGCAGGTTGGGAGTCTGTTCTACCTAGCCTTCAACCTCGGCGCCGGGTTCAGCACAAGCATGACCCAGCTATTGATATTCCGACTATTGAGTGGAACAGGAGCGAGTGCATCACTAGCCGTGAGTTCTGGTTCTGCCTTTGAAAGACAAGTCTAGCCCGAAACTAACAATCTACCAGGTTGGGTCCAGTATGGTGGGTGATGTATTTCGCAAAGAAGAGCGCGGCCTGCCCATCGCTCTAATCAGTCTCGGCCCAGTGCTGGGATCATGTCTTGGTCCCATTGTCGGCGGGTTCATCGCAGACTATACCACCTGGCGGTGGGCTTTCTGGTCCACCTCCCTAGCCACGGGCGCCTTTCTGGTGCTATGTTTCATCGTTGCGCGAGAGACGTACGCACCTGTTCTGCTGCTGCGCAAGAAGGCGACTCTAATCGCCGAAGCCAGCAGACAGGGCAAAGACGATGGCCGTGTCTGGAAGACCCCCTTTGAAAAAGATGAGACAGTCGGCCAGCTGTACCGACGCACCATTTCCCGGTCCCTGTACTTCCTCTGCACGCAGCCAATTATCCAAGCGCTGGCTTGCTACTCTGGTTATCTTTATGGAATTGTCTACCTCCTTCTTTCCAGCTTCTCTGATCTCTGGACGACGCGTTATAAAATGGACGTCAGCACCGGTAGCCTCAACTACATTGCGCCGTGCATTGGCTACGCCGTCGGGGCTCAGATCTGTGCTTTTCTGACCGACCGAGTGTATCGGTACCAAGTAGCCAAGAACAATGGCGTAGGGAAGCCTGAGTTCCGGCTGCCGATTATGGTGCCGGCCTCGTTGCTCGTCCCTATTGGATTGCTGATTTACGGCTGGAGTGCTGAGTACCAGACTCATTGGATTGTGCCAGACATTGGTATTGCACTTCCACTCATGGGGGCGACTATCATCTTCCAGTGTTGCAGTCAGTATCTGCTAGATACATTCCCTGTCTATGCTGCCAGTGCCAATGGGGCTGTCTATATTGTGCGAGGATTCACGGGCTTTGGGTTCCCGTTGTTCAGCCCGGTGATGTATGAGAAACTTGGATATGGATGGGGGAACAGCCTGTTGGCGTTTTTGGCTTTGGTGATTGGATGTCCTATTCCTTTCATCTTGTGGAAGTATGGAGAGAGACTGAGAGTTTTGAGCAATTTTGCGGATCAACTCAAATAAGTAGTTTGATATTCACTATATAGTAAATTTTAATAAATATTCTATATGCCCACATCTATTCCCCATCTATTCCTTTCATCTTATGGAGGTATGGAGAGAGACTGAGAGCTGTGAGCAACTTTGAAGATTAGACGAGATAAGTAGCTTGATGTTCATCATAAAGTAGATCTTAATAGATATTTTATATGTCCTCATTCTCAATCTCCCTTATAATAATATAGCACACCCTCTCTCTCACTAACATTAGTATCCTGCCGATAATCCTCGTGCGAGCGTATAAGCTCCCCTATTCAAGTGGCCGATGTAGAGAGCTATAGGCAATTTCATATTTTAAATCCAATAAGTAGCATAATTATTCACTATAAAGTAGATCTCAATAAACATCCTATATTCATTCCCCATCCTCGTTCATCCGCACAATCTCCTTCATCATATCATAGCACACCCTCTCGCCAACATAGCTATCCTGCTGATAATCCTCATGCGAGCGCACAAACTCCCTCATCCAAGTCGCCGGCGTAGGATTCTCACCACTCGCCCTCTCACTAATCAACTCCAAATATGGAGCAATCTTCTCCTGCTCCGCCGACGGCATCTTGCTCTGATTCAGGTAATACCGAACAATAGCAACCAACCCAGGGAACCCATTCGGCTCAGACTCGCCATTGAAGATCTCATCAGCAGTCATGAGCGCAAATTCCTCTCCCTTGCCCTGCACCTCCCCATTCAACTGTTGATGAGCCTTGTCCTTACACATGGACTTGACTCCTCCAAGCGAGTGCGTTCCCGCTAACCACCCAGACCTCCGGAACCACATCTTCCCCTCACGAACAGCATCCCGTTCCTTCGCAAACTCCATCGACTCACCAACCTTGTCGATGGGAATATAGAAGTTCAAATGCATAGTGACAATTGCTCTGGAAAGCAGAAAGGCAAAGATGGCAAAGGCCGCATTCGCCTTATCCGTGAGCTGGGACTCCATTGTTCGGAACTCAACACACCACCCGGGTCCCGAGTCTGTGGTAGGGAGCTTGAAGCGGACTGCGTGCCAGACGCAGCTCTGGAGGAGCTCGAAGAGCTTTGTGTTTGAGGTGTTGAGATGGTGCGTATCTTCTTCGGTTAGGATGAGCGGGTCGCGCGAGAGGATGGAGGCGAAATGCGTTGCGAGAGAATCGTCCATGCCACCGTCTAGCAGGCGTTGCTTGATTGCTGGGTTCATTGGTTGGATTGTTGAGTCGCCCTCGAGACCGGCGGGTTTTTCCTCGGAGATATATGTGCGGTTCCAGGTCCAGCGTGGAGGCTGTGGAGGGTTGTTAGTTTTTGTTTTGTTTTGCTTTTGTTGGGAGGTTTCACATACGGTGGTTTCCATCTCTTCTGGTCGACGGTCGTCTGTTAGGTCTCCGAATCGCTGCCAGCGGATATCGGTGTCGACCAGGTATCCCTTCCAGATTGGGACTGCGGCAGTCATGGCGAGGAATATTGGTGCAAGGGGTATCAGCTGGTCGTGTAGCCACCGGGCTTCTGTTTCGTTTGGTGCTTGGAAGGTTGTTTGGAGACTGCAACAGCCAATTCCGACCTCGAGGTCATCTAAGCAGAGGTGGTTTTGGACTTCCTCTCCCGATGGTAAGATATCGTGGAATGTATTCGGCGTCTCGATGTCTTGGTAGACCGGAAAATGTGTCTTCTTGTGACTTTGTCTGCGGCTGTGGACATTCTCCGGGAGGATTCTGTACCGCGGAAGAGAGCATACGGAGTGATTTGTCTGGGTTCGACCTTGGGGAGTTGTCCATTGGTCATCCACTCCAGCACGGGGAAAGAAGGATAGTGACATGGTGTGCTGGTTTGGCGAAAGAGAGCGATTGATGACTTCTCGTCTGGTTGGGGTTAGTTGTTGATTCTTGAACAACTAAGAATTACTTGCCTTGTCTTCATATTTTGCTCGACGCTTAGGAGATCCTCGATACCACCAGTGTATGGCTTTGCGGGAGTTGTCTCGACCACATACTTGGCCCATTCCCATTGGAGAACAACCCTGTTTGGGGTGTTAGATGATGATACCTTCATGATTGGGATGGGATATACTGACGGTTCTTCCTTGCTGGCGGGGCTTTCTTCCCATTGACGAATTACCTTCTCCTGGTCTAATAGCAATGTCGCCCGCTCAGCGCCTGCGTTCAAATCAACCAGGTTGTATTCAATCTTTGCAATGGATTAGCTCGGTTTTCTTTTTCCACGGTTTAGGTCGATAAATACCTCATCACCCCACGAAGCAACATTGTCACTGCGATACCGTTGTTTACGCCAAAGGCACAGCAGTTGCTACCACACACATCAGCAACGAGCAAGCGGCAAAACGAAAGAAGACCAACCTCAGTTGCCCATCTCTGAATATTTGGTGCAGCCTGTTCAGTCTCTGGCCAGCCTATCGACGGTCCTTCCACGCTATGCAGGGTTAGAAATCGCGATTGTGTGGAATTATGAGTACATGTACGTACGGAATACCCATATTGATATGATTTCGAGATAAAGCTAAAGAGCTTTTCAAAGTAAAGATTGGATAAGGTGCTGAACTACGATGTACAAGAGATCTAAGGTTGTTTATAACTAGTCCGATTTACCACGACGTCACTTTCAAGGGTCTTTGTGCTGATCTACAGACCACCGGGCGATCACCCGTTTAAGTTCGCGGAATGCTCTTCAATTTTCTCTATCCAATCCACGTACATACGTTTCAGCTCAGGAAAACATGCTTGGCAGAGTCATGTTCCTAGCCCTAACCTTCCCATGACGCCGCTATATGACGCGGCACGGCACGTTATAGGGATGCAAGGGGGAACCAACCCGGAATCTTTTCAAGGACGTTGTCAAATCTCATCGATTGAATGGTGAAGATATATTCATATGGATCCTAGTGAATGGGTCTACCAATACTTGGTAGGTGTTGGTGGGCTTGGCATGATTATCACATCGCAACGAGGGATGGGGTTTAGTATTGAGAAGCGTGGAGGCTGACGAATATAGAAGATCACGCGACGCTGTATGCACCTGATACCTTGCAGGCTTGCAAAAAGTGGACACAGAAGTGCGTAGCACGGAGATTCTCGCTGACGAGACTATATGCATTAGCCAAGAAGTGATTGAGACGTGGAATCTATTTTGTACCCTTGATGCTGCGATACCGCGTTTTCGTTTCCTATCATCACTAGACACGCACTCTGGCCTAGTTTACGGGCTCCAACTCCCTCCAAATCTCGTATGTCTGCACCGAATAGCAAATTGGAAGTATTAGGTACCTTTTGTATGACAATTCCCTACAAAAGGTACATAAACACAACATATGCATAACATCGATTTTTCTCAACGCTCAAACTAGCTTAAGGAAAAGTAAAAGCCTCAAATCTTGACACAAATAATTTTTAATCGATCTACTACTAAGATTAATTCTAAATATTTGATATAGAGGTGTAAAGAACATCTTAAAAAACACCACATATAAATATTGTATGTAAAAGCTTAGCTATTCTTTTGCATCAAGTATACTCGATAAGTATTACTAAGGTTGATACCAAGTAATTAAGATTTCCTTTGCACTATATAGGTCTTCCTATATTTCCCCTAACTAGCTTGAGAGTTAAGAAAATTGAGGCGATGACTATGTTGTATTTAAATACCTTTAGTATTGAGTCGCCATAAAAAAGATACCTAATCCAACACCGGGTGGTGGTGTTGGTGGACCTGGCACGATTATTTTAGGTTTCGTCTCAGCTTGAATATCGCGAGCACCACTTGATTTGCGCTTGGACCTCGGTACAGCAGTCTCTAGTAAATTTTCGCAAGCTTCAAATCACAGCTTAAACCGACCCAAAAGGGTTTCAATAGCTGTCGCCTCAATAATGAATTTGGAAAGGGACCGGTTGGCAGATGGTGTCTCATCCCATCACCCGAGAACGCATCGGACCATCCACCCACGCCGTTGTATGTCTTTTGTTCCGCAAATGCCTTCATGCTTTTGCGCCATGTCTCCCGGGAACCTGAATAGTTTCTTGGCATCGAGGACCTTGATAGTGTAGGGCTGGGCAAGGCTTGGCAGTCACTCACATAAGGGTTTACTGAGCGATATATTTTCCATCCAATCGCTCCTTTTTAATTCTCCAATTCCGACAGCATGCTGCGTGAGGCATTTCTCATATTTACTTGTGTGGCATGGGCGGGATTTGCCATTCATCTCTCGCCGTGGATGAAGGTGAAATCAATAGCTTGAAACTGACATTATCTACTCCGGACTAACGTCCCATAGGACATCTCCCATGAAGTTGAAGTTTACAATCCGACTACATTTCACTACCCAGTGCCATTGTCCACACACAATGAAGAACACACGCGTCTACTGCAGAATCTTCAGAGATCTAATGGAAAATGGGACTCTACCCACCCTCGACATCGATTGTTAACTGCCTTGTATGGATATACCTGCCACAAAGACAAAAACCTAGCTGAGGTGACCCGATGGAGGAATCTTTATAAAAATGTCCCCAAGCGGCAGAGAACGGTATGATATTTCTTCTTTCTTTCTTTTTGCGGGCAATAAGCAGGTTTGACTGACTGGCCTAGTTGCTCGAATCAACCATCCACTACACACGTAAACTCAACACAATGGAACATCTGATCGAGACCAACAATGAACTTGCCAGGTCTATTGTTGATCACGGCCTTTGGTTCTACAATATCAGTCAATCTGAGCTAGACGAATTCATCAAGGAAAACGAGAGCCAGCAGCGGTCGGCTGATAAGACTAGCGTCTCTCAGGGGATGAAGCATTTTGTGCGTGACTGGGCAGATGAGGGCCATGAAGAGCGTGAACAGTCCTTTGGATCTATTTTGAAATCACTCGCCCAGACGCTACGGACGAACGATAGACCCTTGCGAGTGCTTTTGCCTGGGTCGGGATTGGGAAGACTGGCGCATGAGGTTGACAATCTCGGAGGTGAGTACATGGTTTCCTATTAGGGAAACTTTCATTGGTTAATCAAAGAGGTGTTAGGCTTTGAGGTCACTATGAATGAATGGTCAACATACATGAATCTGGCATACCGTTATGTATCCAGTCGCTCCGTTCCCAACAGTGTATCATTTCACCCGTACATCGACTGGTGGTCTCATCATGCCACTACCGATGATCTCCAGCGCTCCGTTAGGTTTCCAAACCAAGTTATTCAGCCATCATCTGTCTTGCTCATAGAGGGAGATTTCACTACGGTATTTGCAGAACACACAGGCCAATATGATATAATCGTGACCTTGTTTTTTATCGATACCGCGCGGAACCTAGTCACATACCTCGAGATTATCCACAGATTACTTCGTCCTGGCGGCCGTTGGGTGAACCTAGGTCCTTTATTGTATGGCACCGCGCCATTTGTGCAGTTATCACTGGACGAGATTGTGGCAGTAAGTGAGAGCATGGGCTTTGGGTTCCAGGAGACAGATCCCGCAGTTGGAAATATCACAGTGCCTGACTTGCGAGTGCGAGGGTTGGAGGTGGCATATGGTCGAAACGGGCGTGGGTTGAATAAGAATGCATATCAGGCACAGTATTGGGAGGCTGTTAAGCGCTAAAACAAGAACAAAGTCCATTTGCATATTTTGCTAGCTCCTAATAGAACTCAAGCCAAGTAGCTGTTTATTACTAAAATATCATCTGGATGCAACTTAGTAGTTCAAGAACGGGAGACATGAGACGGGATAGGGCTACGAGTCATCAGCCACCTGCGTCTTTGATGGGAAAACACAATATCTCATAGAATGCCCACGTGATTTAACCAACAGATGGCAATTCCTTTCCCACAGCCAACATAATGACGCCTCTTTTCCTCTGGCCCGCATTGGCTAGCTAGCGCAGTCAGCGTCTCGGTTACAAGTTTCCCGTGGTTCCGGGACCGTGGCTCAACAATATGGCCTGATAGTAAAGGCTAGCTATGCTAGGCGAGCGGAGAAGAACTTATTTTTCTCCCTGGCTCGAAATTTACACAAAGAGGGTATCGTATCGCTCCTCGGACAATAAAGCATCAACACTCCCTTGGCAAGTTGGGATCGGCAGGGACTGTTTTCTCGGACCTAGAGATGGCCCAAGATAGCCAATGATATATCCAAGAAAAGCACAGCGCTCATTAATAAATATTCTTACCCACATACGACCATCCAGTCGAAGGCCAGTACATAAATTGCCCCATACAATGAGACAGCCCCCGCCGCCAAGGTGAGAACCTTTGGGGCACCAAGACTTCCTCTTTTCTTGGCCTCGCAAACCCTACTATACTATTTCAGCGGAGTGTCAGGTATAAAGGGTCCGGATCCTGTGCGGCGGATCCCTGATTTTGAAACATCTGCCATCGTGGTTTATACTGTGTACAGTTCTCAAATCACCTCGCCAAAATGAGATTATCTATCTTTTTCATTGCACTCATGACTTCGGTTTCATCCGCAGTCTCGACTGAGGATCCAGGTCCATCTCCTACTGCTTCAGTCGGCTGTGAGCCACACGGAGACCATTGGTATGTTCTATGCGGTCGTATGCCCTCTCTATCACTCGAAGGTGTTTAGTAACACTCTTCTATACAGGCACTGTGATGGTCCAGCCTCAACAGCTGTCTCCTCAGGTACATCGAGGGCAAGCGAGGTCGAAGTGAGCACCACCTCTGCGGATGCTTCTCCCACATTGCCTAGTCCAACCGAGTCTGTTGGTTGCGAGCCACATGGCGACCACTGGCACTGCGATGGACCGGCCGAGACGGCTGGTGCCTCCTCGAGCGCCACCGTGAGTGCTTCTCCCACAATGCCTAGCCCTACCGAGTCTAGTGGTTGCGAGCCGCATGGCGATCACTGGCACTGTGATGGACCGGCCGAGACGGGTAGCGCCTCCGCGAGCGCCTCCGCCAGTGCCTCTACGAGTTCTGGAGATGAAGGCGGTGCTGGAGCAATTGGAGTGCAAATTTCCCTGCTTGTTGGACTGTCACTTGTTGCTGCTGGTTTGAATCTTTAATTCTCGACGACCTCGGAGACATGATACTGTCTATGTGTGTGTGGGTGTGTGTGTTACTATATCAAGACGACCACCTCAAAGTACAGTGATTAGGAATCAATGCCTTAGGAATCAATAACTTAGGAATCAATACATTAACACTCCAGTAGGGCTACCTAGGTAGAACTCCAGCCTAGCTCCTAGTGCCGTTTTTGGTTTGTTGAGAGATGGGATTGTTGTTAGAAGCTAGGTTATGGATTATTGGGTTCTAACAGTTGACAGTAGCATAATAAGAGTCCACATAATATTCTAGGGATTCCTACACTAGTAAAGGTTTCAAAAGAAGAGAAAGAAAGACTGTGTGTGATTCATATAGAGCGGTGGGGACGAGAGAAAAAGGAGAAGAGGAACTACGTAGATGATCCCCCCATGGTGCGGAACCGCGTATGAGGCCTGAGACCAAAAACAAGTATGTCCACGGTATAAAAACAATATAACGATCGCGAAACGAACGGTAGCCTACAAACAAGAAGCGAAAAAAGGGGAAATGTTGGACGGTATGGAACCTAGCAGTACTGCTATATTAGCCTCCACTAACGGTAGTGGCGCTGTAGAGCAGTATACTGCTAGGCTCCATGCCGTCCAACATTTCAAGGAAGGCATCCTAATGGTGATTCTTATACTAACTAGGTGACCTTTTTGGGATAAAATAGGCTGGATATTCTTCCAAATTAGTCCATGCATTGTGATCAAGGTATCAGGCTCTTCTAATCCTCTTTACAATAAGCGACGCTATGGCATTAAACGCTACAACCTAGTAGACCATCGATCGTAAAATGGGTCATACAAAACAAAGCAACAGAAATGCGAGTAAAGCAAGGTCAGAACGGATGGCCCAAATCAGTCAATATTATGAAGAAGTTGCTGTGGTTTAGCAGTATAACAAAGAGAAAAGCAAGTGAAGGATCTCGATGGAGGAAGTCTGATGATTTCTTTTTTTTTTTGCTACGTAGAATATTGAATACAGAACGAGTGTGGGAAGATCCAGGATGGGTATGTATAGCCAGTTCGAGGGAGATGTAAACAGACGGAAAAGGCAAGGTGAGAACTGGGTTCCCTTTCCAACATGAAGAGATGGAGAAGGAGAACAAGAAAAAGGACAAGAAGAGGAACGGAATGGACTTAACCTCCCTAATGTTCCAGCCCTAGATCCTATATCCTAACCAGTGATCCAGAAAATCAGATATTGAAAGTTGGTTTGGTTGGCTTGTAAAAAAAAACGAGAGCTTCGTGAGTAGTGGGTTACATTTAACAAAGAACACCAAGAATCCAGAACAGGAGAGGGAATAAATCCTGCATTGCACGCTGCTGCAAGAGGTGAAGAGGGAGAGAGATCCAGGTACAGTAGAGGCAGAGTAGAGGTAACAGCAACAGACTCTCTATTCTTGTCCAAAGCCAAGCGTTTCCTCCACCGCGATAGACATTTTGTGCTCGAGGGCATCGTGGGTCTTGTAAGGAGGGAGATCAAGACGGTTGAAGCTGTGTTGGCGAAAAGGTTAGCTATGATACACCAGATAGAAGAACCAGCATCGAATACATACCAAGTATGCGACTTGGGCAGCGCAGCAGGATCACCAGACTTCTCAATGGTAAACCGTCTGGGACCATCAGATCCCTGCAGATCCTTAAATCCGTTGACAGGGATACGTGAGGTACCAGTAGTGAACTGGAGAAGACGAGACTTCTGCTCGGCATCCCAGGTGCGGACGATCTTCCAGAAGTTCTGGATAACCTCGTCCTGCTCCTGGTAGCCGCGGTAGTCGGTGTGCTTCTTCCAGTCCTCGACGTCGATGTCGGCGATACCACCAATGAGCAACTCGAGTTCGCGCTCGTCGAAGACGTTGACGAGATCGGGTGGGATAAGCTCGTTGAAGCCGGACATAAAGGCGTCGAACTGCTCCTCGACTCGCTTCATAATCTTCCATTCCGTAACCAACCTACGATATTGATTAGCAGGGTTTCATTAGGCTGGAGGCCGAGCCGGTTCCACTCACTCAATGTACTGTGGCTTGTTCTCGTTGGTGACGGTAATATCCCGGCCACCGGGTATCAAATCAATAGTGCGACGCTCGCCAAACTTCTCATCGTCAACCGAAAATGTGAGTTCCACAATTCCGTCAATGTCATTATCCCTACCATGGTGTTAGTGTGATTATTCCTCAAAATGAGATTGCATGTATCAAACTTACAGTGTCCATGCCAAATTGCGGTGCAGATCCTCATCCACACCTTCCATATCTTGAAGACTGACCTTCTTCCGCAACATCATCTTGTAGAAAGCTCCAATGAAGAAGGAATCCAGGAAGCGACGGTGGAAGATAGCCAGACCAACCACTCGGCCGATGAACTTGAAGTAATTGAGATGCTCGGGGTTCACGCCCGAGTGGGGATTAATCTGCAAGGTATAATTATCGTGGGCAGAGTATTCAAAGAGACAGTAGAAAGGATTGAACATTTCGTGAGAGAGGAGGAAGAAGAATTCACTGAGAGAGTTAGCAAGTTTTGACCAAGACTGGAGAAAAGGAGAACAGAACATACCGTGAAAGACCACCGTAATCAAGACCATCTTCGCCATCGAACTTGATCATTAGGCGCTTCTTAAGATCGGATGCGCTCTGGCGCATAATCTCGGCATATGAATCCTCAAAGATGTTATTACGGCGGACTTTAACGTGGCACTGTCCGGACATAATGCGCAAAGCGGGTTGGGACCGGAAGTAGATCAGCTTGCGGCGGAAGTCACGCTTATACTGTGGCACGCCCTGATCCAGAGAGGAGGGGAGTCGCGGATCATCCCAGGTAGTCGTCTTGGTGTTGTGGTCGACGAAATATACTCGAGCAGTGTTGGTAAGACGCATTTCCCAGCCGCTGGGAAGAGGACCCAATTGGGATACGGGCTGCTGTTGAATGGTGGTGTTGTTCGCGCCACCTGTGGTCTGTCCCTGGCCATACATGCGGATATACTGCTGCCGACGAGGATCGACCCATGTCGTCGTGCGCGTGTTGTGGTCCACGAAGTAGGGACGTCCCTCGGGTGTCACTCGTCGTTCCCAGCCTGGTGGAAGCTCCCCTGTGCCTGCAGTGGTGGCTCCCGTCGCCATCATGGAGATCGCGGCGGCGTTGGACCCGGCTGGGGCTCCAGTTGCGAGAGAGGTCCCTGCGTTAGGCCCGGGTGGTGGTGTAGGTATCTGCTGGGCATCTGGCAGGTTGGGTGAATTGGCGCCAGTTCGATCTTCTGGAAGCATTCGGCTCTGGTGGGCTCGACGTTCGAGCTGCATGTTGGCTTCGCGCTGCGAACGCTGGGCATGCTCGTTGTAGTTGGCCGCTGGCCGTGACCAGGTCGTGGTGCGCGTATTATGGTCCACATAATATGTTCGTCCCAAATTGTCTTCGCGCCGTTCGTATCCGGCGGGGAGTCGACCCTGACTGTCCTCAAACGAGCTGAGATTGGCGCGAGAGGGGGCGCCGGGTCCAGGGGGGTTGGCTGGGGCTCCATTCAACGGGGGAGGAGCGCCGGCCGGTGGACCGGTGGTTGGAGTGCGCTGGGCCAATGATGAACTTGATGCTGCGGCAGGGGACGTATCGATATTACCCGGGCCAGCCTGTGATTGGGGTGTTGTTGCTGCAACCTGGGGCACAAGGCCACTGGAAGTCGATGTCTGGGCCTGTTGACGATGGAGTCCATTCTGGTTCGGATGCGGGGTGGTAAGGTTTGACGATAGGTTGATGATCAATTTTCCGTGGACCACGAGGTTATCATTCGATTTTTTCAGATCCCGAGTAAGCATTTCTGTGGGGGGCACATGGCCGTCAGGTCAGTCCACGTTTCTGACTCGCGATCGGCGTTCTTCGGACGTACCATCACCACCCATCGACAAGTCAATGACATCGCCGATGCGAACATTGATGACTCCAAGGAATCCCTGGTCCTTCTTTTTGAATTTCTTCTGGTCAAAGATCTGGATCGCAAGAATGCTGTCCTCGTTGACTCTCCTGTAAAGAATGACTCCATGGTTAAAAATGTTCACCCTTTTCCCCGACAGCGGGGGGATATCACGTACAAATCGAATGGCTCATTCCAGTAGGGATTCAGAGTCTTCTTGATCACAGAAGTTGTATGTGTTTGCTCTCCTCCAACAGTAGCGACGGCGAATGGATCGGGGAATCCTAGAAAACGAGGTGGTCAGTTCAACCCCACAGCACTCGATCAACCGATCTGAAGAAGAGAACATACGGAAGACATCGCGTTTGTACAAGCCGTCAGCCGCGATAACTATATAACCAGAGATGTTAGTCTTGTATGGATGCGGAACCCCGCAGAGTCCCACGATGATTCGACGGAATAAGAGCCTTACTCGTGACCCGGAGATTTGGCTGGCTACAATTCATGTCAGCGATGATCTGAAGATCAAAATTGGAATAGTTCCAGAGAGGGGTCCAACTTACGCTGGGAGATTTGACGCCATGATGCTTTACAAGCGCCGATCAATCACGCCCAAAGAACAGCGCGGGCGCGCACATTCACGAGGGGGAGAAGGACCAAACCGAGTTCGCCCAGGGTCAAAGCCTGGAAAGAGTGGATAGGTTGGTAATTTGCAGGTTTGATGATGGGTGTGTAGTGTTGAGAGAGGAGAAGGAAGAGGAAAGGGAAGGGTTAGGCGTTAGGTGCGCCCGGGTTTGTATGGCGCAGGTACTCGGACTACGTATTCACTATGTACGAGATACCCGGTCAGTACTTCCTGGGGCTGAGCACGGGAGATTTATAACGTTGGATTATAATTTCACTCTTATTTTACTAAGCTATACAATATTGCATAGCCCTAGAATGCCATAATCTTTTTTTTCTTCCAAGTTTCCTCTCTAAGCATACGTAAGAGAGTAAATTCAGCGGGTGTGGGCGGGTAGAGTGGCAATTAGATACATATTAATAGGATGGTATGGGAAATATCACAGCTATCACAGCTATAGCAATATGACCTTTTGTTTAGGCAACCATATTCATATCTATATTCTAATGTTCCTTTGTATACAATAGTACTATAGTATGTACCTCGTACCATATATAATACATAATCTTCCTTCTATATCAGCT